ACACTCACCTTCAGACTCTTCAACTTCACCAAGTCTTATTTACCACATCTCTAAATGCCAACATTGATAGCCAGACTATAAATCTTATTTGTATACCCGAGAATCTTTTCGAGAAAAGTCCTTACTGCGATCGTCAAATAGACAATGAGTCCGCCCAGAACGGGTTCTTGGAAATATACAAGAAAACGAGTTGGTTCTACACAGTATACAATAAATTTTGCAGAGATGAATGGTCTTCTGAGGTTTGGAATCTAGCACGAAACGAAAGCGAGATGGCTATCAAGTACTTTAGTAGTTTTAAGAGTAGTCGGATCTCCTCTAAGAATATGACGGTTCCGTATACTGATGTTGGCTATTTTACAAAAAAGAATTGGAGCGATAGTCTGCCTGATGGATACGTTATGCTGAAGTGCGGAAGTTTAGAGCGTCATACGATTACTGGAAAATGGTTTAGTAATGAACATACGTGGCAGAAAATGTTTGATAGTCTACATTGATCCATGTATACGATACTTTAAGACTGTTTTTTTTATGAGCATTTTATCGAAACTCTTACATTAAAGCCTATTCTTATAATGGTCGTAATATTTTGCGTATTTGATTTATGTATATATAGTCGTACTAATGTTTTTCATTAGACTTGTATTCAACAATTAATTGACTAGAAGTGCCTATCCCCAAAGTATATACATTCTCCCCTAGAACCAATATCAGATAAAGTAGTTATGCCTATTGAGTGGAATAGATTTACTGCACATACTGGATGAATAAACAATGTTGGACTGATTACTAGTATGACAATTTTTTTGTATATATATATATATGTGTGTGTGTGTGTGTAGATGATTGGGCTTCACATGAATACTTTTACTGGTTCATAAATTATGAAGCAAAAACATTGCAAACCTGGTTTGTTTTATTTTACTTTATTTTAGTAGTCCATCATTATTTTGCTCTTTCAAAAGATCGATCAAATTTCGGTAAGCTTGCATTTCAGCTTCGCTTTTCTTAGACAGCACTGCCTTTGTGATGATTTCAAATTTACTTAATCTGAAGAGACATGTAGCTTTAAATAAAAGTGAATGCTGGGGCCCAAAGCTTTCTAGAGATATTGTTATATCAGCGCCTAATATATATTTGATCCTCTCAATGTAATCCTTTGGCTGTCTTTGTCGAGTATTATCGTTTAAAGCCCTTTTTAATCTAGGCCTCTGAGCAATTGCCGCTTTTACACTGTCAAGATCTTCTTGTTTGTACACGCTAAAAGTGGATATATCATGCTTAATATCTCTGATAGATGAATCAGGAGGTTCGGTAATGTAGCAAGGATCAATATAATTGGTAGAGCGAGGAGATAGGTTTTGGGATATGCTTGGTTCCTTATTAGGATTGTAGGAGTCATTCTTCGATAAGCTCTCCTCAACACTTAGCTTTTCTGCAATATCCTTTGCCAATAAGTCACCTAGCAGTGCAACCATCAAATCGTTGTCGTTGTCGTCAGCATCCAAAAACATTATTCTCCTTTTGTAACCAGCTCCCTCCAAAATATCTTCTTTTTTCACAACCGGCTTTAAGATCATAAGAGATTTGAGAGAAAGTTCTATGTCATAATAGTCTTCGTATGGTATGAGTAATACATTTTCAGGGCTGTCACGGGAATTGAGAGACGGTAGGTGATGACTGTGGATCATTTCTGGGTTCTTGTAATAATACGACACGATATCTACTATAGCTAGTTCACGCGCCTTCCTCTTACTGGGACCATGGCGGCTATGTATATACCATTCTGCTTTGGGCGATAGTTTGTATTTGATCTCCACGCTCCACCCGGACAATGGGGCTGGTAGTACAGTCTCGATATTTATCGCTTTAATATCCCCTTTTCCACGAACAACATAGTTTAAGAACTTCTCGGTTGTTTCAGGTTTTTTCAAAAGAGAAACATCATTCTCTTCATTTTCCAATCCAAACAGCCGATTGTATAGTGTTCTAGGTAAAAGCTTAAATATCACTGGACAGAATAGTTTCAAGAGAGAAGTTATCCATTGTTCAACAGCCGAATACTCATGATGTTCATAAAGTATGCCAATAAAAGCATCGACTATCAATACGGTATTGTCGTGCAAGCTGGTATCAACACGGTATTTATCAAATTCAAAGAAAATCTCGATCATCTCGTAAAGCTTATCGTTTGAGAATATAAGAGTATGCATTTGCTCCATCCTCTCCTGGTCTATCCATTGGTATTCTGTTGAAAGGAAGTTTGATACAGCCAAGTTCAAAACACTTTTTCCAATGAATGCAGGATGCTAATATTAACAAATAGAAAAAGAAGAGATTGCTCAATTAGCCTCAATCTATACACTCTTGTCTCTATTTACTTTAAAAGAAATTTGATTATGTTGGTTGGTGAGCACATTAAGATCTCCAAATGCAAGTCTGAAGAAAGCTAATTCCTCCTCCACCCTCAATTGATTGCCACATTCATCAACAAGACCTACAAGCATCCTCGATAGAATGCATTGGAGAGGCTCAGTGCTTCTTTCTTCTTTGAGTTGAAGATCTTTAGAGATTGTCATGTGAAAGAACAAAGGAGAAAATACATTGGTTGATTGTATTTCCTGTGCGACATATAAGTTGAGATATATATATATATATAAATATAAATATGCTGATAAAATAAACAAGTTTTGTATTTACAATATTTAAGATGTCTGATCAGATAAGCAAATTGTGTATTAAGCTTTCTTTCTTTCTTTTTTCTTGTAAGGATGTTTTCTTGACATATTTTGTGATATTTCTATTATCAAGGAGTCTTTTTTTTTTAGCAGTGCCTATTTATGCTGTTCACCCAATAATATACTCGTATTTAGTCATTATTTTACATATTTTTAATTTTATGATTTGCAACTTGTAGAGGGCATTTTAGTTGTAGCTTCTTGCTCTTGCGTTTTTGGACAGTTGACTGCTTTCTGAGTTAATATTTCCACATCTAGGTTGAAAAATCATTCTACTTGGGATGACTTTGCTCCGTATGCTGGAGAACACCATTTTTTTTTTAAAAAAAAAGTTCAAATTAGTTCAAATCCATATTGAATAAAGAAGTGCTCCTAGTACCATATCTTCCATAAAAATCATAATCATATTTCTAATCCAAGTGATAATGGAAGAATCTTAACCAGTCAGAGCTCTTTGAACTTTTTAGCCTGTTCACATCAAATAGAATTATTCAAATTCTTTTTTTTTATCATGTTCAAACGGTTGATGTAGCTTATCAGCACTTTATTAATTGAAAATATAAATACTGCTTATAATGTTATTGATGCTCTTAGAGAATGATTATCTGTATCACAAATCGGCACCTTGAACTAAATAGATTTTTTGCAACAGCAGTTCAATGTACGTAAGCAAAATCAAATGTGAGCCTGTATTAAGAAGAGCTGGCAAAGGATTAACTGGGGTGGGATATTTTTCTTTAGGTAGAGTTTTATTGAATTTAGCCAAGACATACAGATACTTTACAATTAACACCTTCCAAGATATATATATATATATATACCAATCAAAGGTTGTACTTCATGATATTATTTTTTTCTGTTTTGTCTGTGTCCTCAAACTAATTTATGATTGTTATAACGATTTCTGTTAACATACAAAAAAAAAGGATCCTTTTAATGTGGTAGGACAAGGGATTGCGTTATAATGAGTAGAAACATCACCTCAACTTTTGATTGATAAGGTCAAGCTCTTAACCAAAATTATTGAAAATCCTCAGTGGACATGGTAGTTGCCATTTGATTTTATATAACGTAATATAGAAAAGAATTGCAGCAAGTAATGAATCCAGCTTAGTATAAATGAATTGGCTTTGGTCAATTCATTCTTCTACAATGACTTTCGCCTATTTCACGTAACTTATTAAAAGGAAGAAAGAAACTGTAGATTAGAATAAGAGTCAATTACACACACACACTCTCTCTACCAAGCATTTCCTGACCATAGGCACTGAATATCAAAACCTTATTATATGTATTACTATCGTTATTGAGCTTGCTTTTATTAATAGTAATAAATAAAAGCCAACTTCTTTATTATGAAAATTCTTATTCTTACTGCAAGAATTCGATATTTCAAGATGATGGTTTTTTTTTGTGTTTCGTGTTTGGCTCTTTACCTTGTAAGCAAAATCTTCCCTTTATGATGTTGATAGATTTTGCTTTCATAACACAGCTTAATCTCTTTCCGCAATATATATATTTTTTAGATATACACGAATTTCTTGGAAGAATATCATAGAAAAGCCTTAATAACAGCTGTAATTCATATTTTTTTAGCCGTATCAACTATTAACTACTTATCGTCCATGTTTTTTTTTTTAAAAAAAAAAAGCAAATGTACTGATGATTCCAATTGACTTTAAGGGTTGTTTGACGGCTGGTTTACTTTGCATTAACATCTCATTGATAAATGTAAGCTAACATTATCTGTAAGTTTTGTTAACATAATGAGCCTTATGCTCAAATATATGCTTAAGTTTTAATAGATAGACATATACTGCATTTTGAAGTATACGTATGTATTGATTTTAGTCCTTGGATTTGGTGTACAAGAATATTCAAATATTCGCCTGCTTAGTACTTTGTACACCGCACACCGTAACCCCCATCTGTCAGATCATGAATTGAAAATAAAGGGGTGGGTGAAAAGAAGTGTGAGAAAAAGAAGAAATTGATAAAATATATATATATTACTTTAATATGTAAATTGGTGTATAACTATTAACCAAGTCCAAGAGCTACACTAAGACAAGACAAGTCTCATCAGCATTAATAGAGTTCCTGTCTCTCTTTTTCTGCTGTATTTTTTTTTAAACTATTCTGAAATTGAGTTCTTACCCAAGATAGTCAGGTCCATATTTGTTTTTACCTTTCTGTTTATTTTATTTTTCTTATAGCATCTTTATTTATTTCCAATCATATATCTATTCTTCTTCTTCTTCTTCTTCCTTCTCTATTTTATTTTAGTTCTCAATTTTGGTCATGAAGATTCAATCAGCAGTCATTCTATTGACAGCATGTTGGGCTCAATGGACTCATGGTTGTGGAATGTAAGCATTGCTTATTATTATTTTTTTTTAGAAAAATAAAAAATAAATAAATAGACATACTTATGTCTAAACAATTGTAGGTCTGTTCACAATGAGATTACACATCGATCACTAGAGATATTCCATCCTCAGTCTTCAATAGAGGCCTTTTACAAAGCCATAGTAACCAAACACACAACGTTTGCTCAAGCAGGATCGTTTTTTCCCGATTGGTGTGTGATATATATATATATATATTAATATCCCCGCCTGATTTATTTATTTATTTATTTATTTTTTGGGTTTTTCTTTTTGATGTTCCATTTGCCGTTTCAAATAGGGGCTACAACTGCCTTGGATACAGCCGACAGTCAGAGGATGGTAAATTGAAACATTAATGCTTTCTATTGTATTGTATTGTATTGTATATCATTATCATTCTTTTAAAGATAATGATGACAAAAGGTGATGATAATAATATTAATAATAATCGTCCTTATAAGCACATTGGCCGCCGTTTATCAAGTCTGCAGTAGAATATGTACGAGAAAGCTACCCACGGTCAGAGTGGACAGAACCACATGTTCAGGTGAATTCAACTTTCTTTTCTTTGTTTTTGTTGTTATTTTTGGTTGTTTATAAATGTACGACCTATCTTAATATATAGCATACATACTTGCTTACTTACTTGGATAACCTTGTACTTTTGGTATTCAAATATTTATTTATATTCTTTATAGGGATTGATCGCATTTGTGTTTTCGATAATGTCCCATGGTGTGGCAGATGTAAAATGGCATAGCTTGGGTGGATTAGAAGAATACTTTATACATGCAATGGCACAGAACGATTTCTATGGGAACATAGACGAGGCTCACAAAGCAGCGGACACAGGGGCAGAATTCACTTTGCGGCATTCAAGTCGCCTGTCATACATGAGCGATACTTGGCAAGTACCCCTCATTGATCTTATCAACATATATGCGCGGATTTACGAAGCCACAAACGAGACCGCTCTTGTCCCAACAAAAGATCATCTTCAGCATTGTATGACTGCCGCATTTGCAGCCGCAAAACTTGACGCCAAATTAGGTCATCATATGTTTGCGTATTATGGATCCCAGAGTCCATTCTTGATCGAACAACTCAATGATTACCACAAAGGCGGTAAGGCTACAAACACACACACGTATATATATATATATATCATTGATGAATCAAATACAATAATATTAAACTAATCAAAATCCATTCACAAAACACTTCTTTTTGTTTCCTTTCTTTTTTTAATAAAAAAAAAAGGGTTACAAGATATGTCAGCTAGTGTAGCTGAATGTTATAGTGACATGGTTCATGCATTTGAAAACACGGATAATTTGAATCACACCATCTTGTGTGCTCAATACTTTGACAGCACCAATCTGCTGGCCGACAAGCCTCGTTGCGCAACTGTTACACAGCTCCCTGAATATTCTGCAATATGCCAGCCACTCCAGCACTACGATCCCAAGCGGGGAATCCTCACTCTCACCCTCCCAACCAACCAATGCAATATCCCTCTCCCTGGCAAGAAACACATTCCTTCTTTTCCAAGTTTATCACATTCGCCACTCAAACCGCTCGAGCCACTGTTCAGATACCAAGACGGCGCTACAGACAACACACCCGCAGAAAATGAGGGAATAAGACACTGTAGTCCATTAAGTATCCCCGACCAAAAGAGCAGTAATTCTGCACTAGCCCCTTTTGTCGTCACCCTCTCACTCCCGATCTCATCTGTGGCAATTGGGCATGAAACCGCAGTAGGTGACTATGATGCCGATGGTCAATTGGATCTGGCTATATCTGCGCCTTATCATGACAATATTATTCCTCTGGATGATGATGATTATGATGATGACTATGAAATCAGTGGTGGTGATAGTAGTAGAAGCAGCAGCAGTAGTAGTGGCAGTGATAGAAGTAACCGTTCTCGTGCCCCTAAATTGATGGCTGGTGCTGTGTTTATTCTCAACGACACACGTGCACGATTCAATAGGATAGCTCAGCAAGACAAACACATCAAGATAAATGATATCCGGAAACAATCCCAGGTTGTCTTGCAAGGCAACGCCACTCATGGTCGATTTGGCTGGTCCATGGCCACTATTGATTTCAATCAAGACGGGGTCGATGATCTTGCTGTAGCTGCACCGTTTTCAGATAACCTTCAAGGTCACGTAGACATCTTTCTTGGAAATCCAAGAAAAGGCCTTTCGTCTACTCCAGACATTCGTATCCGGGTCCAGGCTGTGGTGGGCCACATTGAGGGTCTTGGGCTCAGCATAATGGGTTTGGATCTTGATGGAAATGGATATCGAGACCTTGTTATAGGATGCCCTTATTGCTCTGTACTTGACCAAATTCAGGTGCGTTATCTTTGTCTTTATATCGTTCATTCGGACAATTCAAAGTGACAAAGCCAAAGATTTTTACCATTACCATTACTACTATTAACGATAGTACTGCTCTTTTCTTTCTTTCTTTTGGCGGCTGAGGGTAATAGGCTGGTGCTGTTTATGTATTCCTGGGAAGAAAAGGGGACCACGTATCCAAATCAGATATCTTTCCTGATTGGGTCCTCACAAACCCTCAGCCAATGCCATATGAGCATTTTGGAAGTTCAATAGACTTTATACCCCCTCTACCACACACTGCAGGGCTATTGCTGATTGGAGCACCTGGTCATAAGCATTCCGAACTGCAACAGGCCGGTCGAGTCTATGGTTTCAAAATATCTCCCTCGTTTTCTCCAGCCCTTTGGTGGACCATGACAGGCACAAATGAATTTCAACAATTTGGCAGGTAAGCCAAAAAAAAACAAAAAAAGAAGGGTTTTGCTATTATTATTGTTAAACTTTCCTTGACTTTTTTTTGTTATATTAAAACAACAACTATGATACACAGGATAGTTTTGGTGGGAAAGACTGAGAAAACAAAGGGATTCCTAGCAGTTTCCAGTCCATCAGAAGTAAGTTTAATGTGTACAACATAAAGTTTTCTTGTTTAATCAAGTGAATGAACTGATACTTATAAATGTGCCTATTGTGTGTTTTGTGTTTTGTGTTTTGATGTTTTTGGGGTGGGATGGGGCGGATTTCTTAGGAGACACGTGTGGCATTTGATAAGCACTGGCAAGCTGGTGTAGTTCGTCTTTATAATGCAAATACTCTTTTGTTGGATACCCAACAAGACAATCGAGGAGTTGTTGTTGAATTGGGCGTGAGACATGCCCTGCTCAAGCAGTTGGACGGGCGTGAGACATCCGGTAGTCTTGGTACATCAATTGCTTTTCATGAACAAGACAAGGAAGTAAGCCTTTGGGTAGGAGAGCCAATGTCAGAACAAGGTTAGCAACAACATTTATATGCTTCATTTTATTTGGCAAGTATTTTGAGCTAAAATAATTCTTCTCACCACCCTTTTTTGTTTTTGCTTTGCTTTGCTTTGCTCTGCTATAAAAACACATACATTAATCAGAGAATGGACGGGTTTATCGATGGATTATACAGAAAGACTCAATTCAATGTCTTTATAATACACCTAGTTTGGTAATTTTTATTTATGCAATCAAAAAAAAGCTTTATAATTTTATTTAGAGAGATAGAGAACAAATAAATATAGTAAAGAGGCTTATAAAAAATTCTGGTAGGCACGGTTTGGGTCTCACATTGGACATACTGGAACAAACGCAATGAGTGTTACATCCCAGCACTACAGTGACAAGGCTAGGTAAGTTATTTATCATACCCAACAACAAACGGTCTATCTTATTTATTTTTTTAAAAAAAAATCCTTAGGTTTTCTGGAGCAATACATTTGATTCAACCAAGAGCTTAAAATACACATTTATACACATACACACACAAACGTATCTATACATATCTACATATAATTACCCGCTTATTTTCTCTTTCTTTTATACTCACATCCAATATAGTGTATGAATAGTGTGTATATAAACATCAATATAGCTACATCACCAACAGAAGAAACTCTTTTTTTTACAAGTGGAATGAAACAGTATCATTGATTAATGTGCAATAATTATGTATTTAATGGTGATAATGATGTTATGGTACAATATGATGATTATGATGACTATGATTATAGTTAGAGCTATGAAGAAGAAGAAGAAGAAGAATAAGAGTAAAGGAAATACCCATATTATGTTTGTTTTTAGAGAATATTCTCTTCTTGTTCTTGACACCACTCCTTGACAAAATTCCTGATGTTCCCTTTAGTAGGCTGACATGGAGAGAGGGCAGATATGAGTATTTCTGGGTGATCAAGGCGAGTACCATACCTTGCCATTAACATGACAAGCTCAAGATCATTCCTCCGGACAGCATTACAAATTCCTCTGATAGCTCCTGTGCTATTAGGATCTACCTTGCGATTCAATAAAAACTGGGCTGTCTGATAACTACTGGATCGAAGGGCTTCCCGCAGAGGCATACCCTTGGCCACGTCTGGATCCACACCATGATCAAGCAAACACTCTACTATTTTTGTAGCGCCTCGTCGACAGGCGTGCCTAATGGGCCATTCCTGATCACAATGCGGATCGGCCCCTGCATCAAGTAAATATCGAACAGAAAGTTCATCATCCACAGCTATGGTATATTGAAGAGGTGCGTTTTGATTGGCCTGTGGATTTGCACCAGCTTCCAACAGCCGTTTGACAATTGCAGAATGACCCTTGTGTGCTGCATTCTGAAGTGCGGCGTCGTTGTATGCGTGTACGTATGCACCGTCGAGCAGCAACTCCACGAGCTCTAGATGTCCTTGAAGGCAGGCACGTCTTAGGTGTCGTTCACGGTTTGCATGGACATTACACCCATATCTTCTCATCAGGTGCCGTACGACCGAGACTTGGTTTTCTGCACAGGCGAGCATAAGAACAAGATCTTCGTTATTTGGCTGGTGGACGTCTGCACCGTACTCCTCTACCAGCAAATCGATAATTTCTATCGCGCCTTTCATTGCTGCTACATTCAAAAAGTGTCCAAGTATCTTTGGGGTGGGTTGTGCGGCAGCCAGGATTAGTCTGCAGAGATGTACATTGTGTTTTGTACATGCTCTCCAGTACAGCCAATCGCCGTCTGCTCGTGGATTGCAGCCCAATTTCAAAAGGTTGTCGATGACTTTGAGATTCGCAATCCTGTAGCTCATTGCTCTTTCGCCAAGTGCGGCATCTTTACCAAATCGTAGAAGGAGATATTGGGCTCTTACTAGAGGAGAAAACGATAATTCCCAGAAGCTGGTGCATACTGTTGCAAGCTCTGGATTCTGGGCAAGAACGAATATATGTGTCTGGAGTTCGGCTGGGAGCTGTTCGAGAGAAAGTTTGGGTCTTTGGTCATTGGCTTTGTGTATCCAAAATAACGGCGGGTATAACGAAGATCCAGTTGAAGGATATTGTTTGGCTGGCATATTATTTTCCATATATATATATATTATTTTATTTTATTTTATTTATTTAGTGGTTATAATTTTTGTTAATTTGATTGACTGACTGATTTATTTAATTTATTTATTTATGTTTTACTATCAATTGAGTAGATCTATATTATATATATAAATATAACATATCTCTATAATTGTGCAATCCTTTATTACTATTATTTTGGTCAAGAACAAGTGGTTTATTTGATAGAGGAGATAGATAAATATTAATAAGCAGTTTAAATTTATATATGTATTCTGAATCAATTTCTCTGATATTCTTTCATAGTCTCGCCTATCACGGGGCTATGAGATGCATGACGTAAATATATATATATATATCATATCATATCATATCATATCATATCATATCATATCATATACCTATTCTACATAAATAATGAAGAGAAAAGGAAAGCGACCTACTTCAATTGCTTAAAATTATACCCACCTTTCTATGTGTGTGTGTATGAGTGTGAGAAAGAGAGAGAGAGAGAGCGTAAGTGTAGAAGAGAGAGAAAGATGAATATAAAATAAAAATAAAAAAGCACGTGATAAACGATTCTCTCCATACATTGTGTGTTGCTCCTAACACAGCTGCTGTAGACTCCACTCCGACTTCAGATGTGGTTATAGGCTTCCTAGCCGCACTTTCATTCTCGGGTTATAATTTTAATATTGTGAGGGCGATCTTATCTTTGGTATATGGTAAGATATGAACTTTCGTTCGGCCGAGTAAGAGAGTTATACGTACAGCTCAAATGGGGTGTTAGGGATAAGGCATAATATGGGGCAGCCACAGCCAGCCAATAGCAGATAGTAACAAACGGGTTTCTTCTAATGATTCAGGCAATAAAAAATGGCCAGAACAACCCATGTCCTCTGCAACAATTTTAGACTTGAAAAAAAAATTATGCTTTATTCATTTGGTGCTTGAAATATTAACATGAACGTAAGGCTTTAAGGTAGTACTATATTCTCAGATATGGTTGTGCGACATTCTTGAGCACGTCTCTTCATTCCAAATCGAATTGAATGGAAGGCCAACCCAGACAACATCATATAATAAATAAGATTTTCTACTATAGTCATCTCTATACCTTTCTAACCTCCGTACCGTAAACAAACTATGGCTGGTATCAGCGAACTATCTCCAGAACAGACCCAGAAATTTCTCATTCCCAGCAAGAGACTCCGAGGCCAAGAACGACAACAAGATAGATCAGACTAACATGATATCCCCAAAGAGATCCCCGAATATATTATAGTCAGCGGAACTACGCCCATTCTTTCATGGCAATTCAGTAAAGAAAAACATGTCGATGTAGACACAGGTCTACATCAAGAAAGGTGTTCTATATTCTATGATAGATTCTTCGCATTTGTTGGATGTTATTTTTACATAAATATATCCAATGTATATTTATTTATTTATTTATTTATTTATTCATGTATCCACAGTGCTTCCGGTGTTAAATGACGCTTTGTAAGATTATCTCGCGCTTTTGAACACCCCAATTGGGGGGTTTCCTCCATATCAAATTCGTGCACTTTACTTGTCCTAATTGTCTTATTTGCACTTTTGATCAAACCAGATCTTACTTTTTGATTGATCACGATAAATAAGTACCTTCTGAAATTGAAGATTGATCCTGGGCTTCAAACCTTTATTTGGAGAGGTCGATATAAGTGATATTTTGATTTGACTAAACTTCTTTTCAAACATACAGTAATCCCTCGATAACTTCAAGACCAAAGGGGAAGGGGGACTAAGTGCCTTGAAATTATTGAAGAATGAAATTAACGAGTGCAGATTATATATTTTCCGATGAAGGTAGAGAGAGAGTGTCAAAGCATGTTTTGTTAGAATTAACCCTATATACAGTAAAAAAAAAGAGTTGCCAGCTAAGAATTATCATAACTTGATTGACTAAAATTCTCTTTCGTTAAGTATTCAAGGACAAAAATGATCGTAGAAGTCTAGCCCTGTTTTTAGAAGGGGAGCAGCCAGAGCCTTGAAATTATCGAGGGACCATTGTACTATGCACTTCTCCTGAACTTTTGCCCACAGCTAAATACGGAACTCAACTTGAAATACAGGTGTATTTTGATGTAAGCCATATATATATATAAATAGTGCATGTTTTTAAAGTAAAGTAAGCAATAAATAAAATAGGTTTTTTGTTTTTTGTTTTTTTGAAAAAAAAAGGTTACAAATGTCTTCAAAAGTCATCCTCATTACCGGTGGCACCAGTGGTCTTGGTCTTGCTGCTGCCCGTGAATGTCTCACAAAAGGCCACACGGTTGTCATTACTGGCAGAAATGAAGCCAGCCTAAAGAAGGCATCGAAACAAATTCTCAAAAACCTGGATCTCACTAATAAACTATACACAATCCTCTTGGATCTCAACAACCTTCAGTCTGTTCGTGAAGCCGCTGAGCAGTTCAAGGCTCTCAAATTGCCACTCAATGTGCTCATTAACAATGCAGGACTCACAACACCGACATTGGAATTCTCATCAGACTGTGAACGCGTTGAAAAAACAATATTTGTCAATGCAATTTCCCCTCTGTACTTTACCCATCTACTGTTTCCTTTGTTTGACAAGACTAGTCGTGGACGGATCATATGGATCTCTTCATCCTTGCACGATCCCAAGATTTCTGGAGGCAGAGTCAGCGCTCTCTCTGCGATGCCTGAAACCGTCGATTTCGACAATCTCGATGGTCATATCGTTTGGGACAGCATGCTTTTTTACAAGCTATCCAAACTGGGTAATGTCTGGATCTCAAACATCTTGAATGAACAGCTGCTACTTTCAGAAGACAACAATAATGTTTCTACAATTGCTATTTGCCCAGGATTTGTTCCAACTACTGCACTGAGTCGCAATTCACCTTGGATACTACAGATGGGGCTTCGGTACGTTTTGTCTCTTATGAGCTTCACAACATCGGAAGCACAGGCCGCAGCAGACTATGAATATTATGCAACTACCCCCGATCTTGAAGCCGTTTCAGGCAAGTTTTTGAAAAAGCGAGAACTGTCAGAGGGATCAGAGGAATCAAAGGATCTTACAAAGGCAAAGCGATTCTGGGATCTGGCGTGTGAAATTACTGGAATCCCAAAAAATGCAAAATGGACAAACTAGAAAGAAAGATATAAAAATAAAACGATTGTACACTATTGTAAAAGAGTGGTGTGTATATATGTACGTATTTTTGCACTGCATTGAAAAGAATTCATTGATGATATAACATTATTTTTATTTTATTTTATTGAAATTATAAATTTGGCTTGCAAGTAGATAGATATAAAGTACTCAACAAAGTACTTGAAACATCTTGAATTATCAAAATGGACTAAAGGATCCAGGTGACCAGAAATGATACATGCATGGTGTGATGATTGTAAATGAAGGCCCCGAATATTCATAGAAACTCTTCGACATTATAAGCCATCAAGCAAATAAAGATATTCCAATCCCCCCCCCCAAAAAAAAACCCCCCTTCACGCGTCTTGACAAGTTGCACGAGAGTCGAAGTCAATTTGATGGCACAATATTCCCCTTTGCAACACGACAGACCAAACAAGTATCATTCCATAAGTTTTACCCAGATCCTTCAGCACACTTCCTTTTTTCATTTTTACATGCAGACATGAAACATTGTCTAAATTCTGAACAATTGATTAGTTTTCAAATATTCAATCAAAGCCAAAAAAAAACAGATTTTTTCAATTGCTTAGGCGCTTGCGTGTATGTGTGTATTCAGTAAACAATGTTCTCAGCACAAAGCGTCAGGCAATGTAGATAAGGTTGATTTGTAATAAATTCATCATGTACACACATATATACGCATAGCACCATGACAAAAATACGCTGCTTCGTAAAATAAGAAAAGGATTAAAGAGGCTTACCATTTCTTTTCTTGGAAACACAGGTTTGTTTTTTTTAATGACGGTTAATAGATCATCGATGTGTTGACAACGCGTACACGATGTACACTAATCTTCTTCAGGGCCTCAGAATCATCAACGACATTCTTTCATATGTATATACGTATATTATATACTACCCATGTTGCGGTAGTATGGTGGGGTCTGTATGATTCTGAGGCACAATGATTTCAAACAGTAATCCATCAATCCATCAATCCATCAATCCATCAATCCATCAATCCATCAATCCATCAATTGATAATCTTTTATGGAAAGATATATTTTGGACCTTTCTTTATTTTTACCATGGCTAATAATAATGATCTTAACAATAACAAGAGAAAAGGTAAGCCGGATTGATTGCTGCATAATCTTATATCTTTACTCCAATCCGTGACTTTTCCGGCTGTGCTTTAAAATGCTTTACTTCTTGCACTGCCAAAAAGAAAAAAGTATCTGTTAAATTCAATTTAGGCTTTGTTTTTTATTTATATACAGAAAAAAGTAGAAATGAATTAATGAATTTATTATCTGTGGTTGTTAAGCTTTGATACTAATTGCCTCTATCTAATGACATGCAAATAAATATATTCATATATACATGCATTTATTTTTTTTAGCACCCACCTTAAAGGGCCCCCACACAGGACTTCATTTTTTCATTTGTTTCCCGCTCTCAAACACCTTTCTTTTTCATTTTTTTTTTTTTAAAAAAAATTATTTTTTTCAGTATGTTAATATTTTGTCAGTAGCAATTAAATTAAATAAAATTAAATAAAAGAATATATATATAACTATTGACTGCGGCAAGGCAAGACTTTCCATTGTCATCGTCGTTATGCCAAATGGGAGGAAACTCAAAACTAAGCTCAAGGGCTATACAGCTCCTACAGCAACAATCAACCACTCGGCAGAAACCAAAAGACATGCTGACGAACATCAAACTATATCTGTCACTGCGAAACTCGCTAAGATGCGATTTGAGCAGGGACGAGCTGAAATGAATCGCCAAAAACGCCAAGATGCCCAAGGTACATCAAGTGCTCCAATTTCCTTTCACTCACCTGCCGAATGGACTTTTTCTTGGGAATCAACTCCTGAAAAATCTACACATAATGCAGCTGCAGTCACGGCCGCCGTTACGGCTATGAGTATGGCTTCAGCTACAGATACGTCTGGAGCATCAACCGCGACTCATCGTGCTCCAGCCGGACCCCCACCTCCACCTTCTTGGCTGCCAAAACCTATCGTTGCTACTCCTCGACGTAAAACAGAAGACATTAGCTACATTACCAAAAGAACTTTCACAAGTCTGCGTGTAATCTGTGCGCATGAGATTGCCAAATCTCTCAAGACATGGCATTCCTCTGCTCCTGGAAAATGTGCTAGGTACTTTTCAGCTCTACCAATGACGGCCAAGGAAATTATCCTCCAAGAATTCAGTGCGCTGCATCGTTTGGGATACAACGGATTGCCCGATCAGTTCTTGTATTTATTCGGTGGTCACGATCATTATACACATCTTTGTCTAGAGGGATCGTCGGTTTCCTTAAATAAATTGATCCAAGTATTCTGGCGTGCTCGTCCAGAACACGCACGACCTAAGATTTCTTCAGCCGATGAAGATTCGTTAGCAGATGACTGGGAGGATGCAATAGAAGATAAAATTACTGACAATTATAATAATAGTGATAATAATGGTGAAAGTGGCAGTAATGATTATGACCATAACCACAACAACTCTAGCATCCACTTCTACACATATGATCCAGAGGACCAAGAAAACGAAAACTTTTACTCTATCCAAGATATCCTGCGCGTAATTCTGGGACGATCCATGAAACCCAATCAACCTTACCGTCTCTTTACTCCCCTATCCACTCAGCTTGTCTCACTTAATCTCTCTTTTGTACGTCCTGTTCTTCCTTCAGTTGCCCTCGCGCATCTCTTGTGTGCCACTCTGCCGAATCTCCTTTCTTTATCAACTGCCGGAACATTTGGCCCATCAGAAGGCCCTTTAACACTTCGGATTCTGTCACAAGGCTTACAACGCTTACATTATTGGGATATTGGATATCATGATTGGATTACTGCAGATATTTTGTGTGGGTATACAAGCAAGACTGTCATACATTGGGCCAAAGACCTCCGTGATCTCAGAGTTTTGGCTCTCCAGTCAGCAGGCCCGAACAATAATGTAGGCACAGATGTAGCTAATTGGATAGCAGACCCCCCTCCAGAAGATCGTCTTCGACATCTCAAACGTATAAAGGTTATCTGCAAGTGATCATTCTAATAAAATTTAATATATAATAAAAAAAATCATTGTTTTCGTGTACATATTTATAGGCAATCTACACATCTTTTGATTGCTTAATTTGCATATTGTCCATCCTCTTCTTTTATTTTATTTATTTTGTTCCAAAAAACAACAACCAAATCTTCTACCAAGAAAAAAAAACTTGTCTATCCGCAATAGGATATTAAGTCATGATCCTAGAGAGAAGTGAAGCATATTAATAAAAACAGAAACAATACTAGAGTTTATGTTTCGGTTTGAGACTTTGCTAGCTACTTTAACGTAACTAATAGGGTTTAATAATAATATATCTCAATATCTTATTCTATCTAATTTATAGAATATATACCATAAAGAAGTTAAAGTGTAATTCATTTAGGACCAGAAATCAAGAAATCTGATGGTGATTTCTCTGGCAAGATTGTATCCAGCAATGATTATAAAAAAAAAATACATGTGTTATGTTCTGACTGATTCTCTCTGAACAAAATATCCAAAAAGTTCTACATCATTTCATAATCTATATCCGTAGACCCTTAACATTATGTTTCTTTTCCATCATAATCATGCTCGAGTTATCTTTTTTATCAGATGTCGGGTTTATTGGCCAAAGCATATAAAATAATAAAATAAACTATATATATATATTTCTAAATTGTTATATTGTATAAAACAACGCGAGAAAAATAGTACCAGAAGAATAAGAAAAAATAAGGACAGGGGAAAGACCTATCGACTATAATATATATGTAAAAGACATTGGTGTTTCGTAGATGAACATGAGAAATTAATATATATATAAAGGCTTTTGATTTTTAAAGTGTAATTTTTATTAAACATTAAAGAAGTATAAAGGTTCAAATGCACAAACACCAACTCAAACTGCATTATCTAAAGAAACCTTTTTCTACTTTCCGACTTCCAAACTTCAATAACCTTTCCCAGTTGTGCGTCCAACACTTAGGAAGGAGCAATTAACAAACCTAAAGCAGCAAAGGTAAAGAAGGATTGGTAAGTTACATCATCTTCAATGATTTTACTGTTCAGAAAAACAGCACTACTGTATAAAGCAATACAATATGTATATGTATTGTCGTTAAGATCGCTTCATCAGATATTGGTGTAATGTTGTCTCATTAGCCCTTTTCAACTCCTGCTGGGCTTCCGAAGTAGCAAATATACATAGTCATCATATCGATCTTGTTGTGACAATATAATACACATATTTGATTTGATAGTTTACCTATGAAAATCAATAAACCAAGAGTTAATATAACTGCAAATTGTTCAAATGATCTCAAGTACAAGCAACCGCAATGATTTGTAACAGAGTATGTATAAATGTATATATGTCTGTACGTTATATACTCTCAGATATTGTGTGGTTGTATTTATCTCATTAGCACTCCCGCTTCTGAAGTAGCAAATATATAACAATCATCATTTTCATATATACATATTGACATACATACAAGCACACATACTCTTTATTATAATTATAAAGATAATAATACTATAAAAGAAGTGCATTTTATGATATTTACCTTGTTTATATATTCGTCCCTCTTGATAAGTTGCGCTTGAATCTTGGATGCTTAAGAAGCAAAGAGATTCCAATGTCTTGAGAACAAATCACAGATACTTTAAGAATGAATCGTCATAATTATCCTCAACCCTCTGAATCCAAAAAGACTTTTCTTCTTCTTCTTTTTTTCTTGACGCGAGTGTGTAGAAATGGTTGTATATACAACATATCCAATTGATCAACAAAATATTCTTTTGTTGTTGGATAGAATCAATCACAAATCCATAATGACAATAATAATAATAATAATAATATCTTCAATCTTTGAGTAAATCTATAAAACATAATAAATTTATATCAGATATCATATCATATATCCGTCCATCCATCCATCCATCCATCCATCCATCTATCCATCTATTCATCTATCTATCAAATACTTCATTGATAACTTAGTAGTATTTTATATATCAATATTTACCTTTGTGATGTCTGCAGACAATTTGACAATGTAAAATCAAGTTAAAGAGATGAAATTGAAAGAATTGGTTTGAATGTGTGTGTACGTGTGTACGTGTTTCAACTGTTTCAATGTGAATTTTTTTTTTATATATAAAAATAATATAATGTCCGATACATTAACAAACTAAAAAAAATCCGAGTAGCTGGTAAGTTAAAGTAATATCAGAGTATATACAATTTTTATTTATTTATTTATTTAGGTTTAAAATGTGTATATAATTACATATATGGCTTTTTCTTTTGAATTGTAAAAGCCATGGTGTTGAAATGATGATGGGTGGAAGAAAGTATTATCTATTATTGTATATTTACTGATCAATTAAAAGAAGCCATTAGCCAGAGTAGATGATATAAAGACATGTTACAGATTGTGCCCTGATGTGTTTCGTATCACAAGGCTATTCTAAAGATTGGCTTGTAAAAGAAAGAATGACATTGGCGTTTTACATTATTTGGTATCTATAGATCACCAGATTTAGGGAAATACAAAACATATACACATCTGTACAATGTTATCTTATTAAGAAATATTGATGAAAATCAGACTAATAAACTTTTCCAAAAAAAAAAATTATTGCTATTTCAATAACATTTTGCGAGAATCTTGAAATACAGTCTAAACAACACCAATAGTTACTGATCGGGTGTTTACGGTGCTATTCTTGAAATGACAATCATGTTGCTTATGTTGTGTATTCTGGTCTACTGCATATCTGTAAATAGAGAAACATTTGCTACTAACAAGTATTAGACCATAGAGGCTTTTTAAATACGATGCAAGCCAAGACCATTTCTAATTTCTCATGACTGTTACTATACTAAATGAATCTAGATCTGAAAGAAAGAAAAGATGATAATAAAATAAAATGCCTTAAGGATTTCCCTTTCTTTTATACATTAATGGTAGGACAGCGTATTAAATGAAACGAAACGATAAGAAACAAAAGACAAAAAAAAGGCACTCCTAGAATCATACACCATATAATCAACTGACTTGTTTACATTTGTACTTACATGTAAGATATTGTATGTATCTTGTGCTTTAAGGCAATTTTGTCACATGATAAACAGCTATTATATATATATATATGGATATATTGGCTCTTGACACAATTACAACCGACCAAAGAAAAACAAAAACAGAAACAAAACATAATACTGATCGAATTTATTATAGCATCTTTCAAAATACAAAAGAACAAGAACTAAACGAGGCTTGTGAGCACATTGGTCATTGTTAGATTTCTACTTATATGGACTACAGTTGTACACTTTTTAGCTTGGCTTTTTTTTAAGCTTTTATTTACATTGATGTTTAATTACACAAGCACACACGCACAAATATGTTCTTGACACTATCCTTATTAAAGAATAAGCCGATGTGTTATAAAGTTAAATAAATACACATATACTACAGCACATTATACATTCAAATTTTAGTTTAGTTTAACATTTGACCCCCCTACCTACCTACCTATGTCTTGCAAAACCCCGTGTCAATCTGTTTATTTTCTTTAGCTGATGGAGTCTATTAATAAACCGCACAGCTTATTCAGTGTGTGTGTGTGGTTTGTCCGGTAAATTGGGCTGCGTTGTATTCAATGACAACCTTATTTTTTTTAAAAAAAATGTATTATGGTATTAATTTTTATTAAAAGGTAGCTTATTTTTAAAATAAGCTTAAAGTAGATTGTAAGAATTTTTTTTAAAAGAAATCAAAAAAAAAAAAGATTTACGCAGCCTTGATTACTCCCAATTAGCAAAATGCTTTATGGTGCCAACTACTTCTCTATTCCCCTTCAAGTTCTCAGCTTTCTCAGTCAATATCTATTGTCAGTTCCATACAGCTCTAAAAAACGTTCTTCTGATGAATCCTTAATGGAGTATGATTACATGGAATATACGCAGCCCTAAATATACACTATAGAGTCTTCCAACTACATTCCCATTTGTCTTCTCACTCGATTCTGCCCTTGGCCTCGATGTCTACATATTTTATAGACTGTCCGGCTGTCTGGAAAATTCAATACCACTTATTGTGCCAAATATTTTAGCAAAGGTCGTAAGCCGACGACCTATCATTACGGAAACGCTATTTAAAAAAAATCCTCGGCTGATAACGCACTATTAGCGAAAAGGCTCTATAATTAACAAAATAGGTTATTAGGTGGTGGACAGCATAAACAATAAATAGTGTGTTTCAGTACAAACCTTTAATCTCCATAAATGTTTTAACGATTTTGGTGTGAAACTAAAAAACAATTCACCGAGACAGACCAAGTCGAATGGCATAACATCTTCGAAGATGTAGATCCCTCTACTTGCTTGTGAAAGATGGTATACATATATTTTATTTACTATTAAAGTAATTATCCAGAAAATTTCAGGTCAAGGAAAAATATATATAACATTCACAATATACTTGAATGCCAAGAACTTTAAAATTTTCATACAAGCCTTGGTCTCCAAACTTTATCATTCTTCTTATTTTTCTTTAAACTTGACTTCAAGTCCTTTGCCAGCCTTATTTTGTCTCCAACAAAATGCTGGTGGTTGGGTTGGTTAAGTGGACCGCTCACCTTCACAAGAGTGAACTGAAGCTCAAATTTGTTCAGGCTCAAAAGAGCATCAGGAATATTGTCTCGATTTCGTCTTTCGCTGTCTTTTTGAGTTCTTTGCTTATCTTCTTTATCAGCCGGAAGAACCTGGTCCCCCCTAAAAAGCAAAACTCGTTATTTAACTTTGAAACCTTAAGAATAATTGGGTGAAATGTGGTGCTTGTACATGTCTTACCACTGCAACCTGAACTGAGACTATCTTTTAAACAGTTCTTTCAAAAGTGGTGCCAAAAAAGTAGCAATAAGGTGTAGTTTTCCTTGCTAGCTGTAAATAGAACAATATGTGACAGAAGAGTAAGTATCCCGTCTACCAAAAAAAAAAACATATGTTATTCAATTGTATTTTAAGCTTAGATTTCTAAACTTTTTTTTCTTACATTTGTTTCATGAGTCTTATTGCCTTTTTTTTTTATGTGGAAGTCTAGTCTTTGTTTGCACGCACAGTATTTATGGCTTGTTTGATGGAAATTCGAAGCTCAGATTGATTGTTCTACAGAACGGATGGCTTTAGAACATAATATACGTTAAACCTTCATTTTATGGACTTACTGAGAGGTCGATTACTTCCGTTGTAAAATTCTTAATGTCTTTATATGTTGTGCCGTCAGAGTCTGGGGCCACTCTTTCAGAAGAGGTGTTATTTTTTGCAAGATCGATTATTTAATTTATGTAGCGCTCTTTTATAATAGCTTGTCGTTTTGTAGAAGAGCTGGATGTCAGGTCTATTATTCCATAGAATAAAAGGCTAATTTGCTAATTCTAGGGGGAACGACATTTCCTGGTGGGAGACAACATTTCGATTCTATCGGACCACAAATCGTGGCCTTTCTGCCGGCATGGAATAACTCTATCTGGTCCCTAAGGATCAATTCTTAGTATAATAATTAATATCAGCCAGGATACAAAATATTCATAAAGAATTTATTTTATACTTTTCAAAAAAGAGTGGATGGGAGGTTACTTACCAGTTCGTACTGTCAGACTCTGGGAATGTAAGTAAGTAAAAGAAAGAGAAAGGCATTATACGCGTAAGAAGGATAATAAATAGTAGAATATCAAGCAATATTGCGTCACACTCTATATTGACAACAACTCCTTATGATCTTCTGCATGGTTGGTAATTGATATAATGTATGTGTGACTAAGAGCATCCGTAGCAGTAGCATTTCAATTAGCATTAAATTGAGTGCTCATAAGCGACATCTGAGGTTAAAAGAAGTAAAAAAAATGGAGGGTAAAATATCAGTAGCATAATAAAAAGAAGCATTTAGATAATTATACTATCTGGTATAGTCTTCTTCACTAGTAAAATTCATTATTATTAGATATTTTTCTTTTATTTCTAATATAAAAAACACAAGTTAAATGTCTTCAAGAATATCAGCTTTGTAGTGAGCATAATTTTTGTGAGTTTTTGTAAGTGTTGCTATACACTATTATTCGATTTAAAGAAAAAATAAATAAGAAAAACAATTTAAATGCTCAGCAAGTTTTTAAAATGAGCATCTATTTCATTGCTCAAGGTCATAAAAATTACGGAGCATGGAATTAGATGCTGTCGGAAAAGCTACTGCTGCAGACCACTTTTTTGGAAAGCATTTCCAAAAAGCATTTAAATCGGGAAAAACTGAATTTAAATGCTACTGCTACGGATGCTCTAATTACTATTTCTTTATTGTCAAGTCTAAATTCAGGGCTACTAATTGAACATACAGGATTTTTTTTTCGTATGAGATATCATTTTATTATTAAGTTGCCCAAATACAGACTGTGTCTCTTAAAATAATGAGAGTTAGGTGTCTTGGAAGAGATAGATAAACACAAAGTGTGGGGACAAAGTATTAAAGCTAATGGATGCAATGAATATATTGTTTTTTTAGGACACGCCATTTTGTATTGAAGGATTAGAGAAAGACGCCGGACCCCAGACATGTAGTCGCAATGAATTAGTCCGTTTAGATAGAAACGTCGTGCCCCACCAGGAAACGTCGTTCTCGTAAGATTGCTGGTGGCTATAGTTTATTTATTTTCACTTACATTCAATATACACATGTATATATGCTTACCTACTATCCGGAATTGAATCTAGCATCTCTAATGACTTATATTATTTCTTGGTAAATGGTATTTGGCTTCTATAATGACTAAATTCAAGCTTGATATATAACAGTTTTTATCATACATTTTTTTTTGTTAATGTATCGGACATTATATTATTTTTATATATATAAAAAAATTCACATTGAAACAGTTGAAACACGTACACACGTACACACACATTCAAACCAATTCTTTCAATTTCATCTCTTTAACTTGATTTTACATTGTCAAATTGTCTGCAGACATCACAAAGGTAAATATTGATATATAAAATACTATTAAGTTATCAATGAAGTATTTGATAGATAGATGGATAGATGGATGGATGGATGGATGGATGGATGGACGGATATATGATATGATATCTGATATAAATTTATTATGTTTTATAGATTTACTCAAAGATTGAAGATATTATTATTATTATTATTATTATTATTATTGTCATTATGGATTTGTGATTGATTCTATCCAACAACAAAAGAATATTTTGTTGAGCAATTGGATATGTTGTATATACAACCATTTCTACACACTCGCGTCAAGAAAAAAAGAAGAAGAAGAAAAGTCTTTTTGGATTCAGAGGGTTGAGGATAATTATGACGATTCATTCTTAAAGTATCTGTGATTTGTTCTCAAGACATTGGAATCTCTTTGCTTCTTAAGCATCCAAGATTCAAGCGCAACTTATCAAGAGAGACGAATATATAAACAAGGTAAATATCATAAAATGCACTTCTTTTATAGTATTATTATCTTTATAATTATAATAAAGAGTATGTGTGCTTGTATGTATGTCAATATGTATATATGAAAATGATGATTGTTATATATTTGCTACTTCAGAAGCGGGAGTGCTAATGAGATAAATACAACCACACAATATCTGAGAGTATATAACGTACAGACATATATACATTTATACATACTCTGTTACAAATCATTGCGGTTGCTTGTACTTGAGATCATTTGAACAATTTGCAGTTATATTAACTCTTGGTTTATTGATTTTCATAGGTAAACTATCAAATCAAATATGTGTATTATATTGTCACAACAAGATCGATATGATGACTATGTATATTTGCTACTTCGGAAGCCCAGCAGGAGTTGAAAAGGGCTAATGAGACAACATTACACCAATATCTGATGAAGCGATCTTAACGACAATACATATACATATTGTATTGCTTTATACAGTAGTGCTGTTTTTCTGAACAGTAAAATCATTGAAGATGATGTAACTTACCAATCCTTCTTTACCTTTGCTGCTTTAGGTTTGTTAATTGCTCCTTCCTAAGTGTTGGACGCACAACTGGGAAAGGTTATTGAAGTTTGGAAGTCGGAAAGTAGAAAAAGGTTTCTTTAGATAATGCAGTTTTAATGTTTAATAAAAATTACACTTTAACAACAAAAATTGAATTGTGAATTGAGTAAATTAAAGAATAATAATTTATGAAACAGCAACCAGAAAATTAAATTTTATAAATAAAAATAAAAGATGATTGGAATTTGAGTAGCAGAATTGAATTTTAAATGAATTAAAAAAAAAAAAAAAAAAAGTGAGACAATTGACAAATATTGACCGAATAAGATCCGATCTTCTCTTATTCCAACGCATTATTATTCTTTTTAATTTTAATTTTCTAGTCTCTCTTTCTACTCTATTCTTGTTTGGTTCATTTGCTTTTACGATATTCATTCAATTTCTCACAATGTAAAGACGTGTGCTATGTGGCTTTAGATAAATGAATACTCAACTGTTTTTTCTTTTCTTTCTTTCTTGTATGCATTTGCATTGATAAGCAGAAGAACAACAACATATACGCCTTGATGTTCATTTACCCGATAACAAAACTATACCTTATATGCAGGTATGTTACACGGTGTCAAAATAAAAAGGAAGATATAGATGTGTGTGTGTGTGTTCTTGACGATAATCTTTTCTCCAATACCAATTAAGCTTTTTTATTTTATTTTACTTTTTAATATTATGATTATGATTATGATTATTTTAGTTTTGTATCAATTGGAAGTTTAGCGGTAAGATTTTCAAATGTGAATGCTTTTTATAATCAAATTATATATTTGTGTGCGTGTGTGTTTTATATAGTATGGGTAAGTACCGTGATTTCTATTGGTTGAGTGGGTTATATGGCATCTTAACCTCGTCAAGAAAATAAAATAAAATAAAGGTATAATTCTGGAGCTCTTATTGCTGTCAACGTATTGGACAAACGTGATTCGGGCTATCAGAACACTAAAGTTGAAGATAACGTCTTGTTGGTCGTACCACTTGCTTTGTCTTGTCTTGGAGCACTGGTAAGTTTCAACTGCCAATCAAATCAAATCAAATCAAATCATATTTATTTATTAATTTAATTTAATTTAATTTAATTTTGTTTGGTTGGTTGGTTGGTTGGTTTTTATACATACATACAAAAAAGTGTTCTGGATTGGTGGCAGATTTCATTGGGCGTAAACGATCTTTTGGAGTAGCTGCCATGCTGGATTTGATTGGTTCACTGATACAGCTTCTAGCAAGAAAATATTGGGAATTTTTGCTAGGAAGATTGATTGCAAGCTTTTCTGTTGGGTGAGAGATACTAATTTGATTTTATTTGATTTGTATCATTACATCGTTTACTAATCTAAACCTTTTAGGATACTTTGTTCTCTTGTACCTTTGTGTAAGTATTGCTATTGTTCTTTATTGTTGTGACTATCATATATATAAAAATTAGAGGGAGATACTTGAAAAGTAACGCAAGGTAAGAGTAGATCAAAGTGAGGTCTCACTGCCAAATATTCGTGGTAGGCTTATAACACTGCATCAGTTGGGGATCACGTTGGGATTCAGTGTTGCCTTTTGGATTGGGTATGCCTTGCACAAATACACGTTTGATAAAGCTTGGAGGTGAGACTTTTGTTCTTAAATGTGTAAAGCTTATATCTATATATACAAAATGGCAAGTTCTAACCAAATTCATTCGATTGTCTATATTTCTTATAGAATATCTATCGGTTTACAGATCGTTCCAGCCGTAGTTTTACTTGCCGGTCTATTATTTATACCCGAAAGGTAAAAGAGAGAGAAAAATAAAAAAATAAACATAAACTCAAGTCATCATTATCACCATCTCTCCCTCTTTTTTTTTTATTAAAAAATAAATAAAGCCCTCGTTGGTTACTATGTCATGACCGAAAAGACGAAGGGTTTGGTATATTAACAGATCTGCGATGCGCAAAGGACGAGCCTATTAAAGACACAGTGCGGATGGAGTACACTCGGATCCTTGAGAATGTAGGCTATGATCGACAATGTGATGCACAAGGAGTAGGTGGATTGTGGTCCAAAGGTATCGAGAACAATGCAAGGCGCACTCTTTTGGGTACTAGTATACAATCCGCCAGCCAGCTTAGTGGTATCTCTGCTCTACAGTAAGTCAGTTTGATTTGATTACTTTTTTGCCGTCTGATTGTTCTTACTTTCTTTTGTATTTGAACAGGACTTATCTTCCACAGCTTGCTGGGCCTGTTTTAGGCACCAAAAGAGTCTCGGCTTTGTTATGTAGGTCTCTTATTATTAATATTAATGATAATAAACGCATATATGCATATTATTCATAATTTTATTTTGGTAGTCCTAAGTATTGGAAGTACAATTAGCCTGATATTTACTATCCTAGTCTTCTTTTACGCAAGTATACTTGACCTATAGCACTGCACTACTATAGTCAATCGATATTCTAAATATCCAATATTCATTCAATAGGTCGATCGGCTCAACAGACGCAAGATCTTAATCTGTGGTGGTCTGGGTATGGGTGTGTGTATGATTGTGATTGTTATCATCACCGGACTACAGACCGAAATTACCGACAAGAATACAGACTCCGAGAGTCTAGGCGCCTTACTTGGATTCAACATGTCGTCTATTAATCGCAAGCCATCTATTGCCATAGTTAGTCTGATATTTGGCTTTATGGCCATCCACTCTGCAAGTTTGTAGGTATAAGCTATCCAGATATCTATTCATTTATCTAACCCTCTTTTAATCAAAAGTGGGACACTTGCCTGGGTCTACCCTGCAGAAATCTACACTCAACTCATCCGAGCAAAGGCAATTGGTATCACAGTAGCAGCAAATTTCTGTGTTCAGATATTTATTGTAGAGATCGCTCCGTTAATGTTTCTCAACATCTTGTGGGGAACATACATCATCTTTGGCTGTCTTTGCTTCTTGATATCTATACTTATTTACTACTATTATCCCGAAACAAAGGTAATCGGTACCGTCGGCTTTGTACTGTTATTGACATTATTTAGGGACGCTCTTTGGAAGAAATCCACCTGATATTTAGTGGAGCTTTGTTTAATCAGCGGGCAGAGGCACATCATCCATCAACCGCAGCCGAGACACTTTTTCAGATGGCCAAAATTAGCATTGAAGAATCCGAATCCGAATTCGAATCAAAAGAAAAAGACAAACCACGATCAATTTCAGACTTGGAATCAACTTCAGAGTCACTTATGCCTCCCATTTGTGGTTTATCTCGTCGGAAGACAGCTCCAGCTGTGATGCTGACTAGATTTCCGGATTCTGCTTTGTTGAGAACCAAAAATCTCAGGCGGCAGCAAAACATAAACATAAACAACAATAACAATAGTAAGGAAGAGTCAAGTCTATCGATACGCTCAAATCCAATCCGTAGAACGAGGAAAATCAGTCCTTATCTTTCGATAGATATCCCATAAACATATATTAGAAACAATATAAGAAAATATTCATAATAAATGTGTAAAGATGTACGTAAGAACAAACCAAATTAAATTAAATTAAATTAAAACAAAAAAGATAATAGCATATACTGTTAGCTGGTGGGAAATTAGATGTGTATTATGTAGTAATTGTTGTGCATTTAGATATGGTGGGATGCGGGAAGATAACGAACGATTGATTGGCTGTCAGGATTTATTTATTTATTTATTTATTTTGCACAAGGATTGTTGAACCCAAACAGATGGTTTAGGTTATATATATATATATATATATATTGTATATTGTATATGGTTGGTCGGTTTGTAGTCTTGGATAAGAAATATTACTTGAATTGGTAAGAAAGTGATGTCAAATATTAAAAAAGAAAAAAAAAAAGAAAGGGGGATGAGGCAAGATACACGGAGAAAATATATATATATATATATTATTTTTGGTTCAATTCGGGTCAACTTCAAAAGGTTAATCCGATCAAAAAAAAATGCACCTTTTCTGTTGTTGTTGTTGTTGTTGTTGTTGTTGTAATGCTCCAAAATAAAATGAATGTTTCTTATTCAAGGTGTATAATCTAGACAGTTTTTTGTTCATTTGCTTCTCTTTCGTAATTGTACTGTAGAATTGATATCATTTGAATTTAATTACATCAAAAAAAAAGAAGAAGAAAAAAAAAGGAATCAATATTAATATTGCATTGTATTGTACTATCGGCTGATGGACAAAGATCGGGACAGACCCATCCGATATTACACACTCAATCTCTATATAGAGCACCATTTTCTTATATAAATAAAGAAAATAATTAATGGTATAAAAGGTCAATTTGAATCCCCCTATTTTTCATTTTGTTCTTTTCTCTCTTGAATACAATCTACTTTAAACTACAATGTTTTGTACAAACACTCCTCTACCTACCATCATGATCCAGACCTATACGCCACCAGAACCGACACCACCTTCTCACCACTACTACCCAACAGTTGGAAGTTCGTCACCACTTCCTTACTGTCGTCCACTTCCATCTGTATTGATCGGTAAGATAATCCACACCGTCAAATAATAGCAACAAGGATAATAACAATAGCTATTATATCTACAAAGACTTGATCGCAATGACACTGTGCGATCTACTCCCGATCAAAACTACCCGAAGACGTAGCCCTCAAAACCCACGCCCACTTCCAGAACTAGTCTATTTCATCCACAAGATCACATATCAGGCCGGAATCAATTACCGAACCGCCCTGGTGGCCCTGATTTATCTCGGTAGAGCAAAACAGAACCTGCCCCACAACGCTGTCGGAAACCAGGACACCTGTCACCGTCTATTTTTGGGTGCCCTCTTACTCGCCTCAAAGTTCCTGCAGGACACCCCCTGGACACCCGACTATTACTACTGCCACTCGACCACAGCCTCAGATGCAACTACTGCGGTCAGTACTTTAAAAGTCTTGGCACAATCACCATCATTAATATCAGCAACAAAAGTACAAAATGTAACACCACCATTAAGACCTTTACACATTGTACCCTTGACCAACCGACGATTGTGCGACATGTGCAATGGAATCTTTCATCTCAAAGACATCTTTCAACTCGAATTGTCTTTCTTGCAGTTGATTCATTATGAAGGATGGGTCAATGAACGAGAATTCAATGCGTTTGTGATCAAGCACCGCGTCGATCTTTCCATTTAAACCCATCCATCCATTCGTTTCCTTCTTTTTTTTATGATGTACATATTTCTATCCATTTATTTATTTATATAAGCCAATAAGTTGTAAAGAAAGCACTTGACGAAAATGGGAACCAAGAAACAAGACAAGTGTTTCTCTTATGTACAAAATTTAATCAAACCATCTATACATACATATCTTTACATACTTTTACATATCTTTACATATATTTCCTTTTTTAGAATAAATATCTATTTCATTTATCTATCTATTTATTTATTTGCTGTTCTTGAGCACAACAATACAAAAGCTTCATGCTGTAGACATGTGTCAAAATCTTTATTCTACACTTTCTAATAAGTAAAGAAATCATCTGTTTGTTTGTTTGTTTGTTTGTTTGTTTGTTTGTTCATCGGCTGAGCATCACAATTTTTTCTTTTTCTTTCCTTTTCTTTAGTTTTGTCATTACCCCTACCTCTTCTTTATTGCCGTTCTTTTAATGCTATCTATCCTGAGTGGTTTGTCTTTTTCATATATATATATATATATATGCGTGTGTGTAACAACCGTTTCATTATTTTATTATTTATACAATGATTAAAAAAAAAATTTTTTTACTTGCAATGTTAATACCTCAAAATACCACCACTAACCACCACATCCCCCTTTTGGTCATTGCTGTACTATATTTTTATTATAATATATTATGCTATATTATGTTATGGCCTTGAGTTGCGTTGTTATTTACTGCTGTTTTTAAATATTATTTTTTCTTTCTTTATGTTGGGTTGCACTTCTTCTGGGAATACTTTTTTTTTGTTTTTGTTTTGTTTTGTCCTTTGTGGTATCATTCATTTCATATAATATGTTTATCTTTTCTTTGCTTCTTAGTTCTTTGTGTCCTTGGCATCCTTGGCGTCCTTGGCGTCCTTGTCAGTTGGGCTTGGCTTGTGAGTGTTTGTGGCGTTGTCTTTTTGACCATTGTTGATATTGTTGTTGATATTGTTGTTATGGGCACCGAGCTTAATATCCGGGTAGTCCCCGATTTCACTGATACTGTCAGAGCAAGTATCCTGCTGCTTGTCGCAGTCGACCTTGTAGACATTTTCAAGTTGACCGATATCCATTATTACTATTACTATTATTATATCAGTGGTATAAGTTGTTGCTGTTGCTGTCTGGTATTTGCTGTTCTTTAAAAATAAGATAAAAAAGAGCAAGGAAGAAGAAGAAGAAGAAGAAGAAGAAATAACGGAGTGATAATTAATATAAAATAAAATAAAATAAAATAAAATAAAATATATAGATAAAATAAAATAAACCTAAACTTATATATACGTGTGTGTGTGTACACATTTGTGTGATTTATTTCTTCTTTTTCTTCTTATTATTACCATGGTGATGATGATGATTATTATGCGTGTAGTGCTATAAAGATGAGCAACAATTTATTTTCTTTAAAAAAAAAAGTACAAAACAATCCTATGAACTTGATTGGATAACTAAAGTAATAAAAAAAATTGTATCTTTATTTTGTAGTATTTCTATTCAACAAAATTTTGAAACAAATTCTTGATACTTTTTTGTTTTGTTTCGATTCTTATTCTTTCTTCTGGTCTTCAAACCCTTTTTACTTCTTTGAATACCCAAATTTGGTCTTAATCCTTTACTTTGCTTCACTTTATTTCTAATGTTATTGTTATAGTATACATCGTGCAATGCTGAGTCGGGCAGTTAATATATATATATATATAAATATAAAATATAGAATACAATAGAAAACACACTGTATTTTCTATATCTATTTCTCTCTATATGAGTTAAGAAGGTTCAGAAACTAGAATGTTTCAAGGCTTCTAGAGCCAAAAAAAAAAAAAAAAAAAAAAAAACTCTCAAAAACAGATACACACACACGCATATATATGGTAGCCATTGTTCTTCTTATTATTCTGTTGAGAAAACATATGAATTTTTTTAAAAAAAAATTAAAAAAAAAAGAAAGATATATATAAAAGGACTTAGAAAGGTGAAGGAGTGAGGCGCAAATAAGGCTTGACCACGCGGACACCCTTTGGGAACAAGGTCTGGGCTTCTTCGGTTGACACACTTGGGTGAACAATCACATCGTCTCCCTTTTTCCAGTTTCCAGGTGTAGTGATACGATGTTTGTCTCCAAGCTGCAGAGAGTCGATCACACGCAATATTTCGTCAAAGTTGCGGCCAGTCGACGCAGGGTAGGACAGGATGAGACGGATGGTCTTTTTGGGGTCGATAATAAACACCGATCGAATGGTGAATGGAATACCCTTGGCGTCAAGGTTAGTAGCATCCTATAATAAAATTATATCATTTTTTTTATTATATTAGTTTAATGCTGTTAATATCATAATCTTCTTGGTAGTGTATTGACTATACTAGATTATACCAAAGAACAAAACACAAAACAGTATATAAACTTACTTGGTGGTCAAGCATGTCATAGAGCACAGAAACCTTGCGGTTGTCATCAGCGATAATAGGGAAATCAAGCTGAACATTGCTAATCTCATTGATATCCGAGATCCACTTTTGGTGCGACTCTAAGCCATTTGCAGACAAACCAATCACCTTGACGTTACGAGCATCAAATTCATCTTGGAGAGCAGCCACCAGCCCCAACTCAGTGGTACACACAGGAGCTTATTTTTAAAAAAAAATATCAAAAAATCCGGGAATTAATATATAGTCCAAGACCATTTAATACAAGCATAAGAAGAAACATTTGACTTGAAGAAAACATTGATTTCTTTTTCTGTTTCTCTCTTTGTCTTTTCTTCCTTCCCTCCTTCTTTTCGCTTATCAGAATATACTAAACCTCACTTACTGAAATCTGCAGGGTGAGAGAACAAAACGGCCCATTTTTCACCAATGAATTCGTGAAACTTGATAGGACCCTTTGTGGTCAAGGCTTCAAAGTCTACAAACATTTTCACGAACATATACATTTAGTTTAAAAGCACAAACTCAAGCGCACACACACACAAACACAAATATCAATTGTTCAATATTTATATGTGAAAATAAATTTACCTGGGGCAATAGATCCAAGTCTGAGAGACATTCTTTGTTTTCGTAGTTTACGTTGCCGTGAGAAAGAAAGAGAAAGAGATATATAAAGAAGGCCCGAGTCAAATGAGAATAGAAAAGAAAGAGAGAAAGAAGACAATCGAAAACGTCGAAGCCTTATTTAAAAGAAAGTTATTCAAAATCTATTTTTCGTTTTCTTTTTGAACAGAATGTAGTATAATTACTCTTTCCTCTCGAAATTTGTGAGTTACATGGCGCCATAGGATCACAAAAGTATATCATCTATAGGTGGCATTACACAAACACAACAGTAATGCTTTATCTGACTGTACAAGAAAACAGAAAGGTAAATTTGCACACAATTACACAAACGTACACCTCTTAATAATATCTATTTAGACTGGAAACATCCCTAAGCTCAATAGAGAAATTATTTTTTTAAGAGAATTGAAATCTTGACTTTGAAACTATAAAACTTTTTTCTTTAACCTTTTGCATTGGCAGTTTCTCGACTATTGAATCACAAAATACTAAATAGATTACGTGCGCTGTTCCTTGGTATGTAAATATGTGTACTTGAAAGTACGTTGCAGTCAATTTTTTTAGGGTATTCTTTGACTAGACAACAGCTTTAAGAAAAGAAGAAGAAACCAGAAAATGCTCAAATAAACTTAATCAGGATATTTAATGGTGTATAGTACCAATTGGCATTGCAAGTCGACTAATTTTTGTGCCATTGATTTCCCACTTTACCAAAAAAAAAGTTTCCTCCATTCTGTCTAACTTCTTTACACAAAATAAACCAAGCTTTCTGTCCAAAATAGCATAAATATCATACTAGTGAGTGAAACTTGTACAATATTTTGTGATTCAATAGTTATTTTGACTATAAACTCTCATCAGAAATAATTTCTCTGTTGAGTGAGCTTAGGGATGTTTCCAGTCTAAATAGATATTATTAAGAGGTGTACGTTTGTGTAATTGTGTGCAAATTTACCTTTCTGTTTTCTTGTACAGTCAGATAAAGCATTACTGTTGTGTTTGTGTAATGCCACCTATAGATGATATACTTTTGTGATCCTATGGCGCCATGTAACTCACAAATTTCGAGAGGAAAGAGTAATTATACTACATTCCAAATACATTTAAGCAAGACTTTAATTTATTCAATAAGAAGTGGAAAGTATATATATACACACACGCTTACAATTATTTATAAAGCCCTAAAAGTACACCGGGACTATCGAAAATAATTCTTATGGGCTCATTCTTTATTCTTCTTCTTTGAAATCTTTTTATTTAGTTAGTCAATAAAGCCGATTAATTGAAACAGTAATGCCTATAGGCTTGTTTTCTTTTATTGTTCTCATGATTAGCCAAGTAACACCACCAGAGTACCACAATGTTTCTTTATATTTTTTTTGTTTCAAAAGAAGAAAACAAATTTCTATACCGATTTATTCATTCACACACAAGAACATTGCTACGTTGTTCTTTAATACCAAGAAGTAAAGCTTCGGTATGTGTCTCACTAAATGATTTCTGACCAACTTTTTGTTTCACAAAAGAAAATCCTAAAGCTCTCCATGTTAATTTTGATTTAATGCACACCCAAGCTGCTATAAACAATACTAATAATGATAATCCTCGTTTAATGAATATTTTTGAAGAGATATTTATACTAATTCTTGGGTAAAATATATTGATAGATTTAGGTTTTAATAATGTAAATTTCTATCAGAAAGTACTAGGAGACATCAGTGACAAAAAATATGATGTTATAGAAAATGAGTAAGAGAGTGTCTTTAACAATTTTGGTAAAGGACAACTCTACGAAACTAGGAAGTTAGTCAACAAAATAGTATGGGAAAAATTGACCAAGTCAATATCTTCTTTAACAATTTAGGGGATTGTCGGAAGTAAGGGAAATAAAAGGAAAATTAAGTGAAATGGTATCGGAACATTTGGTGGTCCGGCGTTTTTGGAAAAGAAGGCTGGAAACAGAGTAGGTGTGTGGAGAGCCAACAAAACCACCACGCCTCGTGTCAGGATCCACAACTAAGACTATTTTTCTTTTCTTTCACAATTTTTACTAATTAGTGTCGATTTAACAAGCAATGTCATTTATTTCACATCAACCAAACCAGCAAGAACAATATGTAGATCAATATACTACTTATGATGAAAAAAATGACAGAGAAGAAATGCAAGACACAGTTTATAGTCATGCTCAGTCAATTTTTTTTTCTTGATTTGGTCATTTTGTCGTAGTACTTTGTTGTGAAGATGTATTTGACAACACGAATTTTATTTATATTGGCTTCTGCAGTCACGAAACTTTGAGGTGGTATTGTTAATCATCTGGAATAATTGTGTGTCAGAGGGAGAAAAGGTTTAGGTGTCGATTGGGTATGCAACTTTAAGGGATGGCGTGCTGACAGATGCAACGACAGATGGTGACAAATCTGCTTGGTAACAGCAATGCTAAAATAAAAGGGTGACGCGCAATAACGTACGGATCTTCTTCAGTGTGATGAATGAGTGAAGGCAGGATAATGCCTCAGGTAGGGTGATATGAACAATTTATGTTATGGTTGAGATATTCGGGATTGTTTATGGGTTAGTATTTCAATAATTGGAAAAGTAGATACGGTGAGAGTGTTATTTATTAAAGTGACAAAAATAATAAGGAGTTATATCAGAGCACAAGCAGAGGAATCGCACCAGGACAGCACCAAAATTCATTCCTGGGAGATATAAATAAAAACGGATATAAACAATTTTCATTGGCTTAGAAGAATACCCTTTTTCGGCATTGCTTCTGCCACTATTATTTTACACATATTGCTCTTTTATGAGAAATAGAAAAGGTTTTATATGCATAAACACTTTCTTATAATGTTTTTGCTTTAACTTACTGTTATTACAGCAAAATATATGGTTAAATGTTATCATTTTTTAAATAAAACGAAGAAGTATATAAATAGTACAAGTGCTATTTCTATATACGGAATAAAAGAGACAATATTATTGGTTTACACTGCTACACAAATGGAAAGCGTTTTTATTCGTGTGGTCTTCTTTTACGAGGATTGGTTCGACATGATAACGAAAGACGTTGCTTCTTGGCAGTATATGACTAACACTTTGATTTATTTTTACCAATATTCACTTTGAAAAAGGTATATATACTCCAGAAATCATAGGCAGCAATGGTTCTATCTCACCTTACTATTATTTCTACTTCGATTTTAAAAAAATGAATACTCAATTCCCCAGATTTTATCCTTCTGGAAATCCTGTTGTTGATGCACAGATGAGAGCCGCTCAAGCTCAGACTACCCAAAATGTTCAGGAGTCAAGACCAGAGAACACCAAGAAGACGATCCTACAACTCTACGACTTCGTACTGCTGCCCCAATGCTCCACTGATCCCTCGAGACTATACAGGCCCAGATACAGTCAGAGTCGAGTGGGCTGAAAGAAACCATGCAGCAACTTTTCACTGACTTAAGGGATATCACTTTTGGCCGTGCTCCATTAAATATAAACCTGTTAGTCTCAGGTGGGCCAGGCTTCCAGACGCCAATATTTATAATGAACTCTGAGGCCAACACTGGAGGATCTGGAAGTGTACAGGCTATACAATTTACAAACACACCACCACAGCCAACACAGCCACAACAACATCAACAACAAACAACAGCATATTTACCAGCTAATAAAAAACATCAAAAAACTTAAGTTTGTATAAAAAGTTACTTCAATAGAACGTTTAGAACCTTTTTTTAGCTATAATTGTTTTTGTTTGTTGGAATAATTATATGTCTTTTGACGAATATATGGCTTTAAACGTAAAGAAGTATAAGTATTGTGTATATAAGTTGTGTATGACAAGTATAATTTATATAGATTATTTTATACTATATTAAATACTTTTTGAATTACAGACTTCTTTTCTTACTGTCCTGGATTATTTCTTTTATACTATTTTATATTACATTTGAGCTTGTGAAGTCCCACACAAATATAAGTTGGACTTATTTCTTGTCAAGGCAAATATAAGTGGAATTATTTTTATTTTTTACTATGCGGCATTTCAAAATTAGGACAGGAAAATAATTTTGAGGCTGTCCTGAACGCTATATAATGAATTTTTTCTTAGCAGAGTCTGGTTTTCTAAGCACACTATAAAATGTATGACTCTAATACTTTTAATTACTTATCAGTGTGGCCAAGTCTGTTTTTTATGAATCTCTTCTTGTCATCACATTTGGCTATTAGAGACATCGATGCATTTCCATGTCAATCGAGCCACCTGTTGACTCTATTATATTTGTATGTGAAAAGGTGAAACATTAAGTACTTTGAGGCTCTTTTTTATTGTTTTATTAAAAGTTCAAGTCAAATCGAGTTATCTTAAAAGTTATTTTATCTATGATATTTATATTTATTGAGATATATCCAGTCACTCTGGATATGAGTCATCTTAGCAGCTTTGTGATAATAGTTTAAATACTTCTTGAATACAGTCCAATGATGGATCAAATACATAGCTATTATGTTTCAGATAGGACTTTATATTGGATGATCATTTATAACGACCTCTTTGACAGGTACTTCTATCTGGGCTCGTATATGATATTGGATATTAAAGTATCCCAAATACAACAGCCTCGAATGCTTGCCTTTTGGATGGTTACAATCTTCCCATCAATTGCTCTAATATACTCTTGTAAGTGGGCGTACCCAGAACCTTTAACTGCAATACCAGAACCGGCCATTATCTCATTGGATTCTTGAGTTAATGCTGCCCGTCTGATGTTGTATGGGTAGAAACGCCAAAAAATTGCACTCATGAACCTGGCAGTAAAACGATTGTAAGAAGCTTGGCTTATACCAAGCATCTCTGATTCCATTTGGTACCCAAAGTGAGTATTTGTCAGACGCTAAAAAAACAACTGCTACCTGTTTCCGCACAGGAGGACTCAAAATGTCTCTTTGTTCAGAAGATCTGAGCACACGGTCCTCCTTTCATACACACACAATCATATCCAACGTCTCTCTGTGTATTCTGTAATGCCCATAGAAGCTGCTGGGACCAGTCTCGTCATGAAAATAATGTTGGAAATGTGTTCATTAATGGATTGTGATTCAATTAACGTTTGTGCTGGTCAAACGCACTTTTTGAAGATGTACAGGCGAGCCATTAAAGAAGGCCTGATGACGTTGTCAAGGCTACCAGTAAGTCCAGCAATTATAATTGTGGTGTACATGTCCACGACAAGTGTATGGAGATTCAGCATAATTTCTCTCATCTGTCTGGAAAACTTGTCATCGTGCTCAGAACTTTCATTTTTGCTATTAGAAATCTCAACGGTGTTTTGAGAATTGAAGAATGTCTCCTGATAGTGTTAAAGGATGCCTAGTACAGAATTTCCGTTGTTGTTGTTGCTCATTTTGAGATTTGTAGATTTATAAATCGAAAATGTGAAGAATAGAAAAAAAAACACTGTTATATTAGATGATTTTATTAGTAAAAGCGTGGTATATACTACTTCTTCAAGCCATTTGCTATTTTGGGCGCAGCACAAAGCAATTAAATAAATAATATTTTATTTAATTGAGTTGAGTTGTTTTTTTTTTTTTTTTAAAAAAGAAAAAAAGTGTACTACAGCTTGTTGTTATATAATCCATGTAAAATTACCAGAAACTGATATATTGAACCTACTAATTAATCATTCTTTTGGGACAATTAATAAGGTTTTTTTTTCTGCTGAAGAAGACCATATGGAACAAATATCGGAGTGACGGTTGTTGTTTCATGGCCAATCAAGAACCTGCAACGCGCTAATCTTAAGCGAATAAGTCCGCTTCATTCACTTTTTTTTTTGTTAAAAAAGAAAAGGCATACATACATACATACATACATATATATATATATATATACCCATACGAACACTTACGAACACGCACGAATACAAAAAAAATGACACGCTTTATCATCACCGCGCTTGTTCTAACTGCTCTTGCAGCCCATGTGAATGCTGCTGGAAATGAAGACGTATTCGAAATGTTGCCTGAAATCAACCATGTATTCCGTCAACCTGAAGTAATGCCTTCTGCGTGGTTCTCCGTGCTCTTTGGGCTCCTAGCTCTTTCGCCATGGGCATTACTTATTTCTGGTGTAAAGTATCAACAATTAATATTAACTTTTTTTTTCTGTGTCTATCTCTATCTTTTTTTTCATATACACATACACATACACATGCCTAGAAAGACAGAATGAGATAAAGAGATATATTACATATAAGAACAATAATATTAACAATAACAATATTTTTTTAAAATAGTGGACCAGTCTTGGCATCAATCCATCAAAGATTGTCTCGGACTTGACAACTAGTTCATCATCAATGGGACCCGTTTCAATTGTCGCATTCCTTTTGTCATTGGCATCCATCGAGTATATTCTGTTCCTTTACTGGGTCAAGTTCAACATCTTCCAAACCCTCGGGTACCTTTTCTTGCTTTCAATTGTAGCAGCTGCCACTGGACAACGTGCATTGAGTCAGATCCAGAAAATTAGAACATCACCTTAAGATTATATAAATATATATATATATATATAGTGTTTGTGTAAGGAAGAGGATTTAAGATGTATTATATATAAAGATTGATTGTCATTTTGTGTCTGAGTGTTTTTTTTGTCTTATAAAAAAAGAAAGAAGGAAAGAAAGAATGGCTGTATTGTAATTGCTAAAGGAGATATATATATATATATATAAGTGTTGCGTGTGTTTATGTGTGAAGATAATAATAATAATAATAATAGTAGTAGTAGTAGTACTAGTAATTGTTGCAAATGTAAAATTTTGGTTGTTTGCTATTACTGTTGCTGTTGTTTACTGTCACTTTGCTTTATGAACGATCGCTGCGTACATTGACAGGACGATCGCTGTAAATAAATGCAGTGAATTCGCCTGCAATGTCTTTGTCATGTGTAGCAAAAACAGCAAGGTAGCCTAATGTTTTTGGGTGTGTGTATTGTGTGTTTTTTGTAAACGAATGTATTAAAAATAAGTCAATACGATATTTAATATTTTATGGTGGATTTCTTTTTTTTAAAAAAATGATATGATAATTTACCTGTTCCATTTTGACCGAGTACTATATCGTTTGTTGCAACACCCTTTATTTATTACAAGCAAGCAAGTAAATAGGTAAATATACATACATACATACATACATACATACATACGTTATATAGAAAGAAAAGGGAATGTGATTTTTAAAGTACCTGAATAACATTGGTATAAGGTCCAGAAGTAGCTACTTCTTGACCAAACGTGTCTTTAGGGTGCTTTTCATACAAAGTTATATTCATAGATGGGGTGGGTTCTATGTTTTTAGCCTGTAGCCGAATTCTATAAAGAAAAAAATAAAAATATATGTCGAATTGTATTATATACACATTTTTGTATTGGTTTTCTTTGTTAAATGATGTATACCAAAAATAAACAATAAGCGAAAGAACTTACTTTACAGTAGTCAGTTCTCGAATATCCAGCAAGTATCGAGGATTTTTGCTATAATTATTATGGGCTACACACCCCATTGCATTGTATCCACGTATCCTATAGAGAAAGAGAAATTGTTGAAATGTATATCCATATCCATATATTATAAGTAGGTTTGTTTCAAAATAAAATAAAGAAAGAAGAAAGGAATACTTTACCATTCACCGTGTATTATCTTTCGAAACATACCCTTTATAGATTTACATTATTATTATTATTATTATTATTATTATGATTATTATTATTATTATGATTTTCAAATATGTTATCTATTATTATCATAGTACTTACGGCTCCTTCTGCTGGGATAGGATCGACTGTAAGTGGAACTAGACTAGCTACAGTGAGAATAAACTTTCCGATAAGATCTGCTTCAAAAGTAGACGCTACTACAGTATAACTTCCAGCTACATATAGATAAATAAGTAGGACATTTAGATCAGTATAGAATAATATAATATAATATAATATACTGTAGTGTGGTTTGGCTTGGCTTGGTATAATTTTCCTTAAAGCTATGTTACTATATGAGCACTAACGTTGGACATTTTCAAGTTCAAAGTAGGAAAATCCGTGTCGGTAAGGTCCTGAATCCACCAAGATGTCTCTTACGGATACACTATTTATTTTAATGTATGAGTATAGATACAAGTATTCAATATAAAAAGAAACAAGGGGTTTATCACTTGCCTTGATACTCTCTTTCCGCCCTCAACTAGCATCAAATTTACTGCAAATGATTTCGGGGCTTCTAGCATAAGTAAGATTCCAGTAGTAGCAGTAACATTGTTGTTTTTATCTGTGCCTGGATCATCAGACTCTGGAGATGGGATTGTGATCTTCCATTGAGGATTATTCAAAAATGAAGGACTTGATGCATTTCCACCAGCTGTCTGGTCTGTCCACTCGCCACGGATCTTAATATTTTAAAAAAAAAATAAGATACGATACGATACGATACGATACGATACGATAATTTTTTTTTCTATAGTTGAATTTGTTACCTTTTGTTCTATAGAATACCGCATCGGTACTTCGGTGAGCTGTATGGGCGCAAGTGAATAGGATCTCAATGTGAAATATAGAGATCTCTCTTTTTCATGCTGAGAAACCACAATAGTATAATCACTTATACCAGGTGGAGCATTAAACCTAACCTATATTTGCATATATTTATAAATATAATTATAATTATTGTTAATTTTTTTTTGAATAAAAGAATCAAATGGCTGGTTGGTTGATTGATTGATTGATTATATATGCATACCAGAATGTGGGGACTGTTGACATAGGTACCCTCTTTAAATGGTTCTCCTGGATAGAATACTCTCTCGCCATTAGTGTTGTTGTAGATGTGAAGAGTGATGTAGTCTGTATTCTCCTCTGTGACCATGATGTGTTTTGAAAGTAAGAGCCACACTGCAGCTGGTTTTTTGTCTGGTACATTTACTCTCAATCGAAATTGTGGGTTGTAACCTTGTTGTTATTTATGCATATTAGCAAACTTGATCTTGTGTATTATAAGCAAAAAATAAAATAAAATAAAATATTGTGCTAGTTGTCTTACCAAGATTGTAGATATCTTTTTTAGGACCAATGTCTTTGCGCCACTTCCTATATACCAATACATACATTTGTAAAACAAAACAAAAAACATGTTTATGTGTGTGTATAGTGGTTGGCCCTTTAATGTTCAATTCTATGATTTATCGTACTGTTTATAGCAATGATTGCTATTATGAACTAAAGCTTAGTCACTTACGAATGCAAGACCCATTGATGAGTAAATAGCTCTGGGTTCCAGTTCAAATGTATAGAGGTAAAATAGGAACAAACAGACTCAAAATCAATCCAAAAGATTCCATCGTCTCTCTGCCCAGCCAGAGTTGGGTCGTAGTTCAGAGCTTGCATCAATTGGGGGGTCCAATTCTTGGTGTCCATATGACTGTAGGGTCCATTCCATCGTTTGTGACTCCATGGGTTTTTGACTTGCATGAAACGTTTATTCTCGACCATTTTGATATCTTTTTTTTTTAGATGTAATATAAATACATGGCATTATATCAATTATTTCTTATAAAAAATAGAAATTTACCAACGACTGCATATGCATGTGTAGGTACTAAGCCCATGCTTGATGCTTCTTCTTCTGTCATCTCACCAGTAGCAATCGTAACAAGTACATCACCTATAGAATGACTTGAGATATGTATACCTTTTGATCTATATAATCTTACCATATTTTGCTCCTTCGATTATCCTATTCCAGACCTTTTCAGGTACAAATGACTTTTCACTTTGTTTTTTATATTATATAATATTATGTAATATAATAAAAGAAGAATAACATGCACATATGAATGAATTGGTTGATTAATATGATTTCTTTAGAGCAACAAGATTAGATGTGTATCTTATTGACTTACTCATGGATAAACAAGTGCTCGGGAATCCAACCAGTTAAACAGCTTCAAAAATTAAAATAAATCAAATTAAATTAAATTTGTTTTTTTTTCTTATAATAAAAAAGAAAGAAAGGTTAAATAACAATACTTACTACAAGTCAATACCAGAATTCCTATATAATTTTATATTCTTGTTAAAAAGAAAAATAGAAATTTTTGTAGAAATATACATATACTGTAGGTAAATATATCTATCATTTTGTTCTGACTTACGATCCAGGAAAGTCGTATCCACCCATAAGTTTCATATACTTTTTTAGATTTGGTTTGGTTCGGTTGTTTGTTTTTAGATAGAATATATATATATATATATATTAGTCATTCTTTTACTTTTCTTTAATATGATATGATATGATATGATATGATATATTTTGTTTCAATAAATGAAACATAAATGTATAAAGGTATAAAGGTATAAATTGTATTTTTCTTTTCTTTTTTTTTTTTTTTAAAAAAAATGAAATAAAAGTTTTTACCAACATACTGCTTTTTCGATAATACTAGCCCAGAGTTCTTCTTTGTCGGCAGAGAATGTACACATTAGTGTATTCTTTTGAGAAAGAGGTAACAGATCATCCACAACTATTGAAACAAAAATAAAAAAAGATTATTATAAAGTGTCTTCTTTGGTTCTTGTTTCCTTTGATCAAACTACATATATTATGACTCATACGAATTCAAGTATACAATATATGTAACTACAAGTATTTAATACATGTAGTTTATCTGTAAGTTTGTTGAGATATTTACCAACCTAATGTTGATTCACAAAGTTATTATCATGATCTACCAAGAAAATAAAAGAAAATACAATTGTTTTCTTGTTTTCTTGTTTTTATTTATTTTGATTCTTATTTAAAGAAATAATAATAATACTTACTTTGCGTGAGATTCCATTAAATACAAGCTTGATAACGTATTTTCCATTTGGATTATAACAAGGCCGACCTTTGCTGTCTTGAGGGTATATACATGAAGTAATAAGCTATTTGTAACATGTAAGTAGGCTAATATGACAGTTTTTAAACTTTTATTTTCTATTACTTGTTTATTGAACTTTTGCTCATAAGCTGCTGCTACACACAAAGAGGCAACAAAAGAACAATCTGTAACAATATCTTGAATAATATTTGTACTAAACAAATAATTTTTTTTTGTTAATGTATATAAAAGTTTGAGTATTGATTTGTACCTTGATATCAGACGAATCATCTGTGGTTGGTGCATAAACTGGCTAGGTCTTTTCCAGCCACCAAAATTAGCTAATTGTTTATCAGACAATCTTAATGAACCATCAGGGTCTCTTTATAAATGTATAATTTTTTTTTGAAACGATAAAAAACAAATGAGTTGGTCACATCAGTAGATCAGTAAGTATGTACATCATATCCAAATAAATTGTGTATTTTGTACGCACAAGAGAAAAAAATAACACCAAACAAAACTTACAAGAACTTTTTCTCAAACGAGAATTTCTCTTTGAGATCAGACGAATCAACCCAAGGTAAGAATACTTTGCCATTTACGTTTGATGTGTACTTGAGCACCTCGATCTCAGCACTTGATAGTCGGTGTGAAAGTATGTCTTGATCAACAGGTTCTGCAATCAAAGGCGAAAAAGACAGATACGAATTCGAATTCGAGTATGAAGACGACAATGGTAACGATAACGGTGAAGGGGACGGTGATGGTGACGGTAAGGGCAGCGGTAATGATGGCGGTAACGAGGACGGTGATGGTGTTGATAATAAGGATGATGAAGAGTTGGACGCGGCTGCTGTAGAATTGTGGGAAGATATGGTTGTTGGGCGGTCTGCAGGAATAGATACCACAGAAGACATCGAAGCGCTTCTCAAGCGACCCAGGCGTTGTTGTTCTTCGTTTTGGGGGACAGAGAGGGACGGAGATCGGGTTTGTTTTTCGAGTTTGACAAGACTGGTCTTCTGAATTGCCTTGACGATCTCTGCTCGATCCAAGGCAGTTGTAAACATGTTTCGAATTTGAATGCGTCTTGGATGATCGACAGAAAGCTCTAAAACAAAAACAAAAACACAGAAAATCGATAAATTTGTTTAATTGATTATTGGTATTGGTATTGGTATGTTACCTTTGTAAACTGCTAGATAACATTCGGCTGCTTCAGAATAATATTCCAATGCCTGATCATTGTAGTCCTTTTCTTCGTTTACTCGAGCTTGATTCAATGCAAACTATTCAAATTGAGTTTATATATATATATATATATATTGTATTTGTAATATATGTTATTAAAGCAACTTTATGTTTTTATTATATATATATATATATATATATATTAATGCATATAAAATAAAATAAAATAAAATAAAATAAAAAACTTGTTTGTTACCTGTGCTTTTTCTACAACATGACTAAATTCATCCCATTCTTCATCGCTGTCAGAGTCATTATTAGTAGAGAATGAAGAACTGGCGAGCTTTAAGGGTGGTCTGGCTGTGGCTTGCTGAAGTCGATCGAGCTGGTCTAGTCGATGGACATATTCATTAAGTTTTTGTTTGAGTTGTTCAGCATCTACCCGACCAGTTTTCAATAGTTCCGAGAACATCTTTATATATATGACAAACAAGAGAAAAATGAAAAGAAAAAAAAGATAATTTGAATTTTAAAAAAACTGCATTTTTTTTTGTAAAAGAAGAAAAGGTAATATTACTTGAATGACACGTCTGTAGGCATCTCTGGCAGGGTCAACTTTGCCTTGTTGATCTAGTTTGACAGCCTTGCATGCTTCAAGGTAAGTGTCGGTATATAGTTGTTGTATTGTACTGGACGACTGAGCAAGTGTACAATGGAGACGTGAGCTGAGGGAATCCCGTGAGTGGGCCATCAACGTTGTTTTTCTTTATTTGTGTGTTTGTATGTGTGTGCTTGCTGTGTGTATATAATATGCAGAGTAGCTTATAGTGTATAGATTGTATTATAAAGAAAGCGAGAGAGAGAAAAGAAAAGAAAAGAAAGAAAGAAAGAAAGAGAGTATCTGTGTGTGTGTGTGTGTGTGTGTTTGTGTGTGTGATTTTTTTTTAAAATATATCTATATATATAATAGATATCAAGTTTTTATTAAATAAGGAAAAAGAAAGGGGGAGATTAGAGCCAAATGTATACTAGGTATATTCATGTAAGAAATGGTTTAAATCACAGTTATATTTTTTTCTTCTGTATAAAAAGGAATTAAACTTTCTGGCCTTGGTAACCTGATATTTTCGTTCATTTTTGTAAATGTTGATTAATAACACATAGTGAATATTTTCCTATGTATTTTATCTGCCTGTCTAACAAGAGTGATATAAAGAAGTAGAATAGAAGACAAAAAAAAAGATCTTTTTCATTTTATGTATATTATACCATACCACATATTATAAATACAACAATATATATTTGGTTTTGATTTGATGATCATTTTAATAAAAAGAAAAAGGGCTTTAAAGTACAAGAGGTAGATAAGTAAGAGAACATGAAGAAGAGGTAGTAATAGTAATAGTAATAGTAGTAGTAGTAGTAGTAGTAGAAGAAGAAGAACACATAGAGGAAGAAAAGCAAGCAAGCAAACGAACAAACAAACAAACAAACAAACAAGACAATCTTTTTTTTCTCTCTTTTTCGTTTGATGGGATTTTAATGCTCTTCATCAGAAGCATCACAGTGAGCAGCATAAGCCTTGGCATCCATAAGACCCTCGATCTGTTCGAGGTTGTCGAGCTTGATCTTTGCGAACCAACCTAAAATAAGATGAAAAAGGTCAATTATTCAAATTTCAAACAAAATGCATTTTACAATTTAGATATATTATAAATAAACTTACCATCTTCTTCGGGGCTTTCGTTGATCAAAGAAGGCTCGCTACCGAGCTTCTCGTTGACATCAACAACTTCACCGTTGACGGGAGAGTAGATATCACTGGCAGCCTTGACAGACTCAACGGCACCAATCTGGGCTATAAAATATATAATATGCATTTAGTATTATGACCTTTTTTTTTAGTTCTTTTTTGCTCATCTATTATCCCAACAAAGCAACATAAAGACCAGCAAATATTCCCCTTTCACTAAAGATAATTTTTACTTGGGATTTGTTAGAGTTACTTACCCTCCTTCTCAACCAAGTCACCGACAGCAGGGGTTTCGACAAAGACGACATCACCAAGGGCCTTCTGGGCATAGTCAGTAATACCAATAGTACCAATGTTGCCTTCAACTGAGATCCACTCGTGGTCGGAGGTATACTTCTTGGCTATTTATAATATAGTACAATATAAATTTATTTATTTATTTATTTTTAAAAAATAAAATACAAAAATTCCATTATCTGACAATAAAGGAAGCCAGGTTTTTCTTTTGGTTTGTTTTATAGATTCAAAATATCTATTTTACTTACTGGCATACATGCGCATGGCACTGATGGTTGCGGACTGGCGAATAGCAGGACCGAAAGGACGGACAACGCGGGAGGTCAAAAGTCTGAGAGACATTTTCAAATATATGGATTCTTTTTTTTTAAAAGAAAAAAAGGGGAGAGATAAAGTGGAAAGAAGAAGTGAAAGAAGTGAAAGATTGAGAAGAAAACAAAGAATTATATAAATAATAACGGTTGCCAAGGCATGGGTGTATTTTTTTATTTTTTTATTTTTTTATTTTTTTTTGGAATTCACTTGTCACCGAGTCAGAATTTTATTTACAAAAGACATTGACCTTTAAAGTCTTTAAAGACAAAAAGGAGTTACCATAAGAATCAAGACTTTAGATAATCGCCTACCATTAGAGGGATTACTTGGATTTCTAGCGTAACAATCTTCTTTTTTTTTTAATTTTTTTTTTGCCAACCCTGGGCCAAGATGACTGGTTTTTGATCTCGTCTGTGGGTTATAACTCCGCTTAATAGTGAATTAATAAAAAAAAAAGTAGATATTTGGTGGTGACAAAGACAGAGAGAGAGAAAAAGAGATCTGATTTTTTTTTTTAAAAAAAAAATCTCAACTTTTGACTGTCCCTCTTCTTTCCTCTGTCTATCTACTTCTTTTTTATACATTTTTGTCCTTACTGTGGGTGGCTGCTATTGGTTCACACGATCTTTAAATTAGGCCAATACATATAAAATATAACTCTTGTGACTACTGCTCTGAAGATAAAGGACATGATTAATTGGTTCTCCAAGTCTTGAACTATATAATATTTTAATTATATATATATATAAAACTCACTAAGGATTGAATCTTAATCCCCCCCCCCCCCCTACTCCCCTCTAGAAAATAAGATCAAACCAAAAATTATAATAGTAAATAACATTGAAACAAGACCAATCATCTAGATTCCTATCAAAATTGAAACAAATTAATCTTTTGCCCTTGATAAAAATAAAATAAAAAGGTTGTATATATCTATGGGCGTTTTGCTCTATAATCTTCCTCAAGCGCATAATTTTTTAGTATGACTCACAAAAGTCCAGAACAACAACAATGTTTTTCATTATTCTTTTCTGGTTGTTAAGGTGGTATCATGGATATCTTCATCGCATATACAATGTGCTGCCTTTAAAATGTATAAAAAAATGAATTAGGGGAAAAGAGTACAAGAAAGAGCAAAAAGAATAGAGATATCATATCTAATTAGTTAGTCAAGAGAGTAACAGGTAGTTTAATCTGATAACAGTCACCTCTTTAACCACGAAAACTATAGGAAATAAAGAGAAGAAAAAAGATGTCAAAGATGGCATCCCATTTCATTTTGTATTCCGAATCATAATCCTGATGGGAGATAGAGAGCAATACGAGTGAGTTAATCGTATGGTGTCAGAAACAGACCGAGACGGACACAATTGTTGAAACACCATAATCGCCACCAGAAACTTGCTTCTTTACTAAGGCAAGAAAAGACTGGAGGTTGAATAGAAGCCTACTTCAACGGAACGTATAATTTTTTTATTTTATTTTTGGCAAATACAACATATTAATTGTTCAAAGTAGACTAAGCCATTTTTCAACTATGGTAAAGTCATTTGAAGACCGTCAATAGATTCTAGAGTTGAATGAGTTTGATGGCATATTTTATTGCCGACTAGCAAAGTGTCGGCTCATAGAATGGATAATGATCCAAGTATGTAAGTCTATAAATCTATCTGTAGCTCCTCAATTTATTATTATCTTTCTTTTTAGCCTGGCTTACTCACGCATGTGCTTTAGACTCTAACGCGTATATCAATTAATGTGATTTTACACCAAAATAATCCTGCAACAAAAGACGATGGAGCTCGTTTGCGAAGAGCAATTGAAGGAAGCAACATAAAACAATTTTGTGATCGGATCAAGGAACCCAAGACCCAAAACCATAAAATATAGAGAGAATTCTACACTTTTGGTATATTTATCACTAGTTATAATATTATAGTTTTCTACTGTAATTTGAATACATATATATTTGTAATCCAGCCAATGTGTTCAAAGCGTCATCGGATGATGTGTGTGTGTGTGTACCTTGCTTTATCGAGTGTAATTTCCGTTTCGTTAAGGTCAAAAACAAAAATTATATATATATATTATATGAATATTCAATAAGAAACACATATACATGTATATTGATCGAATCAATAAAAGAGAAACAAGGTAGAAGAAAGGGGTATTCAATTATTGACCTTTACAAATATCGAGTCTGTCAGATTTGATTAATGGAAATCATACAATAAATGTGTACAATTATTGATCTTTGGCGTTATAAAAAAAAGAATTCTTTGGGGCTTCCTTTTTCTTATTACTATCAAATATCTCAAATACTTCTTTCTTACCCTTTCTATTTTCATTTAGTTGTTTGATTAAAGAGTTTCAATGCAAGGCTATAACGCATAAAAAAAAAGAATGAATTAGGAACGATATTAATAAAGTAAATATCATGTCCATCATCACAACCCATAATCATAATAGCAATACTAATTGTTAAAGGAGTATAGAAATCAACACACGTCTTAATTCCTCTCCCCATTTTTTTCTTCAAAAAGAAAGACTTTTTATTATTATTTTGTGCTTATAAGTACATATGTATGTATGTATGTATGCATTTATAATTTACTTCTTACATGGTGGATCCAAATCATCTTAGAAGCTAAACGTTGTTTTTGGTCTTCTTTGTATAAAGGTCTGTAGAGGCAATACAAACTTATACCAAGATAAAGTTAACTCAGCTTATTTTTTTTACAAAGTATTTAAAAGCAGTGGTGGATATAAGCATCATCATTATTATCATCATTATCATCGTCTTATTGAAAAGAGTATATAAGATATTATTAATAGATAAATAAATAAAAAACATTCAGTCATGGCAACGTGTACTAAAAAGAAAAACAAATAATTTATTGCTATGTAATTTGACTTTTTCTTTTTTCTTTTTCTTTGTTGTCATGGATACCAGTTATTACCAATATATTAATGTTTTCTTTCTTTCTTTTGAACTTGGGACCCTTTATTATTTTCTTGTGTAATAAAGTATATATTAGACAGAGATTAATTGTTTCAAGAATTAAAAGGTATTATACATATAGTATATGTATATAGCAATGATGGCGAATATGTAGCTTCATATTGACCCATAAAATAATAATTATACCTGAGATCTAAAAATAGTAAAGTTGTTTTTTTATATTCCAAATACAGGTTGCATATAAGGTTTTGCTTTTCTCTCTCTCTCTCTCTTACGTACTGTTTTTTTTATCTCGAAACGATTGGTCGTACTCGGGGGGCACGGATTGCATGTGACCATTGAATAGAATTCCCGCGTTTTTTGAAGCCTTATAAAAATACCATCGCGTAAACTGGTGTCTTCTTCTTTATACTCTTCTATACATATACTCTTTTACCTGACCGCCCTTCTATCTCTGTCTCTTTTAAAAAAAAACAACAACAAAAATGTCTTGTAAGTTGAAAGGAACTATTATGACCTAGTATATAAATAAAGAGATAAGAAAAAGAAAAATACAACATTTTTTTTATTGATATTTTTTTTGACACAATCGACTCGACTTGATTTCAACTTTGACTAATAATATCTTATTATTAAATATATATATATATATATATATATAGCATCTTACATCGTTACTTTCAAGAAGGGTACTCCCCAGGAAATCATTGACGCTGAGGCCAAGAAGGTCGAGGAGACTGGTGCCACCATCACTCACCGTTACAACTCTGCCATCCACGGTTATGCAGTCAGCGTCCCCGACAGCATTGTTAGCAGCCTTTCGCTTGCCAACGAGCACGTCGATGGTGTCGAGGCTGATGGCGAGGTCTCTACTCTTGGTCAATCATTATTGCAGTAATAGTTTATACCCCTTCTATTACTTTACAAACCTATTTCCCTCGCCTCAACCCATACCTTAGGCCTTGAATCTGCCTTTCTATCTTTTTTTTTTCAACTCCAACTCTCGAGATAAATCACAAATGTCTTTTATTTTCTGTCATTTCTTCTTCTTTTTTTTTATATAAAAAAATCCATATCACAGTATAACGGATTTTGTAATAAATTGTTCCTTACTTTTTTTCTTTTACCTGTACATGTTTCAAGTTTCAAACATATTATACCACATTATAATATATATACAAGAAAAAAATAAGAGGGGAAGCAATTTCGAGTGCGTGCACCATAATTGAATCCAACCCAACCCAAGTTGATAGTGACTTTTTTCTGATTCCTTTTTTTTTTGGATTCAATTAAAAGTCACACCAATGACAAAAGAAGGAAAATTAAAAAAAAAAAAAAGGGAAGGGGGTGAAAGATACAGAAATTGGGTAAAACACACACAAAAAATAAACGTCTCTTTAGAAAAATAATAATAATAATTAAATAAATTAATACCTTTTATTTATTTATATTTGTATACACATTTACATACAACACACTATACATAATGTCAATGCTGCGCACAACCAAGCATGGAATAAGATCTCTTGTAAACACTACACACAAACGATCCCTTCTCCGTCTTTTACCTAATCAACACCGTTGTCGCCTTCAATTAACAGCAGCTGTCAATCAACAATGCCTACACACCACTCCAACCTTGAGAAATGAACAACTGAATCCTGCTCTCATTGCCGATTCTCAATTCATGGTTCCTGAACTGTCATTCCCACCCGAAGAACAGGCACTGTCTACTATACCTGCACCAGCTGAAATCAGTCTAGGAGATTATGTAGAGGTGTTTAGGTAATTGCGATCAAGATTATATAGCTATGGTTACAATAAATTATTTCGTATCTTTTTTTTATATATTTATCTATCTATACTCACAATTTGGGAATTATATACATTTATATACATATATTATTTTGCAGTAATCACCAGTATAGTGGAATTGTAGTCGGACGCAAGAAAATGGCCGGTAGACTACAGAAACTATCTGTATTATTACGAAACGGAAAAATCGTCGACCTCCGTAGTGATGGGGTTGCATTTACAATCCCGGGATTTGTGGAGTCTTCGGATGTCCTTCCGCACGTCAGGAAACCGGCCGTGGTTGACAGAACTGCTGACTCTCTCGAGGCTGCCTTACCTCCTGATTACGCCCGAGCTGTCACAGGATACCAGCGCACGATTCGACAGCTCAAGGCCATGTCTCACAGACACCTGGATAATGTCTATCATCACTTCCTAAAAGACGTTTCAAAGGACCAGGAGCGCGTCGTGTCGCTCAAAGACATGGCCCGCTTTGCGTTTTCCCAGGACCAACCGACACATGCCCAGTTGCACGCCACCTTTCTCCACATCGTTTCGGACAATGTGCACTTTATCCCGACCCCTCACGTACGTCGGTCTGGCCAATGGACTCTTCGGGCCCAGGACAAGGCAGAACACATCGAGCAGTTGATCGGCTGGATTAGAATGCGAAACGAAGCTTACACTGGGTTCCTGGAACGCACAAAGCAATTGATCTCATTCGTCCATCAGAATGCAAATCCAGACGGAACCTTGCCCCAAAAAGACTGCAAAAGAGTTGCTGCATCGGATTATGCAGGATCATTTACCGACACAGACAAGATGTTTGTAAACTTTGTGGTCGACTGGATCAAATCGCCAAAAATCATTTTGGCCTCACCGCACGAGATTTTTGTGCCTACGATCCTAAAGTCCCTCAAATGCTATGACACAATCTTGGTCGATCGTTCGCTGGCCGTCAGGTTCCTCAAGGACATCGGTATGCTAAAACCCTGGGATAATGTAGGGCTTTTGGAAGATGCAGGTCTGATGGAGGATTACGTGTGGTCCAAGAAATCAAAACAGACCGAACAAAAGATGGCCCGCTACACCGACGCTTTCCTGAACAACCGGGCTGACGATATGAGTGCCATGGGATTTGCAGTAACCGACAGCTGCGACTCGATCCGACATGACTTTGGTGATCTTCTGGTCTACACCATCGACGACCCGTCAGCAAAGGAAATCGATGACGGTATTTCGATTGAGCACACCAGAACAGCAGATGGCCATCAGACTTGGTTGCACGTTCACATTGCAGATCCAACAGCATACATATCACCACACAATGAGATTGCTCAACTGATGAAGGAGCGCGTCCAAACGCTCTATCTTCCCGAAAAACACTTTCCTATGCTTCCAGAAGAACTGTCTTCAAAGAAATTCAGTCTGGGTATTTCAGCACACGCGGCCCCTAACCGCAATGGATCCCAGTATGCGATGTCCTTTAGTACCCGGGTGGACTCCAATGGAGATCTGGTCGATTGGAAGGTTCGGCCCAGTGTGGTCAAGAATGTTGTCAAGCTCCACTATGACAATGTAGACCTTCTTCTCAACCCTCTTTCTCTTCTTTCTTCGTCTCCTGAGAATGATCCTCTGAATGGTTTGGATTTAGACAAGAATCTTACCACGCTGTCGCTGGACAAGGCCAAGATAAAAAGCCAAGACCAATCCAAGACCAATAGGCTCGAGTCAATTCCAGAATCAGCCAAACAAGATATCATCGATCTATTCCACCTTACAAACAAACATTCTCTGATGCGCAAACGTAACGGGTCGCTAGTGTTCAATAAACCGAGCCCTCAGATATCCATCACCCCTTCTCCACTGCCGCTTCCTGTCACCCACTTTACGAACCCAGACTACGGCACCGTTTTGCCTGACATCCAGCTCAAGCTCGACCGGTCCAGCCTGTCGCCTGCACGTATGCTGGTGGCCGAGGCAATGATTATGGCTGGTCGAACTGTGAGCCAGTACGGACGTGCGCATGGGTTACCTTTACCTTTCCGTACTCAGCAGTGGGATCCAAACCCGAGTACGTCTGATCTGGCGATCAGAAACGAGCTTCTGGAAGTCTCTCGTAACACGACTAACGGTAGTATTCCAATGCACACTCTGATTAGCGCCCTGGGAATCATACCTCCGTCGACAATCACCACAACCCCAGGTTTACCTCATGTCGGTATGGGAATCCTGGACGGCTACTGCCGTGCCACATCGCCCTTGCGGCGGTACCTGGATATGGTTGTGCACTGGCAACTAAAAGCCCACGTGCTTGGAGAATCAAAGGTGCCTTTTGGACTTGGCCAGCTCAACACGATGCTGCCGCCGATTGAGATGAGGGAAAAACAGCTGGCGATTTTACAGCAGAGAAGCACACAGACCTGGGTGATTGAACTGCTGAAGCGACTGGAGTATGAGGGATCAAGGACATGGAATTACATGGTTCAGTTTGGAAACATGACCACGTTTTCTGAACTCGGCAGTGCGATGGAGGTGGCGAATGGAACGGTGATGGAGTTGGGTATTCAGGGACGTCTGGTCAAGCTTGACAGAACAGTTCATCCAGGTGAAGTGGTCAAGGTGAAGATTGTCAGTATGGATTCAAGACTTGGCAGAGTCAATTTGATGCTTGTTTAGTTTGATTTTGTATTTGTATTTGTATTTGTATTTGTATTTGATGTAATTGTTATGTTTTGTAATTGTAATTGTACTTTGTAATTGTATTCCATTTTATTTGTTTTTGTTTTGTTTTGTTAATAGTAGTAGTGATAGTAGTAGTGGTAATGATTATAATGAAGAAAGAAAATATAGATGACTTTTAAATAAATGAATAAATAGATTGAATACATTGAATGCATTGAATACATTGATAAGTAAAATAAATATACATATATACATATATATATATTTATTTCAAGGGAATCCAGTCCACAGGGGTCTTCAAGACCTGTTCCAACCGAGCTTCTATTGAACCTTCCTTGGGCTCATGCATGTACTCCCACCGCACTGTCAGTGGCAGGGTCATCAGAATAGACTCCACGCGAGCACAGGGTGTGTGGAGTCCAAACCGAGTGCCTCTGTCCCAAATCAAGTTGAACTCGACATACCGGCCTCTTCTGATCTGCTGCCACCTGACCTGCTCATCATCGTAGGCATGGTCTTTGCGTTTCTTTAGGATCGGCACATATGCGTCCACAAACGAATTGCCACAGTCCTGCACAAACGCAAAGATCTGTTCGGCGGGCTTGTCGGCCAGGTCGTCAAAGAAGATGCCACCGACTCCACGGCCTTCTCCCCGGTGAGCGTTCTTGAAGTATGTGTCGCACCAGGGCTTGAACTTGGGGTAGTAAGCCAGATCGTGTTTGTCGCAGGCGGCCTTGTGGACGGCATGGAAATGGACAGCATCTTCTTCATAGAGATAGACGGGTGTCAGGTCTGCGCCGCCGCCGAACCACCAGAGCTTTGTTGAGCCGTCGGGATTCATGACCTCAAAGTAGCGGTAGTTCATGTGCACGGTTGGGCAGTGTGGGTTCTTGCCGTGCATGACAAGCGAAATGCCGGTGACAAAGTAAGGAAAGGGACCCTGGCCTTCGAGCGACTTGCCTCGGTCCTGGCGCATCTGCTGGATGGCTGTATCGGATAGCTCACTGTAGACCACCGAGACTGCCACACCGGCCTTTTCGATCACTGCACCGTCCTGCAGAACGCAAGTGATTCCTTCGCCACCGTGCTCGGCTCTTTGCCAGCTTGTCCGCTCAAACTTACCACCGTCGACTTGTTCAATGGCCTTGACAATCGAGTTCTGCAGGTTCTTGACAAATGCTTCATGTCTCAGTCGGATCGGATCTTTATTCGTCAAAGGTTCTCCGGATGATCTCTGTAAATCTTGTATTTAGTTATTTCAATTAAAATACGCAAAAAAAACAACTCTTTTACACACACATATATATATAAACATATATATCTATATGCCTTACCCTTAATGTGTCTTGACGGGAAATGGATTGAATACAAGTATTAGAGACCATTATATAAGCTTTTGAATTATTTTATTTTATTTTTGTATGGGTATGTAAGATCAAGGTAATATTTGGTTAAATAAATAAAAGAGTGTAATTTTTTTTGGCTTGTAAGTTTATATAGCAAATGAAACAATAGGAATTAACCATTGTGGCGTGACAAAATAAAATAAGAAATAATAAAAATTGGATTTCCGCAACAATTACACCCAAAACAGAAAAGAAAAGAAAAGAATTGGTGAACACACAACTATAATTTTTTTTTTTTTTTTTAAAGAAAGAATATACTTCTTTAACTTTCTTGGTCATTCTTTTTTTTTTTAAAAAAAAAATTATAAAAAATAAATAAAAAAAATAAAGGGGGTATTCAAATGTCTTTAATTATCTACTTTTTAATTGTTACCATTTGAATATAAGTAAAAAAATAATATATATGATCAAATACAATTCTTAAGCAACTATTGGTTTATTATATAAATTCTATAAAAGTGTGTATATACAGATTTTAATAACCAACCTTTTCTTTTGTATGTTTTACGTCTCCGCAACAAAATGTAAAACAGCAGCAAGGTACCAAAGGTCAGCCCATTAATGATTTGATTTTTTTTTTGAGTTTTTTTTGTTTTCGATCATATAATCATACATATATGGTTTAGTAAGATAAAATAAGGTGTGTACATCTATGTATCTATCCAAGTATAATAATTATCACAAAATAATATTGATCTGATAATGATAATCAGTTATCCTGCTACACATTACACAGAAAGAGAGAAGAGAGAACCATTTGATTTGATTTCTTATTTGATTTTTTTTAAAAATAATAGTGATCAATTCCAATTGTGGAGCATGTCGTTTCTTCGACGAAGAACATCCCGCATCTGCCCATAACTCAAAACCTCAATTCCAAGCTTTCCTAATTCTGCCTGTAGTACGGACTGCTGCTTAGGGTCTGCAAGGTATTTCATAAACACATTGTAGCTTAGATTAAACGGAGCTTGGCTAGCCAAAGCATCCTTGTCTTGTTCACCATCAAATGTCATTGTAAGCAGCTTTGTAGCCTCTTTCAACCTACACAAATTATTATTATTATTATTATTATAGCCAAATTTGAAAATAAAAAACAATCATTCCAAAGTACACACACACACACTTATATGCATACGGTGTAGTATAGTATAAGTATACTATGGTGTGTGTTGTGTTACTACTACTACTACTACTAATATAGCTTACTTACCGTTTGGTGTAATTTTCAGGTTTCTTGACCCATTGTTTACCAGTCTTCCATATGCCAAGTGTCATATCAGCTTCGAGCTGCGATGATCCTTGTTTTGAAAACTGGTTCTGGGTAATTATGTTGCGCCAATACCATTCTTGGATTTCTTCACAAATCGATCTATAGACACTCAGGTAATCTGATAGTGGTAAGGTACTATAGAGGAACTGACAGGCGATCCTAAGACCTTGCAAAGGAACATATAGTTCACTTGAAATTTCCCCAGGGAGTTGTTCAGAAGATGTCTGCCACCACGTATCCCTAAATATATTTATTTTTATGCATTTATTAAATCCTTGTTTTTTTTTGCTTGCTTGCTTGCTTGCTTTGGTTGACTGGTTTAGTATTACTATCATTTCACTTACTTTTTTGCATATTCTCTTGCATTGGTAGCCCATTCTTTTGCAACAATCTTGACAAATAACTTTTCAATTCTTTGAGATAGCATGTCAAAGGCATTCAATGCTTCGGCAAAAAATGAGTTGCTAGGTGTTTCCCAATTGCTGGACAGACTAAGAGCAAACATGTTTTCATGAGCTGGAAGGCTATCCATAACTGTCTGCGCCTCTTTTGGGTTTTGGCTGACTTGATATTGCATGTCAAGAAAGAACTATCTCACAAAACACAAAAAGATAGATAAATATAAATTTGCACATACACACACATATATATATATAGTTATAGCTATGGTTTTGTGATGAATTACATCGTCTTCAGACCAATCCCGGATACCTTCACCAATAGTGTATGCACTTGCCCACCATCTGTACAAACGTTTCAGGGCAGATATGGTTCCACCAGTTTCGGTGGCTGTCATTACACCCGTGACAGATTCTGGCAGTGCCCCAGGAACAGGCACAGATCTGATCAAACTTAGGGCCTCGAATGAATCCAGGGCTGAATATATGCGTTGGTGGTAGTGACCAAGTAAAGTCAATTGAATCTCAACAAGAAATCTGAATCTTTGTTGAAGAGATGGTACCAATCTATAAGCCTCTACAGAAAAATAAAATAATCAACAAAAGTGATAATAGAAATAATATTAGTGGTTGGTATTAGCAAATAATAGTCTTGTTAAATATAGTTTGTTTTTTTTTGTTTTTTTTTTTAAAAAAAAAGTAAATCAAATCAAATACTAACCAGTGACACTCTCTATAAGGTTCAATATCTTGACAGAAGATTTGGTTCCTTTGATATTTCTTGGATCTCCTCCTCCTCCTGATCCCAATGATTTTCCATTGGAACCTATATCTTCTCCTTCTTCTTCAGCCTCAGCTTCAAAGGCCTGTCTATCCTGTATAATTTCATCGTACCGGGTCTGAGCAACTAGAACATATCAATAAACCATATACATAAATAAACAATGGTAGGATTAATAATCGTAATCATTCTTTACTAATCGTATTATAATAGTTGTGATGATGATGAAATACTATTGTCGTCATTCAAATGATGCCCTCTGGTTTTTTGTTATTACATTGTCTCTCCGCTGCAAACCAGGCGCCAAACCATTCTGGATTGTCAAGAATGACATCTGCACTGCGCTTATCTGAAGATCTAGGAGGCGTATAGGCAAATTCGTTTTCAAGACTCTTGTCAAATTCTAGCACTTCATGGACAGTGTGGCTGAGCCAACTGGGTTGATTCAGAATACGGGGTATCGTCTTTTTGAGTTTTCGAGCCACGTCTTGCTGGAGACCATAGATAAAAAAGTCCTTGACAGATATCCTGGGCGTCTGGTCTAGACCGGCGCTGTCCACAATTGGCTGGACAGTTGTTACAAGGAACGGCAGATGAGATGAAGCCGTAGTTTTGACATGTGAGAGGTACCATTCTGGCTATTTAGTTCCATATCCCCCCACATTCACAGATAAATTAATAATTAATATATATATTTCTTTATTTCTTTATTTATTTACCTTGTCTAGTCGATTAGTAGGCTTTGAACCTTCAAAATGGAATCTAAATCGAAGAGAAAGATCTTGGAGCATAATGGCTATTGGAATTGGGATCTCTACTTTCTTTTCACCAGGCGGTTCAGTCTTGTCATCTTCAGGCTCTAATCTATAAAACACAAAAAGGTTTAGAGGGATATATATATATATATATATATATGTATTACATGTTAATAATAATAACAATTCTTATTCTTTTTCTTTATCTTTTTGTCTTGCATGAATTTTAAAGAATATAATATATATATAAGAATAAAAGGTTCACTTGCGATTTCTGTAATAGGAGAAGGTGGTGAAAGGCCTTTTCAAAACCCTCCAGCTTTGATCGTAGTTGTAATCCATATGGAGGTCGTATAGGTGTTGGCCAGTTCAAGCTCTGAAGTGAGTCTTTGAAATTACTAACACGAGAATAAATATAAAAGTACAAATTATTTGATTTTTTTTTTTTTAAAAAAAAATTATATACTTTTCCAACACTTGGTTCAACTCTTTCCACAACTTATGCTGAGATTTCTCAAGTTGATTGACTAGATTTTGGTAACTGCCATCTTGTGGTTCTTGGTCGATCTGATTTTTGACATGAGCCCTTAGTTTTGTGAGCTGTCGAAAAGGTACAATTGCAGCTTCTGGATCTTTTTTAACAAGATTCAATGACTTTGTACTAATCCATATTACATAGAATTATAATAAAGAAAATAAAATAAAAATTAGAAATATGGATCCAATGGTTTATGCCAAATAATAAGTTTTTATCTAAATATTCTTTTTGGTATTTACCTCAATTCTGATGCAACCAAAAGTGCCTTTATATAACTTTTGGCATATTCGGTAGTTCTCAATTTATTCTCAAGGTTTTTTAGATTGTTTAGTAAGAGATGCTGATCGGTGTTTTTTTGTTGGTTGTGTTTGACATCATATTCATTCAAATCGCTTGTGGTTTTTTGTAATGCAGTGTCGAGTTCGCGTAACGAGGTCTGTTCTTTATATGCTTTTTTGCGCGAGTCTGCTAATACTGTTTGCGTCTCTTGTCTGATTATATTCAGCTACAGTATGTTATTTATTCAAGTATATATATATATAAAAGTATAAGGTCCGTATTTGAGTCAATGTTATGAATTCATTAAAGAATGAATGAATGATTCTAATAAAGAAATATATATTTATATAATCATTCATCTACCTTTTGATCAAGTTGGGTTTGCTCTGTTGTTCTTTTTGTCAAGAGAGTCTTCAGTTTGTTCAAATCTAGGTCATTTGGACTTTTGATGTAATCACCAAGAAAGAATTGTGATTCTTGTGGGGAATCCATCTAGCAAGAAAAGTTAATATATATATTATATATGTTTTATGTAATATTCCCAGCGCCGTTTCCGTTGAAAGGGTGTATCTTTTTCTGTCTTGAAAGGGAAATTCAAGATTTGTGATTGGCTCATGTGACACAAACACTCTTTAATTCACTTTACTTCAATTCACTCACAAATTTATAAAAATTATTCATCATTTTGAACTGAATAACCATCCATTTTTCTTTTGTATTAATGACTGTATATACGTATATAACAATGCAAATACTCGTGCTATTCAGTGGAGTTTTTTAGAAGATAGAGCATAAAGAAGTTGAGGCGTAGTTTTATTCAGAACTAGAAAGCAAGAAATCTGATGGTAATTTCTCTGGTGAGAATGTACCAAAGAACAAGAGACTAGTTGTGTAATTTTATTTTATTTTAGACATACTGCCTGGATAAGAATATTGATAAATATCCAACTGACGAGATATTGGTGTTTTCTAGAAATAAGCAAGTCTTCCAGAGCTTGATGAGATTGAAGTAGTTTGACAATGAGACTAGATAAAGGATGAAACTTTGAGTGATATTGAAAAATGGGAATCAATAGGGTTTTAACACCAAACTGCAAACCTCTCATCAAACCAGTAAGTACTTGTTATTTTGGACATTCTCAGGCATCTACAGAACGAATTAATTGTATTTTAATATTGAGTATAGTATGAAAGCTGAGCATCGTAGACTTATCCTTAACAGCAACGAGATTTATATTTATATATATATTGATATCAGATGTTTGGAATTAGTGGCTATATCTAACTAATCTACTGATATTAGCAAATCACTTAAGGAGGCACCATTATATTTACAAACACTGCGCCAAGCACTTTACAAAAGATTGACTTTGAGCCGATTCCGATCCCATTGCCCATAATGATGCTGGGGTTATCAAGGTAACAGCCAGATACTTGTAAGTAGGAAAGATAAAAAAGAAAAAGAAAGAACCTTTAGTTCACATATTATTTATATTTTTTATATATCGTTAACCCGCCTATTTGTAGCTTGGATTCGGTGGAATTCTCTTCAAAAGTGGAAATAATACAATTGCTACTGCACTTGTTGAGTTCTCGGGAAGAATAAACGACAAGGAGACCCTCGCGCAAGGACTCGAGCAATATTGAGAGGCTGTATTATAACATTACAAAATAAAATAAAAAACTATGGAACATACGGATACAGATACAGATGCAGATAAAATGTGTCATTTTGTGTTTATAAAGAAGTGTAGATAAACACGCACTTGTAGCTTTATAATCTCTTTTTGTTTGTTCAATACACAAACAGATAGAATTGCTTTAATAGACCTTGGAAAATTATTTCATTCAATTTGCATACATACATATATATATAAGGAATATAGAGAGATAGTCCTAGGAAACCGAGGATAGTTCTTCCTTTTATATACATATTTAATTCGAGCTTTGACTTTGACTTTGCTGCTGTTACGGTTGCTGTTACTTTTGCTGTTTTGCCAAGTGTTGTAATCTTTGATATATATTGATATATAAAATAAGAAGAAAAAAATCATAAAAATTGATACAAAGGAAACAAGTGATACTTAAGCTTGGATCATTTCAAAATATCATTATTGTCTATCGATCAATCAATACCTGTAAAATTGTATTTTTCATATTTTTAATTTATTCAAATATATATATATATATTAATTTTAATTTTAATTTATTTAATTTTTGAAATTTTGACGTTTCAATTTTATATATACACTAATTGTTCTATTTCTTTTCTTATTTTAACAATAAAAAAAGAGAAGGTTATAATGATCACCCAAACTCTAACTCATGATCAAGACCTCATCAATGTAGCATTTGAGGGCTACAAACTAAAGACTTTTCCCGAAGAAACACGTTTATCTCGCACACCCATACCAGGAGATCCTCTCCAAGTAACCCAGCACTCTAGCCAAACCCGTATCGGATTCCGTGAATTGCAGGCGCGTGTACGATTCAGTCATTTGGCTGATGGCTATCCAATCAATGACCAAACAGGAACAGCATTCTATGTTGACACAGAGTATAATGTAGTAATGGTTGTTTATGACAAGGTAAGAAATTGACTATATATATATATATATATATATATATTATTATATATACATACATAATTATGCGTACAAGAGAGAAGAAGTAGAAAATAAAGTGTATTATGATAGTAATAGTATTTCTTTCTTTTACTTTCTTCTTTATATTTTATTGATCAATTATATATACATATATATAAAAACAACCAAAACCAAAACCAAAACCAAATATATATATATATATATAAAATCCTATAGTCAAGCCAAGAAACTAAATTTCACATTATTGGACAACTCACTCGTCCATTGAACAATGTGCCTAGCTATGTCGAGCCTGAAATTACCGTTCCTCTCGATCCTCATTATCCCTCATTGATCGCAATCGGACAAAACCTCCTTGTGGCTGCCAATGGCGTTGGTGATCTCGAGATCATTTGTATCAACCAGTCCGCAAATGGCACTTTTAGTGGTTGCTCGGTTCTGTCTGGACATTATGAAGGAGAGGGTAACGAAGGCGTCTCGCCTGTTCCATTTGGACTCTTGGCTGCCAGACGTGTCGAGGACAGAATTGTGGCAGTAGTCTATAGCCGTGTGGCCGAGGTCGCGAGCAAGTTCAATATCGCAACAGTCGAGATGAATGTTCCGACTGGAAACTACACCTCGACTCAGCACGAGATTCTCAAGGTGCTGCATGTCCAGAGAGGACCAGAGGTTCCTGTATATGTTGCGATCACAAAGGACGGCAACCACTGTATTCTTGGCAGTGAATCGAGTTATGAGAATATTCACGAAGAGCCAAAGACAATGATAATTGACAGTGATGAAGAGGAAAAAGAGGATAGTAATCAGAACAATGATGAACAACCAAAAAAGGCACCTTATGAGTGGACTCAGGATGGCTCAGATATCACGATCCAATTCACAATTCCCCAAAACACACCAAAGAGCGCAATCGCCTGCAATTTGACACACCAGCACCTCAGTTTGGTGGTGCAGGCCGAGGATGTCAATCTGTCGTTTCCGTACAACAAGCTCTGGGGGCCGATTAGTGTCCAAGACAGCACCTGGACAATTGACCGAGCCAAGGGAGTCCTGAGCATTTTCCTGACCAAGCAAGATGAACATGCCAGATGGCCGCATGTGTTTGATATGGATGACCAGGTCCTGGAGTCTGTTGAGAAAGAGCGGCTGGCTGAGATGACGGCCCGTCTTGCCAAATTCACGACCGATTATCCTGAATCGCAATCTCAACAGCCAGAGATTGCCAGCCACCCGGCCGCGACTGATATGGATGAGGATGTTGATGAGGCGGGCCAGCCGATTCATTTTCTGGTCTATAACCGGTTCGGCCACCTGGTTGAGGAAATATTTTCTGGTGGGCGTGAGTGGTTGAGCAACGGGTTCCGGGATCCGGACAACAAGAATGGGTTGGCCTCGGTTGGGGTCAAGATGGATGTGGATGGACTGGTGTTTGGATTTGAAGAAAAGAGGGATGGCGTTGCGACGACGATCGAGGGTGTGCACAGGGCTACGTTTAGCGCGTTTGCATTTGTCCAGGCGTCCAAACGAGACAGCCGGTTCGTACGTCATGATCCGTACAACAATTTTGCTGTGATTGTGGAAAGCAGCCGGAACGCGTACATCTACCATCGAACAGGCACACGCGTCAATACAGAGGCACAGACCCTGATTGATCTTACACAGGGGCATGACACCAGTGTTCTGGGTGTTCAATTGATTCTCAAGAATGTGTTGATGGTTCTTACCGAGACTGAGGTTATTACACTCATTCTTGATTGATTAGATTTTTATTGGATTGGATTGGATTCGATTTGATTTGATTAATTATTATTATAGTCTTTTTATTTATATATATATATATATAAATTGATGATAAATACGCCAATTACAACATCTTTATACGTTCTATAGATAAATTGTATGTAATATCGATATTTCCAAAAGAAATGCTCAAGATAAGAGATTTTTCCACTACTTTCATAAAATAATTTTTTATTTTATTTTTGAGATTGTCCTTTCCTTCTTTGGATTTTTATTTTTTTACAGTCTAAAAAAAACCTGCAATGGATTTATCTATCATTACCATCTAAATGACTATAATGGAAACAAGAAAATCAGTAGGAGGGTTTCAGATAAGTCAAAATTGACGTCCAAATCAACCAAAGACATTTATACTAATATTTGATGCTTCATAATAAACACACTTTTATGTTATTTTTTTTTATCAATAAAAAAAAAGAATTGGAGCTATTTATCTAGATAAAAAGGTTGTCAAGACAGAATGTTATACATGTACTTCTTGTTGTTTGTAAAATAGACAAGGACTACTAATGTAATGTAATGTAATGCATAAATGTGGGCGTTTTTTTTTTCTTTTGTTCTATATGTATGTGCGTATTGGCTATGGACGGAGATACAAAACACGTATCCATTTTCTCACTAAACCATTCTCTTTTACGCACAAGTGATTTCATACTTGCTGTCGCCCTTTATTTTATTTTTTGCTTTATTTTATTTTTCTCTCCGAGGCTAACGTTCAAATTACGCTGCTTTATTTTATTGTTTTTAGCTTATAAAATATATATAAATAAATACAAATATATATTTTTCACAAGAAGATTTCAAGATCAATATCCTCTTCTCTTTTCCCTTTTACTTCTTTAATATAAGAAAAAAATAAATATGCCCAGAGATATCAACGACCTTTGCATTGACACCATCCGTGTACTTTCTGCTGATGTAGTAGCCAAAGCCAAGTCTGGTCACCCAGGTAAGAAAATAAAGAAAGATGTGTATCAGTGTTCTAAAATAAAAATAAAAATAAAGGTGCTCCTATGGGTTGTGCTCCAATGGCACACGCCTTGTTCAAGGACTTTATCAATGTAAACCCAAAGCATTCTCACTGGCCTAACCGTGATCGCTTCTTGCTGTCAAATGGTCACGCCTGTGCTTTGCAGTATATTCTCCTTCACTTCCTCGGGTTTGACTTGACAATGAATGATCTCAAGGACTTTCGTATGGTCGGGAGTCGGTAAGTCTATCTATTCATATATATACATAAAGAATATGTTTAATAACAAATCAATTGATTTCTTTTTCTTTAGTACACCTGGTCATCCTGAAAGAGGTCACACTGATGGTGTAGAGGTAAAATGATGATGATGATAATAGCTGTAGATAAAATAGAAAGAGAGAGAGAGAGAGAGAGATAATATATGTTGCGAATTCGGGTTGAATGGATATTAACTGTTAAATGTTTCGATATTAGGTTACAACTGGCCCTCTTGGTCAGGGTATTGCCAATGCCGTAGGTCTTGCTATTGCAGAGACTCACATGGCTGCCACCTACAACAAACCCAACTATCCAATCGTGGATCACTTTACCTACGTAATTCTTGGTGATGGCTGTCTTCAAGAAGGTGTCCAGTCTGAAGCCTGTTCATTGGCTGGGTAAGTAAGAAAGAAAGAAAGAAACAATATATATAATGTCTCTTGTCTTTTTCTTTAAACACACACACACACAAAAAGACAACAACAACTAATAATGATATTTAATGTTTGTATAGTCATCTTCAGTTGGGTAAACTTATTGCACTGTATGATGATAACCAGATCACAATCGATGGTGATACTGCTGTCTCTTTCACCGAAAATGTCTTGCAGCGTTTCGAAAGCTATGGCTGGCACACATTGACTGTCACTGATGGTGACCACAACATCAACTCTATCAAACAGGCTATCGAAGAAGCCAAGAAAGTGACTGACAAGCCAACTCTCATCAAGATCAGAACCACAATTGGTAAATTTATTAATCTATCTTTTATATATATATATATATATGTATGCCCATATTAATCAACTATCTATATAATATATATATAAAAAAAGGTTTTGGATCAGAGTTCCAGGGTGAAGAAAAGGTTCACGGAAGTCCATTATCTGGTTAGTACAGTCAATTAGCATATATACATATATGTATATATATTCCAAGTACCCTTTTACTCCATCATAATGATTATTCTTATTCTTATTATTATTATTTTAACCTCTTTGTACTTATATTGTTCTTATTACTATAGCTGATGATATTATTCAGCTCAAGAAAAAGTTTGGATTCAATCCCGACGAAAAATTCGTTGTTCCTCAAGAAGTCTATGACTTTTACCACAACATTGCCCACAGAGGAGCAAAGGCCCAGGAGCAGTGGAACTCGCTGTTTGACAAGTACGCGGACGAGTACCCCAAGGAGGCCCAGGACTTTAAGCGTCGCATGGAAGGAAAGCTTCCCGAGGGCTGGAAGGATGCCTTACCTCGCTACACTCCAGAGGATTCCCCGATGGCAACCCGCAAGTTGTCCGAGGCCTTGCTCAACAAGATCGCGGACGTGATTCCAGAACTCATGGGTGGTTCTGCTGATCTGACAGGATCAAACAATACCCGTTGGAAGACAGCCGTTGATTTCCAAGCTGTAAGTTTTATATATATATATTTGGTTAATTGATTTTAATATTTTTTATTTAATTTAATTTAGCCTTCGACTCAGTTGGGTGATTACTCTGGACGCTATATTCGTTACGGTGTTCGTGAACATGGTATGAATGCCATTATGAATGGTATGGCTGCCTACCAAGGTATCATTCCATTCGGAGGAACTTTCCTCAACTTCTTGACGTAAGTTTCTCAATAGTGTCTTATTTTAATTGATATTAAAAACTATATATATATATATATTCATTTACTTGCTTACTTATTTAGTTATGGCTGGGGTGCAGCTCGCCTGAGCGCTTTGGCCAAGCTCCGTGTGATCTACGTAATGACCCACGACTCCATTGGTCTCGGTGAAGACGGACCCACTCACCAGCCTATCGAGACTCTTGCCTTGACCCGCGCCACCCCACAGATGCTGACCTTCCGCCCAGCAGACGGTAACGAGGTCTCGGGCGCTTACCTGATTGCCATTGACCGCAACGACTACCCGTCCGTGATTGCCCTGACTCGCCAGAACTTGCCTCAGCTCAAGGGATCCTCTGTCGAGGCTGTCCAGAAAGGTGGATACGTGCTTCAGTCTTCGGCTCCAAAGGGCACCAAGCCCGACGTGATTGTGCTCGGTACCGGATCAGAAGTACCCATTGCCCTGGCAGCAACCGAACTCTTGCAGAAAAGGGGAATCACGACTAGTCTGGTGTCCATGCCATGCACAGAGCTGTTTGATGAGCAGCCGTTGGAGTACAGACAGTCGGTCCTGCTCAAGGGAGTTCCGGTAGTTTCGGTCGAAGCCTTGTCTACCTTTGGCTGGCAAAAGTATTCGCATGCTCAGGTTGGCATGACCACCTTTGGTTCATCTGGAGTAAGTTGTTTTCTTTCTTTCTTTCTTTCTTTTTTATTTATTTATTTATTTATTTATTGACTTGTTATTTTTATTTATTTAGCCTTATGAAGAAGTCTACAAGCACTTCAAGATCACTCCAGAGCATGTTGCCGAGGTTGCTGAGGATGCTATTAAATACTTCAAGGGACATGGTTTTGTTCCTGAATTGTTCCCTCAGTTTGCCCCTTGTACATAAGAAAGAATAGCTTTCAGATCTCAAACTTTACTTTTTCCATGTTTTTTTTTTTTTATTTTATTTTCTTTTCTTTCTTTAACCAACAAACCAAACCAAACCAAACCAAACCAAACCAAGCTCGACTTTGTAACTAGTAATCTAGTTGTACAATATGTATATAATATATATATATTAAATAAATAAATATTTCAAAATTTATATATATAATTCTCTCTCTCTCTATCTGCTTGTGTATATCTATTATAAGGAAAGGCAAAGTAAGCTTGACAAGAATATTAAACTCAATTTACCTTTTCAAGGCCTGGGAGAGTTGTACAAGTTTGATGGTGGTAAACGATGATCCGATCAGCTTTTATATACATCTATCTATATATATATATATATTATATTTTAGCTTTTCTTACTTCTTCTCTTTCTTTCATTCTTTCACTTTCTCCAACTTTTTTGTATATAAACCGTGACATACAAACCAAGTATATATATATATATATAAATAAAAATAGTGTATTGTGAAATATGAGGTTCTTGTCAATTGCACGCAAAACCAGTACTCTGCATACCTTTGTACCTGCCAGACGTGGATTCTCGGTATCCTCTATTGTTACCCGGGAGTTCCATCCAACACCTACAGATGAACAAGGTCCCTTGGTAGGTATTCGTGTACTTGACTTGACTCGTGTTCTTGGTAAGCATAATATATATATATACACACATATATGTCAAGACTAAGCCAAATATGTATATATATATATATATATTTGCTTGTTTTTATTGGTTTAAGCTGGTCCATATTGTACAATGATGCTAGGTGACTTGGGGTAAATATCCTTTTGTCTCTCTCTCTCTGTGTGTGTGTTTTAGCAATATTAATTTATTTTTATTTATTTTTTTAAAAAAAAAAAACAATATTGTTGTTGTTGTTCTGCTGCTTTGTTTTATATATATTCTATAGAGCAGAGATTATAAAAATCGAGCATCCAAAGGGAGATGATACCCGTGCCTGGGGCCCACCTTATGCCCAAAGTGTGCACGATCTTGGGGACGGTGTCGAGGGCGAGTCGGCTTACTTTTTGTGTGCGAACCGCAACAAGAAGTCGGTCACGGTCAATATGAAGTCCGAGGATGGACAGAGGATGCTCCATGATCTTGTCAAGAAGTGCGATGTGTTGGTCGAGAATTACTTGCCTGGCAAGCTGGCCGAGATGGGCATGGGGTACGAACAATTAAAAGAAATCAACCCCAAGTTGATCTATGCGTCCATCACAGGATATGGTCAAACAGGTCCTTATGCCAAGAGACCTGGATATGATGTGATTATAGAGGTAATATATATATATTTAAGAGAAAAAGAAGAAGAAGAAGGAATCTGTATTCAAATGTGTGTTTGGGGGGGTTTTTTTTTAGGCAGAAGCAGGATTGATGCACATTACTGGTGAACAAGATGGCGAACCCGTCAAGGTTGGTGTTGCAATTACAGGTAAATGCGTTGGACAAGAGAAAGAAACACACGTATATTCATTTATAGTAATTATACTAATAAAAAAAATTATATTGTAGATTTGACTACAGGTAATACATCCATACACACACACACGCGCATATATATATGTATTTGCTCTGACTCTATATACATATACACATAAAAAGGTCTCTATACCCATAGTGCTATTTTGGCAGCTCTTATAAAACGTGGTGTTAGTGGAAAGGGCCAGTGGATCGATTGTTCGTTGATCGAGTCTCAGGTTGCTTCGTTGGTCAACATTGCGTCCAACTATCTTATTGGTGGACGAGAGGCCAAGCGGATGGGTACCTCGCACCCTTCGATTGTGCCTTACCAGGTCTTGCCGACCAAGGACTCGTTTGTGATGATCGGGGCCGGAAACGACGGTCAGTTTGGTAAGCTCTGCCGTCGTATGGGACTCGACAGTCTTGCAGAGGATGCGAACTACAGATCAAACTCGGATCGTGTCAAGAACCGATCAAAGTTGATCGGATTGCTTACCCAGCGTCTGACCGAAGAACCGACCGAGTTCTGGCTGGATAAGCTGACCGGAGCAGGATTTCCGTTTGCACCGATCAATAATATCCAGCAGACCTTTGACCATCCACAATTGGTTGCCCGTGGGCTTGTACAAGAAGTTGAACATGAACGAGTAGGAAAGATAAAGCTTGTTGGTAAGAAATTTTTTTTGTTTGTTTTTAAAGAATATTTAGTTATTTACTTTTTTTTCTTCTTTCTTTCTTTTGATCGATTGTGTAGGTCCTCCTGTAAAGTATAGCGGATTCAAGACTGATATCAGACTTCCTCCTCCTGTATTGGGTGCACACACTCAGGAAGTACTCGAACAAGTACTTGGATATTCAACTGAAGAAATCCAACGCCTTCGCAGGACAAAGGCAGTCGGTTCATAAAAGAGATAAATAAAGGACTAGACATATTATTATTACTGGTACTTTTTTTTTGGGTTTATAGATCTAGTAATTAATTAATTAATTTTTTAACACTTTTACAATCTTTATCTATGCTGTACAAACCAACATCTTTATTATTACTTATACTTCTTTACTGCTTTTACCAAATAAACCAATAAAGGTGATTACGATATTATTATCATCAATAATACTTAATACCAAGGACTATAAGTCTGATGTATTTATATATGTATATTTAATAGTGTGTGCTTTATTTTATTTTATTTTATTTTATTTGAGAGAAATATATATATATACTAATACATTGATACATGTACATGCTACAATATCGTGTTTGCATAAAAAAAAGGATTCTTTTTTGGTTGTTTCTTCTTTTCCTCCGAAAAGAATAAGCCTACACGGCAATGTACGTACGTATGTATGTACGTACGTATGTATGTATGTATGTGTTATACAGATATATAAAAGCTAAATAGATAGAGGTAGAGGTAGAAATAGTCTCTAAAAAGAACTCTTGCTTTTTTTTTTTTAACCGCGAACATACTTGACCTTTTGCTTCTTTTGCTTGGTTGGAGTAGAAGGTCCGGGTAAATCTGGAGGTGGCATCATTGCAGCATTGCTGGCATTCATTTCGGCCAGGGTTGGTAAACCTTGAGCCTTGCGATGTTCATCAGCAATAGCCTCTACCTGAGCTAGGGTAGCCAAGGGCGACAGGATATTTCCAGGCAATTTGCTTTCCTTTTGGATAGTAGGCAAACGATCTGCAATAGTCTTGAACAATTGTTTACCTAACAGAGAAGAAGTGTGAATTAACATATAGATAACACACTATAAAAAAAATAAAAATAAAAATAAAAGGAATATTTACGGGTGGTACAATTGGGGTTCATGAAAAAGTTGTTCTTGTTCTTGAGTTGAACACGAACACGGCCAGGATTTGCCCAGTCGCGAGGATGTTTCTTGCCCTATCAATCATCATGTTTTCGTTTTCGTTTTTATTAATCACTTTATACAATATTATATATATCTTTATTCTTACCTCATAAACAACCGAGAGGCCCATGCTCTGTACAGCCAGGGCCATGTGGTAAGCATGGGGGTTCTTGACAGCCTTGGACTTTGAAATCTTGCGTCCTTCGGTCACAGACTTGTCAGCATCAATATAGACAGGGTAGACACACACCCAGCTATTTAACAGCAAGAAAGAAAAAAAAAGTATAAATACACGCTTTATATATAATATATATATATATATTGCTTACTCTTTGTATTCTGAAGGATCCATGGTCTTTACACCCTGAGGTGTGGTAGCGACTGAGATGTTGGTGTTGGACTTGCTAGAACTTGCTTGAGGTCTGTTCTCACCACCGGCAGACATCTTTTTCATAAGGTCCTGGAGGCCGCCCATGGGGTCATTCTGATCGGTAGGAAGAGGAAAGTCCATGTTGTCAATGTCAAAGTCATCATCATCCAAGAACACAGAGTTCTTTTGAGTCTCCTTGAGTTTCTTGAGCATAGACATTTTTTATTTTATTTTATTTCTTTCGCAAGATGTATTTAAGAAGTATCTAATTATATAAAAGGAAAGGAAAAGAAGGTTGTAGAGCAAAGCAGTCCTTTACAGCCCAACAAACATATTTTATATTATATTATATTATATTATATTATATTATAATAGTATATACACACAATTTAAAAAAGAGAAAGAAAAATTGTATGTGTGTGTAGAGTGTGTAGAGTGTGTTAGTGTACTTGGAGTCTAGTATGTAGAGTATAAAGTATATTTATTTATATAGTATGCTCATAACAGTATTGCGGAATACAGAAAACGATATTTTGTATAAAAATAATAATAAAAATAATCAAAGCAAGTATTCATTATTTGCTTTTTATCTACAATTTTTTTTTTATTTTTTATTTTTTCTTTAATTACAAGTTATTATTATAAATTTACTTTAATTGTAATCCATTCAGCAACAATGAACAAAGCAGGAACCTTGAGAAGTCAAACGTTGATGATTGGCAAAACAGGATCGTCTGTCGTGTCTTACCAAGTGAGAAGAAAACAATAATTAAAAAAAAAAAGAGAAAAGAAAGGGCAATACGAATGAAATAAAGGAATCTCTCTTTTTTTTTTTCGTTTTCGTTTTTGCTTGCTATTATTTAGTACTTGCCTAAATCTAAACATATAACTCATAATGTACATACATACATACATACAAATACATGCTACATTGCATTAAAATAATATAGGAAGAAGATGCGCAGTGTCCTGTGTGCAAGAGTGACAAGTACCTCACGCCTAATCTCAAACTTTTGGTTTCGCCATGTTTCCACAAAATGTAAATACATATATATATATAGAAATTATGGATTATTAATAAATTAATTAATAAATTCTTTTTTTTTTTTTAAAATAAATAAATAAAAAAATGGATGCCTCTTATTATTATTATTATGTTATTAGGTGTGAATCATGTATAGATCGACTGTTTAGTGCTGGCCCAGCTCCATGTCCGATCTGTCAACAGGTCCTCAGAAAGAACCAATTTATGTCTCAGATCTTTGAAGACCTGACTGTCGAGAAAGAAGTACGGATCCGCAAGAGAGTTGCCAAAGTGTAAGTCTGTTTAATTTATTTTCTTTAGTCTATATATATAAATATGTACAAGTCTATTGGTAAGACGAATAGAGTAAAAAGGTGTGTGGTTAAAGGTTGGCAATATACATCTTTCTCTGTGTATATATATATATATATCAATAAAAATATCAATATCAATAAATAAAAGATTCAATAAACGTCCAGAGGATTTTCCAAGTCTTCGATTATACAATGATTATCTTGAAATGGTAGAAGATATCAGTAAGTAGCAAACTCTATATATATATGTGTATCAGTATATGCGTATAGATAAAGATGTATGTACAATTGTATTAATACTTTGTATTGATCTACATACATATATATATATATATATATATTTATATAAAAGCTTTTAATTTGATGAATGAGGTGGATGTGGCCGAAACAGAGGCAAAGATCAGTGCCTATGAGAATGAGAATAAGGACAGTATTGCTGCAAACCAAGCACGTATGGTGAGTTTAGCTATAATTTAACCAGCCCATACACACAGCATATAATCATTAAAACAATACAAAAACTTATAAAATAAAATAATAGGCTAATGAACAACGATTCATGAGCTACCAAGAAGAACTCGAGAAACAACAACGAGAACAGAAACGAGAAGAATACCTGCAACAATTGGAAGAAGAACGGCGACAGAAAGAGCAAGAAAAGGCAGAAATCATTAAAGAATTGGTAACTACATTTAAATATATATTTAAATATTTAAATATATAAATATATTTTTATTTGGTAGGCTACATCCAATAAACCAGCACAGGCTGTCTTGGCTACACGTCAGACAGCAGCACTGAAACGATCATCTGCTCTGCGTCAACAATCAGATACAACAACACCTGCACCTTCGCGCCTTGCAATGCCTTCCTGGCTCACATCAGCAATGGATACAGAAGGAGACATGAGGGATATTGAGACCGAGTTTGATTCACTTGGAATGGAGTATGAATACACTAGTGGATTTACCCTAAGAGAAGCATACATTGATCCGTAAGTAAATCTTACAAAAGAGATATTTATATATATATATATATCTATTTCTTTTAATTGATTGATTGATTTGTGGGTTGTGTCTTTTATAGATCGACTGATTATTTACACAACAACAAGGCTGCAAGAGCAGGTGGCTACACTTCAAGATTTGCTTACCAGCGAGGTGTTACCGCTGCATTTACTGGTGTATTGTGTCCACCTGTACAAGTAACAGGAGGAGGAGGAGGAGTATGAGGAGCATGATCGAGATCATAGGTCTTTATATATATATATATATATTTGACGTTGACCAAAAAAAAACAACCCAATTATAATATTCTTGGTTGAGTTTATTAAAGAAAGCAAAACTATCAATCAAAAATAATAATAATAATAATAATAATAATAATAATAATAATAGTAATAAAATTGATATATATATATATATATATATCAGAAAACAGAAAATGTACAATGAATTACAGGTGAGTGAATTGACCTTTTGTAAAATATAATAAATATATATATATAAAAAAGAAAGGCATAACAGAATTGCATACAATTACTATGAATGATGAAAATGAAGATGATTACTATTTTGTGTTGCTGGTATTTTCATTAATACTGCCACTATTATGGCTACTCTGATCGTTTATCGTGGTCGATATTATTCTCTTCTGTTTTGTCAACCTTGGATTACGCAACTTAATCTATACTTCATTCCCAGGTAAGATAGATAGAAACGAGTAGGAAACACGCGTATTGTCTTTAACTGTGGAAAGTGGCGATCTATTAATTTTAGATACCACCAAATATTGTTAACTTCTTTTTCTTATAATTATTGTTATTCTGTATAGATATAATAAGGAGAAAGAAGCTTGCCTTTAATGTCCACATAAATGCCTATAAAAGTCCAATTGTTACTGATTTCAATAGTAACACAACAACAAAGCTACATTCTACACAAATCTACTGGGACATTAAAACCAAAAAAAAAAACCCCTTCTTCTATAATACTACATAATCCCTATCTATCTATATTTAATATGATTATCAGTTCTTTATATATAAATAAAAGATAATCATTTTACCTCCAAGTGTAAAGGCTTGTTCTATTTTCCAATGATTTTCACTTTCAAAGGGAGACCAGGTATTGTCACGAAAGAATAGCCAGGTGACTTCTTGACCATGTTCTCTAGGCTGTGATTTGATCTCGGACTCATCAGATTCTTCATGCCTTGCATGTAGTGTTTGTGTGATCATTGATGGGAATGAGTATTCGTTTACTGGATTGTATGGTAAAATGTTGGAACGATGCATTTGGGATTGAATTGAATTGAATTGAATTGAATTGAATTGAATTGAATATTATTTAAAAAAAAATATTAATAATAAAACAGAAATAAAATAAAAATATTAAAGATATATAAGAAAAGCAGTTGCTTTCATGTATACATACATATACATATACATATACATATACATATATATATATATATATATATATCTTTATTTTATATTATATTATATTATATTATATTGTTATTCTAAAAAAGAAAATAATGAATACAACCTTTTTGGTTTTTTATTTTTTATTTTTTTTTCTGGTGCAACATTCACAACATCAATAGGAAATATCAATAGAAAGCAATAACAACGAACCATGTACAACGCAAATTTTTGATATAATAATAATAATATATATATATAGAGATTCCCATTTTGCTTCTTCTTCTAGTGTTTAACGTATAATGGTTTCAATAGATTCTATATATATAAAAAGAAAAAGTTAGTGTTCTATTGTTTGTTGACTGTTGATTATCCGCATTAAATAAAAAAAAAAAAGTTTAATGGGTATCTAGATATGTACCTCGACCAAGGAGAGGTTCAAAGAGGATATCATCATCAGGTACAATAATGGTCTTTTCAGGATCGGATGTCTTTTGGGAAATATATCCAATTGCGCCCATTGATCCAATAAAGATCAGAATACAAAACACACTCACAGTAAATCCGGTATCTATTGAGATCATATAATAGAGAAGGGCAAGATTAAGTATATCCATTTAAAGTTAACAAGAACGTGGTTATTTATCTATCTGAGCTTCACTTACGGTAATAAGGTGCATCTAAAACAAAAAAGAATTGAAACAATAGACAGAATACATTTGCATGAATTAATTATCATTATCATTATCTTCTTACCTGTCACAGGCCAAAGAATCAATGGTGTCCAGGACCACATTAGGGAAGCAGATGTGTTCATTACAGCAATAGCCATTGCTCTGATTTCTGTATGAGGTGAAATAATCTCACTTGCCCATGTCATGACAATCTTTTCTTTTTATTATTTATTTTGATTAATAAAGAATATATATAATTGTAACTTACAGATGTTGTTGACTTTAATCCAGAATCAGCAAATACAAACCCAAGATAAAGAAATCCAAATGGCTGAACAAATGCAGACAGCATACTTATGAATCAAATAAGATAAAATAAGACAAAATAAGATAAAATAAGAGTGTAGTTGGTATCTATCTTACCAACACCCAATAAATCCAAAAATACATGGGATAAGAATACACCTAAGACAAAAGGTATATAGATAAATGATGAGATTTCTTATTTGGATTTATCTATAATATGTATGTATATATTTACCAGATTCTTGTACGTAAATGATCACTGAGGAATCCATTTGCTAGAGTGAATCCCATAGTTATCAAAGTATTTGGCTATCATGTTTTTTGTTTTATGTATATAAAGAAAATTCAATCGATCAATAAAATACATTCTGTTTTTTTTTTTTTGTTTTTTTGAGAGTACTTACGGTGGTCAAGAGGTTGGATGTTACGGCATCAAAACCAAGTTTCTTTGCTACGATTCCTATAACATGAGGAGCTCCCAAAGCAATATGCACAGACGCCCAGCCGACTACAAACAAACCAAGATACTTGTTTCCCAGCAAATGTTGAAAGAATGACTTGATGGTTATCTTGGATGTTGATGTGGTTGAGTATCCTTTTTCTTCTTCCATTCGCCTTGTAGCCAACTGACTCTCCTATATATATATATTAAAGTTAATATGAATAAATAATAATAATAAAAAAAAAAGTCAGGGCTTACTGATTTGGATAGCCAGGGGGTATTGAAAGGATAATCTGGCAGAGCAAAGTAACCAAACAAGGCAAGAGTTGCAGTAACAAGTGCATCAAATAAAAACATCCACCGCCAACTAATAAATTAAATGAATGTTAATCATATCACATTATTTTATTTTATTTTATTTCATTTCATTTCATTTCATTTCATTTACCCACTAATGCCAAATACTCCATCAAGAGTCTTTAGCATGATTGCTTGAATGACTCCACTTAGGCCGCTTCCAAGAGACCCAAAGATTGTGAGTAGAGCCAATCTCTTGCCAAGTTCTCGTTTTGTGTACCAAGTTCCGATCAAAAACACAATCTACACTTTCATATGTATTTAATAATAGATGGCTATTAATATTTCTTGCTTGCTTAATTAATTAATTAATTAATTAATTATATAATAATTAATAAAAAAAAAAAAAAGACACTTTACACCAGGGTAGAAGCCAGCTTCTGAGAGACCGAGTAAGAGTCGGATAAGATAGACGGTTTTTACATTCTGCGCACAGGCCATGGCTATAGTCAATATACACCAGATGACCTCGAGACAGGATAGATAGACAGAAGGTCTCAATTTTGACAACATTATATTCGAAGGTATCTGCATTCTATTATAATAATCAAAATCAAAAGAGCTAGTTGATTGTCAACTCTTGTCACTCGAAACTTACAATAGATAACCAATCATAAATAATACACTCATCCAGTTGTACTGGATACCAGTAATATTTAGTTCTTCTTCCATTCCACTGATAAAAGCACTTGCTACACACAGATAAATATATAATGTTGTGTGCATGTAATTTTTTTTTTAAAAAGAAAAAGAAAAAGAAAGATTAAATGCATTGAATTAGATGATTATTTGATTATCATTCGTACCGAGATTAGAATTGTCAAGTGTCTTTACGAGATTGCCAAACATTGCAAACAACAGTAGCCTTTTGTCGAGTTTCTTGACAAGTGATCTTTCATTATCGAATGCATTGTCTGAATTGGTCATGATGATAAGGATAAAATCACAAGTTGATGTGTTTTTTTTTATAAAAGAAAAAAGAGGAAACAAGACTATGTGCTATATATATATATAAGAATAAATGAATATAAAGAGAGGGAAAGAGAAAGAAGTATATCTACATCTATATCTTTGTTTCTCTTTGTACACCGACAATTAATATTGATACTTTGAATGATTAAAAATTATAGATATATAAAACAGTTAAATGACCAAATGGTCTATCAGATATATATATATATATATTATCAAATGGTACACCTGTTTTACTCTTACTAATTAATATATATAAATGTATATATAAGGTTGTCTGTTGAAAGGACAATTGCTTTTTTTAATAAAATAAAATAATGTGCGATAAAACGCAAAACCAAATATACAAAACGAAAGATGCGAAAATAATAAATCGCAAAAAATAAATGAATAATAATTTGTGTTTATTTGTTTCAATTTGATATTTATGCTTATGCTGATATAAATAAATAAATAAATAAAGACAAGTGATTATCTTGCATTCATCCCCTTGTTTCTTTTTATTTTATTTTATATATATAAATTGCTTATTAGTGTTTGTAGTATTATTATTTATTTATTTATTTATTTATTTATTACTGTTGTATTTTTATTGGTTAATTAAAAATACACACATATCAAACAAACGGGTTTAACATAAAGTTTAAATAGAATATGATGTATATATAAATTACCCCACATAATATATACATCATTACAATTTTTTTACTTTTACTTTTGAGAATATTTTTCTTTTTTGTTGGTTGAACTAAAAGTAGAAGTCTTTGTCTGGGGACAATCCTAAACTAATTTTTTTTTTTTTTGTTTTTGTTTGGAGATCCCTAAAAGAAAAAAGAAAAAAAAAAAAAAAGGGATTTTTATTACTCTATTACTTTATTACTTTATAATATGCAAAATAAAATATTATTGAAACAACGATAAACTAACCCCACAATTTGTGAACAATATTTTGGTTTCTTATTTGACTATTATGTTATATATAACATCTTCTTTCTTCTTTCTTCTTTCCTCTTTCTCTAAATTTATTTCTTGTCTTCTTTACACACTTATCATACAAAGAAAGATATAAAGATGCACCCTCTTATTAAACCAGTCAACCTAACCGGAGGTCAATGGTAAGAATTCTTCCCCCCTTTGAATCTGTCTCGCTTTATTTGATAATTGATTTGCTCCATTACTAGTGACCATTGTGGCCAGGTAAAATAATAATATACATCATTTTATATCCTATAATCTGTCTAATATCATTATTGTTATAATCCTGTAGTATGGACACATTCGTAAAGGGTGCGATTTACTTAAATCAAAATAAGTTTTTTGTGTATATAAAAAAAAAAAAAAAAAAAAAAAAACCCTGTGCTGTCAAAAAAGAAAAAAGAAAAAAAAAATTGTACACCAAAGATCAAACCCAAAAAAAAAAAAAAAAAAGATAAAACTTATATATATCCAAACCAAACCGATTCAAAACAAATCACCAAAAGGAAACCACCACTCTCACCACTCTCACCACCAGCAACAACAACAACAAGCCAAAACAGAAACAAAAAACAAAATGCTATTCTCTTATTTCAACCCTTTTTCTTTGTAATTTCTCTTGCTTTCTTACCTAACTGCCTGCCTACCTGCCCACTTGCCCACTTGCCTGCTAGTTAGCCAGCTAGCTTATATATTTTCTTTTATGCCCTCTTTCTATTACTTATCCTTGTCTTTGTTTATTTATTCACCTCTTTGTCTTCTTTATAATACCTTCATAGCGCGCTGTTATGTATACATCTTTGTGTATATTTTCTTTTGTTTCTTTTCTTCTCGTCACTGTACATATCCTAAAACATTCTTTCTATGCAAAATATTGTGACAAATTTGTTAAGATTTCTCTCTTTCTTTCTTTCTTTATTATTTATTTATTTATTTCTCTCTTATGTGTGTAAATATCCCAAAAAATAATAATTGATAATAAAAACAGTGTCATATATGCCCCACCATCACCTCATCCTTTTCTCTATTTCTTTTATTTATTTATTTATTTATTTATTTATTTATTTATTTATTTATTTGGCTTAATAAAAATAAATAAATAATGTTTTATTTTATTTTATTTTATTTTATATTGTGAATTATGAGAACAAAGATTTAATTTATTTTTAAACCAATTCCATATATCTTTTCAGTTCAAAATCTGTCACTGCATTTTGCCACATATTCCATTCATGCTTTCTTGTGCTTGTGTAATGGTCCACAAACTGATCCCCCAACACTCGTCGGGCCACGGATCCCTTGTCTTCCATTGCCACAATGGCCTCCTGGAGTGTACGCGCCAGACGGGCACCGGGTTTGCTGCCGTTCTTCTTGATATCAGCCGATGATTCGACAGGCAGTTCTTGCTTTGTATTGATTCCCCAATAACCACACTTTAACACAGCAGCCAGTGCCAGTTGAGGGTTAATATCCGCACCACCCACACGCTACATACAGTAAAGTCAGTATTTGTATTTGTATGTATGTTATACATTTAAAAAAAAAATCAAAAATCAAAACAAACAACAAAGAAGAAATATTTGTATGTTTGTTTGTTTGTTTGTTGTTAAAATTCTTATGATATAAATAAGGATATAAAACTATATTTTCTATAAAAAAAAAATTGTGTTTGTATTTACCATCTCTAGACGGGTGGATTGTGGGGAAGCAGTGGGAGGAAGGATGGCTCGGACAGCCACATGGCGACTGTCAATACCCCACGACACAGTAACAGGTGCCCAATAATTCTCAACAAGACGTTTGTAACTAAAAATGAAATCAAATCAAATCACAAAAATTATACATATATGTATAATTTATATAATCTACCTGTTGATCGTGGGAGCCAAGATGGCCAGAATACTAGGCAGCCCATGCAGTACACCAGCCAAGAACCACATCATCGTCTTGCTCATTCCCGGAACGCCGCTCTCTTCTTGCTTTGAGGCCGGTGCAAACACATTGCGGCCATACTGGTCCTTGAGACTGAAATGCATGTGTCCCGAACAGCCGGGCATGGTCTGGTATGGTTTGGCCATAAAGGACGCCATAAAGCCATGCTTCATTGCGATCTGTTTCATCGACGTCTTAAACAGACTGGCCCGGTCGGCCATCTGTTGTGCATCCGAATAGGACAGCGCAGCCTCAAATACACCCGGTCCGGTCTCCGTGTGCCAGCTCTCGATCTCTACCCCAAACTTCTCCAGCCAGTCGTATGCATTGTAAAAAAAGTCCTGGTTCTGGCTGGGACGCAGCAGAGAGTAGCCGCACATCCCCAGTGTCAGAGGGGCCAGATTAGCATGGCCCTTTGTATCCAAGCTCTCCGTAGTTTCTAATAAAAAATAAATATTTATCTATTTGTTTTTATTTTTACCTTTGAAACAAAAGAATTCAAATTCGACACCGCAATAGGCTGTGAGGGATTTAGTTTGGAGATCGTCAACTACGGTCTGGAGTACAGTGCGTGGACAACAATACAGTGGTTGACGCGTGGTGGGGTGATGTAGATGGACCAAAAAGAATGGCACATTGTCCTCCCATGGGATACGTCGGTATGAAGACAAATCAATCTTGGCCACCAGGTCTGAATACTCACTGTCCTGCCCAGAAAATTCTCCCTTTGTGGTATAGATGTTGTCTTGAATATCCCACCCAAAGATTACCGAACAAAAGCCTGGATGTAGATTTATTTAATTTAATTTAATTTAATTGAATTTAATTTATTAATATACTTCTGGTACTTTACCAAACCCTTCTTCGGCCACTTGAAGGAACTTCTTTTTTTGCATCACCTTGCCACGTAACACACCGTCAATATCAATCGCAGCAACCTTGACTCTTTTGTCATTTTCAAGTAGCGTCTTTATCGTTTCAAGATTGATTACAGACATAATTTATATAAATATTTAAATAGATAGATTGGGCCTGTTGTAACAAGAGAGAAATTATAAAGTTTGTTAAATTTTTTTATATATTATATATTATATATAAATTTTAAAAATAAGCAAGTAAAGAAGAAGAGAAAGGAAAGAAGGAAGGAAAGAAAGAAGTAGGAAAAATATAAAAGTAAAAAAAAAAAAAAAATATAAAATATATTTGTATTTATTTATTTATTTATTTATATATATATATATGTGTGTGTGTTTAATAAGAAATAATGTCATTGAATAGTATGCTGCCTAACATAAACACAGGTAGATAGATAGATAGATAGATAGATATGAATTCAAGGAGGGGAATAAAATATAGTAACAAGAAAAGGTAGACCGTTTACCTAAAGAGGGTGTGTGAAAATAGATTTATTAGTACTAGTTTGTTTATTGGAATAATGAAATTGCATATCACAAAAGAAACCCTTTCTAATATGATGATTCTAAATCTTTCTTTGTTTGTGATGACGTTTACTCTATAAGAATAAGAATTGTAACATGAGATAAGAGTAAGAATATTTATTTTCAATTTGAGGTTTATCTTATCTCTAAAACCTTGGTATATTGACTATCTTGCTCTTGTTCTCTATTCAAAGTCATATACAACTCTCTCTCTTTATAAATTCATTAGGCTGGTAATATATGTATGTAAGAAAATGTACATCGATGTACCAACTTATATAAACTGTACGCATACAGATATCGTGATTAGTGGATTATCAAATCAACCGAGTATTTGTAATAAACTTTTCGTTCTTTCTTTCTCTCATAGTCTTTTTTTTTTTTTATGTTTATTTCTGGTTGATTCAACATATTTCAAAATTTTATTTTTCCTTTTAAAAAATAAAAAATCACACTTGGATTCCTTTTAAATTTTTATTTTTTTTATTTTTCTAAATAAATAATATATATTGTGGTAGAGGTCAATTGAGATCTCAATCAGTCGGTCGGTCAGTTAGAGTTATACATGAATAAATTCAACTGTTACACAAAACGTCTATATATAAAGATGGAACTCTCTAGAGTCAATTGTTAGAATATTACTTTTATATATATCTCTAGAAAAATAATAAAAAATAATGTATCTATTCATTCTATGGACACTTTGTTTTCTTTGTTTCTTGATTTCTTTGTGCAATTAAGAAACATTCAAATTACACACACACACTTTTTTTTTATTTTTTTATTTAATTTATTTATTTTATTCTTGTTTGAGCTGAGATTAAACACTATATAGATTTTTCAGTTACCCAAAACAATAATAATAATAATAATAATAATAATAATAATAATAATAGTATAGTTGTTGTATGAAATTCATATTTTTTTGGGTTATAAATGTAAGCTGTATGCAAGATAAAGAAACAGAATAGGATATAGAGCTCAACAAAGTAAAGTAAAATATTTTATATTAATACAAAGAATATGCACAATTTATATATTTAAATATATATAAATTTTAATCTAGCCAGAGCCTAGATTCAATTATTTTTTTTTGTGTCTAAAAAAAAAAATGTTTTATGAGCGCGACTCTCTTTTTTTTCTTTTTTCTTTTTTTTTTTTAAATCCTTTCGTTTCCATATTTTTTTGTTTTCTTTTCTTTCTTCTTTAACCCCAACTCTACCTTACCTCACCTCATCTTAACATCCCCACCCCCTACTCTTATCTTTCAATACCCAAACTAAACCAATGGCTACCATCTACACCCTTGACCAAATTGAAAAGCACAACACCAAGACTGACTGCTGGGTCATTATCCACAACAAGGTCTACAACATTACCGAGTTCTCTGTAGAGGTAAGGCACCATAGAATGCCATTAGGCTACATGACTATCGATCACTAATCCACTCTCTTGTATCATACCTGATTTGTATAGCACCCTGGTGGTAAGTAATCAATCAAATCAAATCAAGTGGTAATTTAGTATATGATAAAAAGTGTACTGACAGTTGTCTATGTGTGTTCTTAGGTGAGGAGGTTCTGTTGGATGAGGCTGGTAAGTTTTTCTTCTTTAATACACATTAAATAAACAACAGAGAAAGAGAATTGCTTAAAATTGTTTGTGTGTATGTATTCTATAGGCAAGGACGCTACCGAGTCTTTTGAGGATATCGGTCACTCTGACGAAGCCCGTGAGATCTTGGCCAAGTATTACATTGGTGACCTCGAAGAGTCTGTAAGTATATTATTTTTTTATATATATTTAAGTGTACCAGGTTTTGACCACACTTTGTGTACCACAAACACACACACACAAGAGGGCTAAGCTTCTTGATTGATTGATTTATTAACTAATTAATTTTTTTTTTTACTCTTAAAATATGTAATACCAGGCACACAAGGTTGGTCAAACCTTCCATGGTCTCCAGGCTGGTGAACTTCCTGTCCAGGAAAAGAAGGGATCGTAAGTATTATTTTATTGAAATCAATTCTATTCTATTCTTTAAAAAGAATAGTCTATATACATTACATACCCCTTTAACATTTATTAATTCATTCATTCATTCATTCATTCTTTGTCTATCAATCAATCAATCAATCAAATAATAGTGCGTTGCGTATTATCTTGCCTGCCATTGCTGTCATCGCTGCTTTGGTTTACAAGTTTGTCATCATTCCCCAGAAACATTAAAAAAAAAAAAAAAAGAGGTTTCATTATGTTTGAAGGAATAGTAAGGCAGTTAACCACTTCTTTTTTTTATATATATCTTTCTTCTTTATATCACTTTTCTTTTCTTTCTTTTACTTCTATCTTTTACTTCTTTACTTTAATAGACTATCGTCGACCAATTAAAATATATATATGTACCAACAGCAACAATAATGAGTTTAATCGAGTAAAACGGTCTCCACCACCATCACCACCACCACCACTACCCAAAAAAAAACCAAAAAAAAAAAAAGAAAGAGGGAGTCCAATCCAACCCAAAAACTTATACCCAATATACATATATATATATACAAATAATATACCAGACGAATCGAATACACACTCCACTCCACTATACATACAGCGACATACAACGGGCAGACAACGAACAAACCGACCGATACACAAGAAATATATGGACAGTCAGAATTATTTAGGGGGAGAGTTTTTATTTATTTTTTATTTTTTTGTGCCTTTCTTGCTTGATACACTTGTTTGTGATACTCCCCTTCTTTTGGTTGGTTGGTTGGTTGGATTATATTACATATTTCATTCTTATTGGTTGTGGATATGATGATAATAACTAATAATAATAATCATGTTAAAATGATAGCCTTTTTCTTTTCTTTGTCTTTCCAATTCAATTCAAATCTATTTAAACTTATTCTTACCACACTTTTCATCATCATCTTTTTTTTTAAAAAAAAAAATCATTTGGTATTCAAAATGCGACTGGGATTCTTTTGAAGAAGAATAGAATTTTGTTGATAAGCAAGCACGTGTAATATCTCTCTCTTTCTCTTATTATCAATTTACTTTTTGCCTGTCTGTCTTTTTTGTTTGATCAATCAATCAATCAATCAATCAAAACACCTTTAAAATTGTTAACCAACTAAATACAAAAACACGAAAAAAGAAACTTCTTTATTTTTGTTACAATACACTTTTGGTCAATAAAACTTATTAAAAATGTTTTTTTTTTCATTTATTTATTTATATTACACAATGTATATTTAAAATAATAAAATAAAATATAATATTGTATGGTAAAATGTTCAGCCGATTGGAGACTCTGGGTGGTGAACCTATCATTCTTAAAAAAAAATATTTTTTTTTAAGGATAGAAAACACTCAGTGTACTATGATGACCTTCAAATATTTGTTTTTTTTTGAAATATTTTGTCTGTTCTTGCAATTTGGAGCAAACACCGGGCCAAGACAGAATCAGAAAAAAACTCTCCAATTAAGCCTACACGACAATCCAATTTAATTCTTTTCAAAAAGAAAAAAAAATTAATGATCATGTCCCGTCAAAAAGGTCTACTCCGGACGCGTTGAAATTTTTGATAAAAAACCAGTGAGTGATTAATCAATAAATATGATATCTATACCAAACTTGTGGTATAAATATTTATAGTTTTTTTTTTTGGGGGGGAGATTGTTTGGTTGATTACTAAATCTGTGATAGCAAAACTTATTTGTTAGTTAAATGATCTTGCTGAAATGTCTAAAAAAGAAACTTATGATTTTACTTGGTCAGCACATACCATGATGAATGCACGTCCTAAAATACAGTACAAAAGAGAGAATTATATATATATATATATATATATATATATATATTTCTCCTTTGAATACCCCCCACCACCACCCCCTCCTCTTCGTATTATCTTTCTTCTTTTCTTTGTTGCTGATAACAAAACCTTACCTTGTCTAAAGAAGAAAAAATAGTATTTGCCACTGGACCATGCAAAAACAAAAAAAAAACAAAAAAAAGACCATTCGCCTTTAGATTTACCTTTCTTCATTTTTTTTTCTCCCTCTTTTTCTATATATATATTATATGCACCTGATCTACTACAAACATAGTCTTTAATTATGCTTATAGGTCTTGTATGTATATTTATGTTTGGCATATGGGAGTAAAGGTCAAGGTCAAGTTATCATTTGTGCATTATTATTATTATTATTATTATTATTATTATTATTATTATTATTATTATTGTTATTATTATTGCTAAAACGACAACAAAAATAATAATGCAGAAATTTATGCAATTGAGAAAACAAAGCCACAAAATCATGATTGGTATAAAATTAAATAAAGCAATGGCTGTTGACTTGACTTGACCGACATAAAGACTAGTTTAACTAGTTCAAGTTGATTGGACTAATAAATCCAATCGATTGACTTAACTGATCGATTAACTGATCGATTGATTAACTGATTAATATATGCATTTGATCTTGTATTATAAAATCAAGAACGTATTAAACAAGTAAAGAATAGAATAAAAGAAGAAGAAGAAGAAGAAGAAGAAGTGGATTGATAACCATATTATCTGAATTGAAACAAATATATATATATATATATTCTTTTTCGAATATTAAGATTCTTTGTGTACAAAAATAAAAATAAAATAAAAAAAAGCTGTCAAAAATAGGATGCTGAATATATAAAAGATAAAGATAAAGATAAAGATAATGGCAATTCACGTTTTTACTATTTTTCTTTTTCTATAAAAATAAATAAATAAAAAGGTAAGAATTAATTAATAAATTTATATACTAAGCCAAAATTAATCAAATTACCCAATTCAATTCAATTCAATTTATTACCTCTTTTCCTATCTATCTCTATCTCTCTCTCTCTTTTTAAAAAAATAAAGGAAAAAAAAATTAAAAGCATATATATATATATGTATATATAATTTTAATGTAAAGATATCTGTATCAATTTTAATTGGATAGGCTAATCAGTATGTATATATATCTCATTATTTTATATTGGGAGATAAAATAATTTCTTTTTGTTGTTGTTGAAATCTTGAACAAGATAACGGATGACTCGTTTTTTTTTTGCAAAAGAAAATAATAATAATATATATATATTCCTTCGTACCTTTTGGCTTTAGATCTTTAGATCTTTAGATTTTTATACATATTTTTACATAAGTACATTGTATATTTAATATTATTTATATAAAGAAAGAGAGAAAGAAAGAAGATAAAAAGAAGGAAAATTGTAATGTTGTAGATGGAAAAATTACCGAGTTTAAATCCAACGGAGAAGCGAAAGATAAAGAAACAGAGTTTAGCCATCTGTCAAAAAATAAATATCAAAAAAAGGAAATAAGAACAAAGGAGAGAGCGAGAGATAGAGAAGAGGAGGGAGAGCGGGGGGGAAATAAAAAATAAATAAATACATATATTTTATATGATTTCCCTTTTTTGTTAGATAAGATAAAAAGAAATAAAAAAAAAATAAAAAAAAGGAGGAGGGGGGATTTTAGGATCTATCCAATCAGATCATCCGATTGGTGGCTACAGCTCTTAGAATTATTGTTATTTTTATATACCTATCTATATAGCAATCTATCTATCTATATATCTATCAAATCAAATCAAATCAATCTATATGTCTTACAATATATATATATATATATATATATTCTTATACTTCTATAAAAGTCTCTATTCCTTTTGATTCCTTTTGCTCCTTCTCTCTCTCTCTCTTTTATCTATTTACTTTGCTTTATCGAATCAATCCATCCAACAAACAAACAAACAAACCTTGCAACCTAGCAACAAATAGAAATAAATAAAGAAACAGTATAACCATGTCATTCGAAACAATCCATCACATTGGTAATAAATTCAGCCCCCCAAAAAAAATATTATCAAAATTACTTACCTTCAAATAAATAAATTTAGCTGCTCCTTCAAAGGAAGAACCCCAATTGTGCTTAAATGAAGAATACCAAGACGATGAAGACGATACCACAATAACTGGAAACACTATGAGTACCATTGGTGACCAACACGACATCGACTACGCTTGCCCTTCTCCTTCCGCAAAACCATCATCATCATCATCATCAGCAGCAGCAGCAGCAGCATCACCATCATTAGTATCATCTCTTCGTCAGACTATCGAAGATCCCCAGAATTCTCGGGTCTCACGCTACCAAAATACTTACTTTATGGACGGAGGCAATCGGTTCATTTCCGTAAGTATATCTATCTATCTAATCGTTTATTTAAATTTAAATTTAAATTTGAATTTTGAATTTTTTTTTTATTGTCTTTCTTCTTTTAGTTGCCAACACTCGGTAATACAACAACAAAAGCCGCGTCTCATATCTCACGTATTTTTGAAGAATGGCTCCAGCAGAAACTCTACAAGGCTACTTTTGACCGACTGCCGATCCTCGAAGACAGTGTCGAACTTATTGCCGAAGATGTCCTCAATACTCTCAAACTACGCTCCTCTCTGCGTGGCCTGACCGGTCTATCGAATGCGTGTGTCAAGATCAGAACAGGCCATATCTACACATACCACCAGCTCGAAGACGGTCAGCCTCTGATCACAGAAGAAATGGAAGACTTCTTCCAGCAGTTCCCCCTCTTTATCGAAGTCATCGTCTACACCATGACCCGCACAAACCCACCTGACCAGGACTATCTCGAACTCATCATCTCTGTAGAGAATCTTACCGTCAATCCCAACCAACCCTACAGTTTATCTGATCAAATCTACATTTAATTTTTATATTTTATATTTTATATACATCCTTACATATAACACACAACTCTCACCTTATCATCATCTACATACTCCTTACATACTCTCTATTCTTTCTACCTATCTGTCTATCTTTATCCATATTTCCTTTTCCCCTCAATTTTTTATCCTCTTACCTCCTCTTCCTCTTTATCTTCCTTTCTCTCCCCCCTTTTCTTCTTCTTCTTATCCTTACTATATATTTTTCTACTTCTTCTTTTTCTTGTGTACATAAAGAAATCAACCTCAACAGTAATATAAACATACCGTATATCTATCTATCTATTATCAATACATATATTTTGATATATATATAATTTTTTTTTTTTATTATTTTTATACATTAGTTTTTTTCTTTTTTACTTCAGAGTCAGAATCCGAGTCAGAATCAGGATAACTGACCAATCCGTTCAAAACAGCCTTTTTAATTGGTGCCTTGGTCGTTGTCGTTGTTGTTGTCGACGTCTTTGTAGTTGCCTTTGTCTTTGTCGTTAGTGATAGTGATGTTAATAATGACGGTGATGATAAGGATGATGATGATGATGTTGATGATGACGGATTTGGTCTCTTAAATCCCCGAGTATTTAAGAAAGGATCAGTCTTGAGTCGGGTTTGGATCTTGACTCTCTGACCGAATTGAGCAAGACTTGATGATTTATCCCCACGATTGCTACTACTACTACTACTACTACTACTATTATTATTACTAGCACTAGTACTAACACTACTGTTACTACCAATATTGCTAGTGTTATTAATTTTACTATTTATTAATGGAAACAACGGAGATGCAGTTGTTTGTAACTTTCGTTGTTCAACCAATTCCTTTGCAGGTCCTTTTAAATGCAACAATAAATAAATAAATAAAAGGTCATTTCAATTTGTTTTTTATCATATCATATCATATCATATAATTATTTATTTATTTGTTTGTTTGTTTATTTATTTACCAGAGTAATCGATCAACTTGGCTTTGATGTCATCCTGAGGATCAATCGGAACCAATGGAATATGGAGCGAGTGCTTGTCTCTGAGCCGGTTCGTTTCGTCTTCTACTGCTTTTTCGAGCTTCTTTTCCTGCCTGAAACGCCGCCTGAGCTGCTGCGACTGGCTGTACGGATCTTCCCATTGGCTGTCATTGAGTCGCTGTAGCTGGGTCAAGACCGGAACCGCGTCGTCCCAGACCTTCTTGTCCTTGATGCCATGCTCCAGTTTGTACATCGGATCAGACTCGAGCTTTTCTTTGATCTCGGGGTCGTCTTGGAGCTTGATTGCCTCTGAATCTTCGGGCTCCCATTCCTCCATCTTTTGTTTGGCACCACTAATAACCAAATATTTTGCATTCTAATGTTTGTATACATTAGATTTTTTTGATTTTTTTTAGAAAAGAAAAGAAAAAAAAAGTGATGATAATTAGAGTGGCGTGTTTCTTACTTTGGGGTCTGTATGAATCTCTATCCATCCACTACACAAATGACATTTCATTCGAAATTGTAATATTGGAGTGCTATAGTAATTTCCAATCTTTTTCTTTTCGGCATTGTATCGAACACCTACAAATACATATATTTAAACAAAACAAAAAAAAGGTAGTATTAGAAGAAGTAGAGCATCAGGATAAGAATTATTATACTCTTCTTCTTTTTCTTTAATAAGCAAATATACTGTAAAACAATACAGGATTTTTTTTTTACCTTTGCCAATATGCTGATCGCAGCCAGTACACCATATATTATAAGGTAATTCAAATCTAGTAATAGTAATATTCTAGGTGTCAGCTAAATTTCCAAATAATAATAATAATAATAATAATAATAATACTCTTTTTATAAGAAAGAAAAGAAAGAAAAGAAAAGAAACAAAGCAAAGATCTCTTTCAAAGAAACCGTCCTTTTCTTAATAGTAACAAAAAAAAAGACTGCCATCATAAAGCCAAGTATGTATATTGTATTGTATAATTATTCATTTATTTTAAAAATTCGTAATGTCAAAGTGATGTACCGAACTACAAGAATGCCTTGATCAATCTTACGGGCACGATCACCAAGTGGGTGCTTTCCCACAAATGTATTAACGGATCCCTATCAAACAAACCAAACGTATATATATATATATAAAAGGCAATTCAATAAAGTTTTACTTTCACATTTTTTTTTTCATACCTTGTCAGGGGTCCAATCTGGTGGATAGTACTTGTTAAAAGGTTGCATTATAAAGAATCTAGATGTGAATACATCAGCACATCTAACCAAGAAACAAAAATGTAAAGACTACTTTATAGTGCAGAATAAATTCTACTTCAATTCATTGATTAGCATTCATGCAGCAGTCACACATGAGTCTGACCTAACGAACTTGCTTGATTTATATCAAACTTGACACTAGTATTATTGGTGATAAGGTTGTGCATTATTATCATTATTATTATCATTATTCTTGTTGCTTTTTTTTATGAATATATCAATTGATGCTTTATTATATTCACTCTAAACAGGCTTACAAATTAGTGGGATTTTAATAGAGAGAATAATATATATATAATTACTAGTGAGTGAGAGTGTAATAAATAATGTACAATTTCTTAAATATATATATGTACATATATATTATTGTGATAGATAGGCTACAACTACAGGATGAACCATTAATTGGTCCCTTAACTCTATCAGTTGTTCAACCGCATTCTTCAGGCAAGCTTCTTCTTCAGCTCTGTATTTCTCAACATGCACCGAGACCAGATTTTCTTTTGTTTTTATGTTTGCCCCAGACCGAATCGAATCAAGATGATATGTCACTGCGTCCAGCAAGAGCATAACGACACGCAATTGAATCACCTCAAGACGAGGGTGTTGGGCTACTGCCTCAAGAATATCCTCTAGAGTATTCAAGACATGATCATTCAAATGAGCAGTTCTTATGGCACTCTGGTCCTTATTGGATTCAAGAGATAAACCATCCATTGAAAGTAAATCGTTTCTGGGGGCATCAAACTCAATACTATCATCCTCATCACAGACCACCAGATACATGATCGCCAGAGAATCACGGCCAAGCCAGGTTTTGGAAAACAACTTGTGTACATCATTTCTGTAAAGGTCCGACAGGGGTTTCTGAAAAGTCAAGACAGGCCGGATCGCCTTGGATCTGAGCCAGACAACCTTTTGATAATCCAATGGGGCCTTTTGGTGACCTTCTTGGTTTTGGATCTCTGAAAGATCAAGAAAGGGCATGATGGGCAATTTGACCTGAGAAGGGACCGGGTTGTCATCCAAACAGAATCCATGCAAAAAAAGCAATTCCTGGTTGGATTTCTCGCCATAGGACAGAAACAGTTCCTGGCCAGGAACCAGCACCGATGGTCCGTTCTCAAACCGCACGAGGTCCAATCCATCAACCCCAAGTTGCCAGCGAATGTTTGGTGTCGATGCGTGGTTGGCAAAATCAAAAAATGGAATCAGAGCAAGATCACCATTATTAAATCTACTATTATTTTTATTTTTATTTTTGTTGTTGTTGTTGTTGTTGTTGTTGTTGCTGTTTGTGTGATCATTAATGTTGGCTACAGGTTCTAGTTTTGTAGAATCTTGTTCTTCAGAGCTTCCAAGACTGACAACCCGAGACCAAAACACCACATCAGCCCAGAGCCACCAATCCAGGCTGATATCAGCCAACCAGCCCATCTTATCGTTCTTTTGGCTTGCGAGTTTCTGAAGTCTATTGAGCTCTTGTTCCAGACTGAGCCGCTTAGAATACACAGAATTGGCCAATTGGGTCCCTTGGAGTACCTGGTCTTCGTCCATCAACAAAACATGGGTCTGGCGCAAGGACTCCAGGGTCGGTAAGATGTCAATATAAGGTTTCCAGAGCGAAGTTGACGCAACATATTTCTCAAACACAAGGAACAGTCGCAAGCACAGGCGCTCATTCTCAGGTCGAATTGGCGAATCGTCTGTCAGATTGGGATCTGTTGTCAAATCACTAAAGAGTTGTCGGACAGTGTCTCTGAAGATCGGACTATCAGATCGGGATAGGATTTGAGGAGCAGTGATGAGCAGAGTGTAAGGAATGTGGACCAAGGCTGAAAGATGATCATTATCGTGAGGTTTGGTAATAACTAATCCATTTCCTGCCCAAGCTGTCTTTTGGACAGCTACATCAGGAGACTCGATACCCTGTTGCTTTGCCCAGTCTATGAATACATCCATTATTACTTTTATTAAAACAATATACTTGTATATATATATAAATAAAAAGTATAACTTTGGGCAAAGGTCACGTGTATCAATCATTACCATTTTTTTTCTCTTTTCTTTCCGCCCATTGTTTTTCTCTGTCTTTCTTTCTCTCTCTCTCTCTTTCACTTTCTACTTCTACTTCTTCTACTTCTTCTTCTACTTTTACCTTTTCTTCTGTTACTGCTTATTTTTATTTATTTAGAGAAACACGTCTTTTCTTCTTTGTTTTCTTTTCTTCTTTGTTCATCATGAGTACCACTGGCGCCCAAGGAAACAAATTAGAGACATGGGGGAATGAATCTACTATGAACTTGAATGCCATAATTTACCAGAACATTCTTGCTTCTCCTTACTTCAAATCGCTCTAGTAAGTTTCTTAATTAATTTTTTTTTTAATTTTTTTTCTTTTTCTCTTTTTTTTTCTTTCTTTGGCTTGTAAACCGAAGCATACATCTCGCGTTCAAAAAGAAAAGAAAAAAAAAATAACTAAAGCGCTGCATTGATGGACTCCTTTACTTTGTATGCATATATAAAAGATATATATTTTGTTTGTTTACTTTGAATCTTTGTATTTATTTATTTTTACAAAATGTTAGTGAGAAAAAAACGTTTCATGAAATTGTGGATGAAATATACAACGAAGGTACAATCGTCTGCTTTCATTTTTCTCCTTTATCCTGAAAGGTTTGTCGAAAGGGATTATTGTATTTTATCCCAAATATAAAACAGTGCATAGTGAGTTGGACTGACACCTTTATATACACATCTACACATCTACACATCTACACATCTACACACACTATGTACAATACATCTTGATATGTGCTGTATATATATATTAGTTTACAATCTATGTAAGTTTATTATAGTTCATTAAAGAAAAAAAAAAGAAAAAAAAAGACATGTTCTTAATAATAATAATAATAATAATAATATTCTTTAGCTCCTTTTCTCAAGGGTACAAACCCATCGACTGCTTACTGCTGTCTTTACAAACTGTGGACTTTGCGTCTAACTATCAAGCAAATCGAAAATCTCGTTGATCATCCTGATTCTCCGTAAGTCACAACAACAACATTAACATTAACAACAAAATCAACTATATCTATATCTAATAATCATTATAATGGTAAAGTTATATTCGTGCCGTCGGATTTCTCTATTTGAGATACGTTTGTGTTCCAGCTCAATTATGGGATTGGTTCCAATATTACCTAGAGGATGAGGAGGAGATTGATCTGACAGGCGGACCAAAACCACAAAAGTCGTATGTATGAAAGAAGAAGAAAAAAACTAATACAATTTTTTTTTTTTTTTACTTTTATTTTGGTTGGTTCTCATTTTATTTTATTTTTATTATTATTTTCTCTAAGGACAATTGGCAAATTGATTCGTATGCTTATTCTGGAACAAAAGTTCCAAGGAACTATGCTCCCACGTATTCCTGTGCCAATTGCAAGAGATCTTGTTCAAAAACTGGAAGATCATGATCGAGAAATTCGTGAAAATGCAAGGTAAACACCTATATATATATACATACATATATATATATATAAGTAGATAATTAAAGAGAGAGAGAGAGGGCAAATAAAGATAATAATAATAATAATGTTGTATTAGTGATTCAAAGGGTGATTCATATGGAAGTGACGATCGTAGAGATAGAGACCGGGATAGAAGTCGAGAAAGAGAAAGAGAAAGAGACAGAGACAGAGACAGAGACAGACATAGAGATAGAGATAGAGATAGAGATCATCGTTCACGCTCAAGTGGTCGCCACCACCGTACTCGTTCGACAAGTCCCGATAGAGACTCCCGTAGAGAGAGTGGTGTGCGAAGGAAACGTAATGAATTTGGAGAGTACGAGCCTTACAAGAGCAGTACATCAAGCTCAGCTAGTACAAGTCATCGTCACGACAATGAATCTCGTCACAGTTCACGTCGACGGAGCCGTAGTCCCAGACGTTCAAGCCCAGCAGCAGCAACAGCAGGAGGATCAGGACGTTCGAGCCGTTATCGATCACCTGAAAGATACTCTGACAGACGCCGCAGATCTTATTCAAAAGATCGCTATTAAATCACGGGTCCCATAAAAAAATACATCAACAACAACAACAACAACAACAATAACCATAACAATAAAACCTTCTTTTTTCTTCTTCTTCTTCTTCTTCTCTTCATCAAGTATTTTGTTATTTTTAAATAAATAAATAAATAAATAAATAAATAGACGAGACTGTAATAATTATAAATGAATTGAATGTAATGAATTGTGGGAAGAAGCAAGTAATTGTGTTGTGCTGTGTTGTGCTGTGTGCAAGTGTAAGTGTAAGTGTAAGTGTAAGTGTAAGTATATGGAGTGCGTAGTTGTGTGTGTGTAATTGTGTCAAGTATGAATATCTTTTATATATAATATTTTAAATAAAAATTGTCTTGTTCTTCTTTAACATCACCATACTCTGTTTGTTTGTTTGTCTGCTTTTTTTTAGACATCATAAAAGAATCCTGAACCTAATCCAACTGGAACCGGTGGTACTTCCAGAGTACCATGAGGAACCTCAACCCGGTCTCCGGCAATCTGCAACAGCTTGACCTTGACGCCGATTTCGGTCAGAGAGTGCAGATAGGCTGCCGTGTCTTTGCTGGTGATTCCTTTGTCGAGCAGCATACTAAAGCCGTCTTTCCATTCTGACACCTGAGCCGTCGAGCCGCACAAAAACTCAGCCAGCAGCAGGTTGTTGTCAGAAAAGAGTCCAAACGACAGAGGGGGGGAGTACGAAGAATACGAAGATGACGAATAGGTAGAAGAAGAACCACCGATCAAGCCAGACGAACTATTGCTTATACTACTACCAAGGCTATTGTTGGCATTGATGATGGTATTAGGATTCATGCCTCCGATCCCATTTCCCGTTGACCCTGACGCTATCGTTGACCCTGTACCAGTCACTGATGCTGATGTTGATGATGATGATGCTGCGGCCGCCGCCGCTGCCGCTGCCGCTGCTGCAACTACTGCTGCTGTTGAAGATACACCCATAGTCGATGCCATCGTCGCTATTGTGGCTGTAGTATCAGCAGAAATATGATTATTAGACATCGCCATCATCATGGTAGGTGTAATCGAAGGCGACAAGGGAGATCCCGAATGGTTGCTGCCGTATTTTGACGGCGTTGACTTGATTTCGGTCACCAGCGCCAGATCAATCTTGTTTGTCAGCCGGTCGTAGCTCTTGAGCACAGGAGCGATCTTTTCTGCAAAATCGCCGTACTGCAAAGATTTCTTGGACGTGCTGAGTTTGTAGTAGCGCCATCTTCGGTTGCCATTGACCGAACCTGAACCGAGAGTAGGTGTCATTATATTGAGTGGTGAAGTATTATTATTATTAGTGTTATTGTTGTTGGTGTTGTTATTATTATTATTATTATTGATAATATTGCCGTTCATATTTCCATTGCCACTACTATTGCCATTGATATAGTTATAGTTGATAGTGTTGCCGTTGATACTATTGTTATTTGAATTTGAATTGACAGATCCACCATTTGTTCCTGCTGCCGACAAGACAGCGCCACGGAAGGGGTTTGGTGCAGGGAACCAGGCACCTTTTAGTAAACAACTGATTCGTTGTTTTTTGATGAATTCATACGATTGCTTGTTTAGACGAGCTCTCAAATTCCTATAAGCAGAAAATTGATTAATTCATTTATATTTATTTATTTTATTTTATTACCGGATAGCTTCACGGCCTAAAAGATCATCAGCCCATTCTAGTTCCTTGAGTCGACGGTCTCTGATGACTTGATAAGGAGTACCAAGCATCAGGCGGTCGAATTCAGACACTTCTTTTACACCCTCGCTCTTGAGCACCGACCGCAGCTGGCTGCGAACCAGGGCCGACACTTTGGAAAAGTCTGCAGCCGTGGCCTCCATGTCTCGAAAGATGCGATAAAAGCATTGGAGAGTGGTGGCCTGGATATGATCAAAGTGGAGTAGCAATTGATCGAATTCTGCCGCAATATCTATAATGCGTAGAGTTATATTGTATTATATTGTATTGTATTATATTAGATATATATATATATATATATTATTGTAATTTTTTTTATGTCGTTTGGGTCTAATAAAACTTTACATCCTGGGTTTATATTCCAATGACTGCACAAAAGATCAGATACTTCAAGACTAGCCTTGGCAAATGGACATCGTTTGCCTTCTGGACGATGGACTTGTTCCAAAATAATCTAAGACAGTACCATCACCCACGCATTAAAAGAAGCGTTAATTAATATAATATATACATATATTAATGAAATAATCAATAGATAGGTAAATCAAGAGAAATCAAGGGAAGTTTTATTATTTATTTCTTTACCTTTGAAAACATGTCTCCATTTCCAACCGCAAATGTATGCATCTTCTCAAGTCCAAATAATCCCATACGAGAAAATTCTCTTTGAGGTACTTCTGTCTAAAATAAAATATGGAATTTGTTAAAAAAAAATCAAAACAAAATATAAAAATCAAAAACCAATATAAAGACATATAAGAAAGAAATTAATATCTAAAGAAGTCTGTTGTTTGCTTAGATGAATTTGGTTTTATTATTGTTGGTGTTGGTGTTGGTGCTGGTGCTGGTGCTGGTATCAATACTTTAACATTTACTCTTGATCTCATTAATATTATCACAAGTATTAGGGTTAGTGTTGGTGTTGGTGTTAGTATGATGATTATTACCGAAAATCCAATCTTTTTCCATTTACGTGCACCGGGAACTTGGATATCTTTGATGGCAGCTGCTTCAAAGATACTCAGGAGGATCTTTGCGTGGCGTGGATTGCTCATCGACACAGGAATGTTGCGCCGTTTGTTGACATTCTGAATAGTCGCAGTCTGGTATTCGAGCAATTGTTCTTTGAGTTCGTCTGAAGGATGATTATTCATCAATGGCTAAAAAAAAATACATGATAATTATAAGTATTAGTCCTTTTGGCTTATTAAAGAAGATATATATATATATTAGCTAGATGTCCGTGTTAAATAGACATTCCAGGAACCAATAAAATAAATAAATCATGGTATAAAAATAAAGTCTAATTTAATGTAATGTAATGTAAAATACTTACCACAATATGCTTTCCAATGTTAAGCTGTTCCAATGCATCAAGTAACTCACTTTGGTCTTCATCCTTGACATATTTCAACATGACTGTCAAGAGCGTAAGACTATTTAAGCTCAAGGCATAGTCTGGACTCTGAAGACGTCGGACAAGAACAGCCAAAAGATTTGGTTCTCGCTCGAGTGCCTTGTAAAGAGTTGGATATCCACAAGAACCCAATGACGATACTGATGATTCTTTTGCTGCTACTGTTTCTCCTGATAACGTCGTTGTCGTTGTAGTTTGTTGAGTTGCCTGATCTGCAGCAACGATCTTGATGAGAATCGCAGTTGCAGGTCGACAGATGGTAACGAGTGTCTCATTAACAACCCGATGAGCAATCGTAGCAACAAAATCGTCTGTGAGTGTAACCCATTCAACATTATGGCTCATTAATGAAGTCAAAGAGTTTAGGGCGTAGGCAAGTGTGTTTCCGTTGGCATTGTTGATAAGCATACAGAGGGATTTGAGGCCTCCGCCTTCAAGAAACTCGGAAGCAAATTTGGTTTCCTTTTTGACCAACAGAAAATAAAATAGAAAAAAAAAGTTACATATGAATTGAACCGGAATGAAATGAAATGAAATAATATAAAAATGAGTTTTCTTTTCTTTTCTTTTTTTTTTTTTTTGCTAAAGTCTCTTACCTTTAGGTAATTCTGAAGAGAAAATGTGGCGATCTTGATAAACTTGTCTTCTTTTGTTTCAAGCCCACCGGGCAAATGATCAGAAAGTTGGAGACTGGTCGACATGCGTTTGACTAGAGTTTCGGCTTCCTTTGGAGTTGGAGTTGAGTCGAATTCATATGAAGGAAGGGTTGCCATTGAATTAAATGACCAAAGGGTATTGATGTAAAAGGTATGGATTGTATGTATTAATGAATATACAAAATATATAATAATAATAATAAAAAAAGGCGTTATTGTTGAACGGTGTAAATCAGTTCTTCTACACGTGCATTGCGCCTGGACCCTGCCAATCGGAACTCAGTGCTTAAAACAGACATAACGGTTTTTTTTTGGTAAGGAGAATGAAATATTCTTATGACTATATATTTCACTCCTTTACACTCATTATTTATCTTATTCATTCTTTATAGATTTAAATGTATAGTAAGCCGAGTTACACATGTGTATATTATATATTTATTAAGAGTGGTAATAAGATTTTTGGGTTCATTGATATTGGAAGGGTTGAGGTGTGGTGTATGGAAGAAGTATATGATTATATTAAAGGGAATAAAGAAGAAGGATAAGAAAGGTGTGGTAGAAATAAAATAGGGAAAAAAAATTAAAAGACTCTTCTTATTAGGCCATCTTTAGCCCCAAATCCCTCTCTTTCTTTCTTTTACTTCTTTTACTTCTTTTCTCATTCAAAAAAGAAAAGAAAAAAAAAGAAAATTATAAGCCTTAGTGTCTCTTTCGCATTACGCACGCACCCACAAAGTCCCATCCTGTGGCGACAATGAATAAAGCAAGTGAAAAGAAGCCCCAGAAGATGCTGACATTGTAAAAGTCACACCAATGGTTATATCCGCCCGGAGAACATCTGTACTTGACAACCTCCACTATCACTCCAATACCCCACATGATAGCCAGCAGAAGATCAAGCCCGGTCATCAATGGCCGATTCATCTTTTGACGACTAGACACGCGACGCAACAAGAAGTAGATCAAATGGAACCCTGACCAGATGATTGAAACAATGGCCTATAATTAAAGGAATAAAACAATGCACAAAATCAAGGCTTAGTTTCAATAAAGTCTCACACACACACAGTATACACACACACACACACACGCGCATATATATATATATAAAATCATAATAAGGGGAAAAAGAAATATATATAGATAGATAGATAGATAGATATATCGATAGGTGGGGGCTTATATACATATATATATATATATATATATATATGATGTTTTCTATTTTATTTTATGAACTTACGACAGCATATAGGAAATACAAGCAAGCAGCACTTGACAGAGGTACATCTACACCAGCAAACTAAAGAAAGGAGAAAAGTTACTACCTATATTTATGGTATACTTTTCGTCTTCTTCTTATGTTACATGTTATACATAGTTTATGAATAGTATATATATATAAGATGTCGTTGTTGTTGTTGTTGTTGTTGCTCAAAACTTACGGGAGAGGCACCGGCGGCAAAACCAACCGAGCCAATAGCAGAGATGAACTGTAGGAAACGCAAGAGTACTCTGCGCTTAGAAGGGTTACGGTCGGTACCGAATTTTGGTGGAAGAACACCAGCCTTGGATTCGGCTTTTGCTGGAACTGGTGTTGTAGAGGTAAGTTGAGGCGAAGGGGCTTGGTCAGTGTTGCCATAGGCGTTTGATGTAGTAGAAAAGTCCTGGTTTCCATATGGCGTTCCCGAATATTGATAGGCATCGTGTACAACGGCAGGTGCAGGTGCAGGTGTATGAGCAGCAGACTTATTGCTGCTGGTTACGGCACCGTCCCATGAAGAATCATAGGCAGACTCTGTCTTGTTGGACTCTTGCCAGCCAGTAGAAGTATAGGCATTAGTTGGCTGACCAACGACTTCTGTGGTTGTTGTAGTTGTATGATAGGCAGAAGGAGAAGGCATACGTGCAGGAATCGGAGGAGGAGGACGGGGAGAGGTGGGTAAAGGAGGGGCCCAGGCGTTATTAGTGGTCTGAGGCTGGTCTTCGTATGCATTCACTTGACGAGTGGTTGTGGTGGTTGTGGTTGTGGTGTTTCCTTCCCAGGGGTTGTCAGTAAAAGGGTTATGGCCGGTCATTATTTATTCGTTTGTTGGTTGCTATTCTTTTTGGTGTTGTTTAAAGAGACCTATCTTTGTTTTATATATATTTATTTATATTTATTTTATACAGAAGAAGAAGGAAAATGATCCGTTCATAGAAAAACTAAAAAGTTTGGCCACTAGAAATAGTAAAATAATATATATATATATTAAAATAAAATAAAATAAATGAACCTGGATTTGAATCCTACGTCACAAAAAAAAACCAAAAGGAGATATTTAAAATAGAAACAAAAGAAGAAATTAAAAAAAGCTTGGATTTGAACTTGGCATTTATGAGGTCCTATCAAAGCAAGAAAAGAAAAGAAGCAAATTCAGACTAACTTATCCTTTTCTATATTAATAATTTATATATATGTTTTAAAATACTCTTCTTCATAATCATAATCATCATTCATTTTTAATACGTTTCTCAAGTCTTTTAGAGCCTTTTGTATTTTTTTTTTTACATAATATTTGTTTATAGAGTGAGAATATGTTTGGTCATTGTTTATTATAAGAGTGTACAAGAAGTGTCCGGAATATACAGGAGATGATTTATAAAAGAGAAAGAAAAATAAAAAAGTAAAGATGATAGTGAAAGTATAGAGAAAGGATAAATATATATAAATATATAAATATAAAGGTGTATGTATGTATGTATGTATGTAAGGAAGTAAAGACATACATGCGTACATACATATACACGCACACAAAAATATATAATGAGAGAGAGAGAAAGAGAGAGAGGGAAGAGGATGATGCAAAAAAAAATATGCGTGTTTTTTTTTAACTAGTGGTAGCAGAAGTAATAACAGCATTAGTAGTGGTAATGGCAGTACTAATATTGCTTGTGGTGGTAGGAATGGGCTTTGTAGATTTGCCAAGACGGTGAACTCGGAGATGTCGCCGCATGTTACTCTGGACACTGAATTTACGACCGCAGTTTTCTTCGGTGCATACAAACGGCTTTTCGCCTGTGTGAGAATATGTGTGGATGCGAAGTGAGGATGGTCTGGAGAACTTTTTGTGACAAAAGGTGCAGCAGTAACGGCCCAGAGACTCTTCTTCTGTGTCTGCTGGCTTTTTTTCCTGCATGTTTAGGGCATCAAACAAACCCTGGTGTGGGGATAGAGGGGTAAGATGACTTTGATCGGACGGAGAGCAGGATCCAGCACTGCTGATAGTCGAAGGTGTATTGATATTAATGTTATTGATGCTATTGAATGTATTTGTGTTTGCTGTTGTTGCTGTTGTTGTTGTGGTGGTGTATGGGCGAATAGGATAAGGCTTTTGATAAATGTCGGCAGTGTTTGCAGAGGCTGCTCTACGGTGAGTCTGGTGTGAGGGTCGGGTGAAGAGTGAATGGTCGGAAAATGACCGGCCATGACTGGCGCCCGGCGGCCGTCTACTGGCAAGAGCAGTCAAGTGATCGTGATGAGTGGAATGGGTGGAATGGGTGGAATGAGTGGGATGATTGTGTGTGTGTGTGACGGGCGGAAGGGCGGGAAGGGCGGGGGGCAAAACGGGTCTATTGAGTGAGGACGATATTGGTAGTGGTGGTAGTTGTGGCAGTTGTGGCACTGATGGAGCATGTCCCCAAGCACTGTCGAGATAGGGTTGCTGAAGAGACAGGTTCTGTAGTTCGCTAGGTAGGCTACTCAATCCACTGAAGCTGCGACTGGCTTGATGTCTCTGAGCAGGTGTCCTCTTTCCACCTACTGTAATTGTTATGTGGGTTTAATACAACAGCAAGCCAAGAGTAGCAAAAGGGTGACATTTTGTTTTTATTTGGTTATTTAATATATAAGAAATAAAGAAGTGTATCCTTTTTATTACCTGAACATGAACCTGAACCTGAACCTGAACCCGGAATTGGACTTGGCAGACAGGCGTCTTGTTGCAGTAAGAACTGAATAGAGGGTAAGCTTGGTTTTTCTGGAGCTAAAGACATGGCAATTATAAAGTAAAGTAAAGTAAAGTAAAGTAGAAAAAGAAAGAAAGAAGGAAGAAGAAGAACAAGAACAAGAAGAAGAGTATTCAAATAAAATAAAATAATAATATATATATATATATATTAGCCAGCGGATAAGCCTAGGCCACAAACAGGATAGGAAAAGGGATGGATAAAAAAAAAACTATTATTATTATTATAAAAGGGCGGCCCTTGAAACGGCGCTTTTTTACCCCTAAAACGATCGTCAACCCATCCATCCATCCATCCATCTATCTATCTATCTATATATATATATTTCTCTCTCTCTCTAATTATAAATTTATTTTTATTATTATTATTATTTTTTATACACAGAATCGATCAATTGCTGATAAAAGATCTTGAAGTCTAATAGGCTTGCTGACATGGTCATCCTACAAAAATCATTTAGTTATTACACATGATCTCCAGAGCAAGTCAAACTAACCATCCCATGGGCTAGGCATTTCTCCCTATCGCCGATCATGGCATGTGCTGTGAGAGCAATGATCGGCACTCGGGTGTGTGTTTCGCCCTCACGTTTCCGGATCAATTCGGTAGCTTCGAACCCTCCCATTACCGGCATCTAAAATTATCGATAATTAAAATAGCAGGGTCATTGCAGAAAATAATAGTAAAAGCAATTAGTAAATAAAAGAAAGGTATAATAGAAATAATAAATTAACAGAAAAGAAGTCCTCTCCTCCTCTTTCCCCTTCTGTTCTTTTTCTTTATTTTATTTTACGCTCTTTGGTTGTTTCTTTAAAATTTTCCTTACCTGGATATCCATCAGCACGACATCAAATCTACTGCTGCTACTGTTCGCATGAAGATCGACAGCCTCTCTTCCATTCTGGGCAACCGTGACCCGATGTTTGGCTTTCTCTAGCATACGGACGGCCACCTTTTGGTTGATCAGATTATCTTCGACAAGCAAGACAGACAGTTTTCGTCTCTCGGTCATCCCCAATTTCTCTTTATCCTTCATGACATCCGTTGCCTTATTATTGTCATGATTAACGCTGTCAATATTAAGAGGTTCAATAGGAGACACCCCCACACTTGAATTACTAAACAGTATCTCAAGCGCCGTTCCAAGACTGGCAAATTCATGGATTCTGTGAAGACAGGCTTCAATACCCAGGCCCGCACACTGCTTGATGTCCAGGCGTTCCAGAGTCGGCGATACAACCAGAATGGGCGTGTGGCGGCGGATCCGATCCAATCCACGCATATGTGTCACCAGATCCACGCTGTCGACGATCACCCCGTCAAAGGCCCATTCGTCTTGACTATGATTTTTCTTATTTCTTTCATTATCTTGGTAATCAAGGAAAAGGGAAACCGAATTGTTCGTCTCGGAATTTTTTATCACCCGTATATCATTTATATCACCAGTACCACGACTAGCAGAAGTATTAATGGTAGTACCACCAATATCGGTGTCAGTACCAGTACCAGCACCACAAAGAGCAGCAGTATTAGAAATATCATCATTAGTAAAGGGGCTTAGCAGTCCGCAGATCACGGTTGTGTTTAGACGTCCGCATTGGTGCACCATCATCGCCCGCTCTCCCTCGGCTCTTTCTTCTTCCTCTTCTTCTTCTTTTTCTTTGTGCTGCTTCTGTATGTACAGGATGCGCCGGGCTGTGCGCTGGTCCGGCAAACTCCACTCTTGACTTGGATCGCCTAGTTGAAATGGGACCTGAAAATAGAACCGAGACCCCACCCCGGGCTCAGAATTAACCCAAATTGTTCCTCCCATGGCCTCAATAAGACGTTTGCTGATCGACAAGCCCAATCCAGTACCACCATATTTACGGCTATATATATATATATATATATATACATAAATAAATAAGGACAATTTGTGTGTGTGTGCATGAGTTAGAGAGCGCACAATAAAGTATAAAAAGGTTAATTGGATAAAATAACCAAAAAAAGAAATAAAAAAAAAGATATGGTAATGAATGGATAATAAATGATTGTTCGGTTGAATGGATAATGGATAATCTTTAAACCACCCCCACAATTATCCTTCTTGTTATTCTTATTCTTCTTGTTCTTGTTGTTGTTGTCATGACTACTTATTGTTTCTTCTCTCTCTTACACACACACATTAAATTACATTCAATTCGTTTCAATTCGATTCTATACCATTCTATCCCAGTTGACCTTTTCTATTATTTTTGGGGATGTATAGTAATGATGTGGGATTAAAAATAAAATAAAAAAAAATAATGACAAAGAAACTTACGTAGAACTGCTGTCGACCTGACTAAACATATCAAATATACCTGCAAGCTTATCTGCTGATATTCCAATTCCAGTGTCACTAACACAGAATTCCAGTACCGCCACCTGGTCATCTTGTCGTCGTGCTAGGGGACGGATCTTTAGACAGACCTGTCCTTTGGACGTAAACTTGAACGCATTCTTGATCAGGTTCGTCAAGGCCTGGACGAGTTTCTGGCAATCGCCGACCATCCAGTCCGGTGTCTGCTGGTCGACCTCATAAAAGACCTCGACCTCAGGACTGGCCTTGTCCTTTCCCTTGTAAGCCAGACTCTTGATCAGTCCAAACAAACTGGCCCGTAGAGAAAACGGTGTGGCACCAATCGTCAATTGGCCAGACTCGATCTTGGAGATGTCCAGGATGTCATTGATGATCACCAGCAGCTCAAGCGCGAGTGACTTTACAATCGACAGTTGTTCGCGCTGGCTCGGCTTTAGGTCTGTTTCGAGCACCATTGTCGTCATACCGATGATTCCGTTCATTGGTGTCCGGATCTCGTGGCTCATGTTTGCTAAGAAGTCGCTCTTGCTCTTGTTTGCCAGCTCGGCCGCTTCTCTGGCACATGTATTGCGGTGCAGAGAGTCGAGTAAAGACTGGACCATCTGATTGATCTTGGTCTTCATGCTGTCGATTTCACCAGTGTTTCCTCGTATTCCTCCTACTCCCAAACCTAATCCTAATCCTAATCCTCTAATTCCTCTTTCTACCCCTACTCCTCCAACTCTTGGCCCTCTTTCTACTCCTACTTCAAATGGTCTGTTTGGAAACGCAGAATCTTGGGAAAATAGCTTGAGTTGAGTGGATAGGTTGACTGCCAAAGTATTGATGTCCGCAAGTATTCGTTTCCAGACTCTGCAATATGTCTCGGTTGGCCGTTTGGTTTTCTGTAATACGTCTTTTGTGTTAACATCAAGGGCTACGCGGGTTACTTCGGATGCAAATGCCCGTAGTTGGGCCATCATGGCATTCAATGTATCCTAACATTTTTTATTTTTATTTTTTTTTATTGTATTGTATTGTATCGGATAAACTATATTATACTATATTATATATATATATATATATATTTTAGGTAAAAGTATAGCTATTGTCCTTTCTAGCTAATGTTTATTATTAAAATAGATATTCTGGCTGTCTTACCTTGAGTTGCATAATCTCACATCGTACTTCATCTGAAATCTTTCGAGACAGATCTCCGTGAACAGCTGAGGTTGTGATGGCTGTGATGGTCTTTATCTGGCTTGTCAGATTGCCTGTAATCATGTTCACATTTTCTGCTAGTTCTTTCCACATGCCGTCTACACCTTGAACAATTGCCTGTCTGCCAAGTCGACCTTTACTGTGCACCCGCCTAGCCACGCGTGTCACCTCTTTAGCAAACAATGACATCTTGTATGCATAAGTGTTAGATGCTAAAATCCCGATTAGATTATCCTTTATTTTTAAATTTTTTATCTTTTATTTTATTTACTTACTTCAACTGCAGTTTTTCCTGTCGATCCTATACTTATTTCATCATAACCATAACCATAACCATAATCGTAATCATAGTCATTATTATCATCGTTTGGTATGTTTAGTACAACATAGTCTGAGGCTGTAGTCTTTGGATTTTCGGCAGTTCTTTCGTCATCAGTATTGTTAACCTTGTTTCGAGATTGAGACTTTGCCGAAAACATATGGAGTTGATCAACCATTTTATTCATGGTTTCCTTGATAACAACAAGCCCAAGAAAGTATTTAGTAACCATAGAAACATGGATTATTTTGCTTATGTATCTACTTTTCTTACCTTTAATTCTGCAATCTCTCCTCGAACATCTACAGTAACCTATATATTGTATTAAATTAAATTATATTATATTAGAACATAATGTAATACTCTATGTAGATGTTTTGAATTTACTGCTTCGGTCAGGTTCTTTTGAACTACTGGTTTTGAATAGACTGGTGGATCCCAGAGGTGTGTTGTTAGGCTGTCAGCCTTTGTGTTGACATCGACAACCTCCAATCTGGAGTCTAAACCGCCTTGTGCACCAACTTCTTTTGTGACCCTTGTCAATTCACCTGTCCATGTTCTCAGTGCATCGACCTATACAAAATATCAACATTTTGTTTCAATTTTAAAATTTTATTTATTTATAATAATAATAGTAATAATAATAATATCAATGATGACTAATATCTAAATTTCTACTATGTATTTATTTATTTTTGGCTCACCATTGTATTGATCGTAGATTTGAGATCGAATAATTCATCGCACACATCTACAGTGACCTGAAATGCAGATACACACATATATCTCTTCTTTTTTAATTCCTGACACCACTTTTTTTTTGGCTATTACCTTTTGTGAAAGATCACCGTTTGCAATTGCTCTAGATACTCGTACGATATCTTTCATCTGAAGCGTCAGACTTGCTTTTGCTCCTGCTGCTCCTGCTGCTCCTGCTGCTCCTGCTGCTCCTGCTGCTCCTGCTGCTCCTGCTGCTCCTGCTGCTTCTGCTGCTTCTGCTAATGTCATCTGGCTCGTGTCATCCGTCAAATCTTTCCAGGTCTCGCCTGTATGGGGAGTTTGATAATGATCCAGTTCTTTTTGGATACATATCTTGGGTGCTACCCGTGTGACTTTATTTGTAATATTCTCAAGCTATTCAAAACAAAACAAAAAAAAATGGTAAATTTTTTTTACGTCTTACTCTAGTCTATAGTCTATAGTCTAGCCCAGTCTAATTTAGTATACTCTAGTTTAGACTAGATTCTGATATATATTTATGTGTTGGTTTCAGCTCAGATTGTATTCGTGTTACCTGATCTGCCATTGTGTTGATTGTTCTCTTGTTAAAGAATTCTCCTTTCCGAACTGAAGAAAGAGAACCAAGAGAAGACTTTTGATTGGACTCATCACCACCATCGGAGGACTCAAATGCCCGGATATTGTCGGTCATTGCCGTCACATCTGTTGTAATACTGGACGCCAAAAAATTGATTTCTTCAGCCAGACTGCGATACTCATCATCATCATTGTTACTGTTATCGTCCTTTGTCTTTTTAGTTCCAAGCTCGTGAAAGTCTTTTCGATTTTCAGCCACATGAGAATTATTATAGTTACTCTTATTGCTGTTGGGAAATAATAATGCTAGATCCAAAAATAGTCATAAGAAAATAAATAACAATAAAAGAGTTGCAAGTTGTAATATTCAATTACAAAAAAAAAGCAATAATTTTTATAGTAATAGTAATCCTTAAGCTGTAAAGAACTTGTGCATGAATTTTGTATCAAATTAAATTAAATTAAATTAAATTAAATTAAACTAATAGATTTACCTGTAGTGCTGGTGGATTGAAGAGTCCCAAAGTTATTTTGTAGTTTTTGATCAACAGAGTTCAAAAAATTCCCAGACAACAATGTTGTCTCGGTCGCCGCCCTTTCCGCTGTTGCTAATGCTGCTTGTGCTGCTTGTGCTGCTTGTGAAACACGTGTAACCTGTTTAACGGTATTCTGATAATCAAGTGAAAGTTTATTGACATGACATGCCAGCCGAAGCCAGGCACCTTTTAGATGTCCGGTAGGAAGAAGGACTTGGTCATTTTTATGCCTTTCGACAAGTGTTGTTTCATGATGGCATGTATCGGTGAGACTATTGATGATGTCCAGAACAACTTGTTCCAAGTGTTCCGCCATAGTGTTGTAAGCACATGTGAATTGTGACACCGAGTGAAAAGGGCAATGTAATAAGCGTTGGTCTAGTCTACCCTGGGAGATTGCCCTTGAAACTCGCGTAACCTCCTCTGCACATGAACATGCCTATAAGACAAAAAAAAAAGACCAGTAAAGTGAGTATGGATTTAAATATACTTTTTTCCAGCTCTTTTGAAGAGAGAGAAAAGGGTACCTGTTCAGAGATACCATCCAATGATTGACAAGAAACAAAAGATTCTGGTTTGTCTGTGGGTGGGGCCAAGGTATATTGAGATGAAATCCGGGAGTATTGATCCTCGTTATCATTCTCATCAGGAGGTGGGGTTTGGTCAGAATAAAATCCATAGGAGGTAGCCAGGCTCTTTGACTTTTGGTCTGCTATTCGTCTCAAGGCATCATGGATGGGTGTAAGCTGAGGGGAGTCGAAAATGAATGTGAGGGGTTGGTTATGCTCAATCTGGCTCAGCAGTCGTAGGATATCGTCGAGTGTATCGTCCATAGCTCAAAGACCCTTGTATGTATATCTGTGGGTGCCTGTCTATAGATCTATATATCTCTTTTATGCTTATCAAAAGAAGGAGAATAGTTGTATTGGGCAAATGAATTGGTAAAGATAAAGAGAAAGAAAGAGTAAGAGGGCTTCTAATGAGTTTAATTATTATTATAATACTTGTTGCTTTATCATTCATTCTCTGTCTTTATTTTTGGAATATTCAATGTTTCAAAAAAGGAAACATAAAGTGGGGTGGAGTGGGCTGAGACTTTTTTTTTTCTTTAAAAAAAAAAAGATGGGAAATAAGAGAAGCTTGTCTTTTTGGGGGGGTTTATTCTATTCTATTATATATAACAGCTGAAAATCTTTATTTTTCATTTTCGATTGTTCCATAAATGATTAAAAGAATACAATTCTTCCCATCAAATCGATAAAAAGGCCCGTGTTGAATCTTAACACGTATAAGATTTCTATTAAATGCGCAATCGACACCATATATTAATCGAATAGAATCTTGTCAGAAAATAATAATCACCAATATTGATATTAAATTATGCATTTTTTATTATATATTATAAATATCCTTTCCTTTAAAGAAATTCAAACATACTGATGATAAAGAATAATATACTATTTGTTAATCAACCAATATTTATACTTTATTGTATTGTATTTTTGTGCCTATTGACTAAAAAACTATAAGAAACGGAATCTCCCCTTTCTTTATTATTATTATTCTATATAAGCTTATTGAACATATGATTTTTTGCTTAGCACACCGTTTAGGAGACCTACCCTGTTCTGTTCTATTTGAACACAGTTTGTTTGTTTGTTTGTTTGTTTGTTGTGTATGAGAATTTTGATCTTTTCTCAGGTTTATCAACTCATTTTCTATCAATACCTTGTTTTGCTTGCTGTTTCATCTTTGATGCTTTTATCATATATTAGTTTTTGGGCTAAAATTATATCCAGTTGACAATAATCTATAAATTGCTCTTTTGATATTAATCTCCTCAATTATAATCATTTCTGTGACACAGTGGCATTAAGTAATACCGACTACAATATCGCCATTTAATCCCTCATTAATAACTTGCTGTTTTATCAATCAATTTCGGCACAAAAAACACAAAAAGAAACATATCTTAATGGTCATTACAATCTCAAGATTCTGTCAAATCAAGACTACATATCTCTTTAAACCTTCAATCCCAGTGTGCTTATTTTCACACAACAATACATCTTTGGAAACATTTATTTATATACTTATTCCTTAAACTTAAAAGGGCTTTCATAGACTTGAACCAAGCAAAATTATTCTACTCTTAATAGGCAGGTGATAGTCAGTTCTTTTTATGATATATATATATATATATATATTTAAACAAAAGTACAGATATATACTTATCCAAAAATAAATAAATAAATTCATTTGTCTACCGCTAATATACCACAATTATATAGCATATAATTGTACCTTTTATGCATTGAACAAAAAACATAAAACCAACTTAATACAGCATATTTATTTATATATAACTACTCCAAATTAATAAACTTATTAGAAAACAGTTTACGGATTTATGCAACAGCATTCGTTGTCATGGGAAAAGCAGTGATACCATTTGGCTCAAGGATTTCAAGAGTTGTCAATTACATATGAGCTATATGAAAACTCAACCTCTAATGACTCCTACTCCTGCTATACACACACACAGACACACTTAGGACACCAGTTTCAGCATCATAGATATAAAAAAAAAACTAGTGGGTATACGCCTGACCAGAATTGACGTGATACATTTGTGTAAGACAAATGTTCCCAATACAGTACAGTTTTACCAGTATAGAGAATAACAATATACTTTATATGGGTCATTAGTCCAGACAGATAGACAGACAGACAGCCATTTCCCTTTTTTTTTAGTTCGAAAAAGATCCAGAGTGGCTTTCTTTTCTCTCTCTCTTTCTTTTCCAAAAAACATAAAAAAACAAACAAACAAACAAACCAATCTTTAACATGGCTAATGCTCTTCTTGCCAATGTTGTTCAACAGTTTACTCAGTCTCAGGACCAGCCAGTACAACAAACCAAGTCTGATCTACTATTAAATGCGGCTGCTTTTGCTGGAACAGAAGCTCTTTTGAAAAACCACGAAGAAGAAAATAATGAAAAACCCCGATTTTGGAGAGATGCCGGGTTAGCCGGTGCTTTGGCTTATGGACTATATAAATATAAAGACCATCAGACAAATAAACAGCAGCAGCAGCAGCAGCAGCAGCAACAACTTCAGCAGCAGCAGTACATGCAGCAGTTACAGCTATTACAGCAGCAGCAGCAACAACAGCAACAACAGGTAGCCCAATATCAGCAGCACCTTATACAGCAGAGGAATCAACAAATATCCCAAATTCCACAATATGCACCGTATTATACAAACTACGCCCAACAGCAGCAGCAGCAGGCTTATATCCAACCGTACAATCAGCAGCCATATAATGTACAGTATGCGGTCTATCAAAGACCTCAATATTACCAACCCCAGTACGCTTACCCCCAGCAACAACAATATATACCCATAACGCAACCCTATGGACAAGTGCAGCCACAGATACAACCACAGTATGGCTATACACCTTCTCCGTATTACCAATACAGCTACCCACAACAGCCAGCTCTTGGTTATGTCGATCGTTTGGCAATTCAACCTCAATATTACCAACCTTATCAGCCTTATGCGCAGCAATATCAACCAAATACACCTTATGGTCAAATTGGTTATCGATATCCATACTAAACATAAACCAAAGAAGAAAAGAAAGAAAGAAAAAGGAGTTGCCAAAATACAAGTGTGTAAATAATTTCGTACATAATTTCTTTTATATATGCATTTATTTATTTATTTATTTATTTTTGAGAGAGAGAGAGAGAGAGAAATATAGATATATAAAGTAATGTCAAGATAAAGTAGTATAATATTAAAATTATAATATATATATATATATATAAATGAGTGTATTGTTGTCAAACACGTATTATTATTATTATTATTATTATTATTATAATTATTATTTTTTTGTGCGTATTCATGTGGTGGTGTTGGTGTGTGTGCATGGGTGCTACTGTTGATTGGAAACTGATCTTCCAAACACACGTCCTGCACCAATAACCAGCCGTGATCCATTATTACTCGGTGTCCGTGCCAAATCACCTCCATCAAACCTGTCTTCAACAGGATACACCGAGTGAAGAGTCAGCGCATCATCGTCTTCATCGTCATTATCGTTATCATTAACAAGGCGACCACTAGTTGTTCCGAGCGACATATTGCGGATCCCAGCCAGCATATTCTGATTGGCCCGGTCCATTTTGCGTCGTCTGTCCTTCCAATACTCAGCCAATGTCTGGTTTCGTTGCTGAACGTGGCGTTTAGTAAAGAAGGGCTTGAGCCATTTCTCATCAAATGACATGAACCAGTGTGGTGGCCCAGGGTCAGGAATTGGATCTCCAATAGGTCCCGAGAGTAGACCGCCGATAGAGACATCCGTAGGATCATTGCGATACCTATCGCTGCCACTACCACCACCATCACCACTACTACTATTACCGTGTATTACTCTTTCTTCATCCTCATCCGTATCCAATAGACGATCAGTCGATGGACTTCTTCTTGTCCTTCTTGATGGACGACCACCAAGAGAAAGACCACCTTCTTCATGACTGTTATTAGTGTTATCCGCCTCGTTGTCGTTATCGCTGGCCATATCCTCAGGCTCTAATACACCCGTCTGAATTTCTAGAATCTGGAGCATACGTCCAGTAGTGCCTCCAAAGATCAGAACTGTCAAGACCACAACAGCCAAAATTGTGGTTCGCATAGCTGCTGCACTTTCTCCACCCAGATTTGAAGCTAATGCAAATGCAACCGCGCCTCTGAGACCAGCCCAAAAGAGCATGACTTGATGCGATTGTGGCAGCTGTTCAGGTTTTCCAAGTGCCCGACAAACTGCATTAATGAGCATAGACAATGGTGCCACAGAAAAATAACGAGCGATGCAAATAAAAAGCTATATATATAAACGAGTGTGTTCATTAGTTTTTTTTTTAATTGTTAACATAACATGGCTTTTATCACTACCAATCCCACACTATCTATATTATGTTTAAGAACAAACTTACAGTAGTAAAGAGAATAAACAGAGGTTTGTAGTCAAGATCAGTCTCTGTAAATAAATTGACACCAAGATAGATGAAAATAAAATTTTCAGAGAGCTGTGAAAGGATCTGAAAGACGTATTTGGTTGCCCTCTTGGTACGCAGGGACATGTTGTCGTAGGCATAGTGTTTCAGTGTGATACCCGTGAATAAGAGCGTGACAATACCTTAAAAAAAACTCTAAAGCATGAGAAAAGCCATGACCTCTTGAATTTTTTTTTTTTTTTACATATATATTTGAATATACGAAAATTAAGGGTAGAGAGTATGGGTGGTATGAGAGGTGGGAATACCAAGAGAAAGATGGTTTCTTACCGGACATGTGTGCAGCATTTGAAAATAGATAACTGCTGTAAGCCATCAGACTGATCATACAGGCCTCGATATTAGGGAACTGATAGAGATGAGAATGTTTCAACATCAATGCCACCGCCAATCCGAACAAGATTCCAATACAGGTTGATGCCCAGAATACACCCAGAAAAAGTCCAATTCCTTTAAAGATATTGATAACATGCAGTTCTTGACCTCTAAATTTTCGTAGGGTACTAATATTTTTGATTCCAAAGATAAATATACATATAAAAAGTTTTTGGTATTGCAACACTTCTTTCTTTTCTTCTTGATCCTTTTACTAACTATTAATTGACTTGACTTACTCGGACAATACAATTGCCACAGCATCATTTAAAAGAGATTCACCCGAAATGATAGCAAATAATTGAGGATCGACATGTAATTGGTGAAAGATAGCAAGAATTGTGACAGGATCTGTGGCAGACAGAATTGCCCCAAAAATCATACTGTCTAAGAAGCTGATGTGAATCCCTTCTGGATGAAAATAAGCCCATCCAAATGTAAGAACACTAACAAATTATCCAAAAAAAACACACACACACACAAGACAAACAGAAAGCAAGATTAATACCAGAAAAAATAATAAAACTATACATATAAATGTATGTAGTAAGAATGGTAGTTTAATATTACCCTGTCACAATGGCAGCTATTAGTGTGCCAACCATAGCAAACGTTAAAATGGTGCCAAAACTAAGAAAGAAGTTGCGCTTTTTTTTTTAACATAAAACAAATGAATACATATATATGAGAGAGAGAGAAAGGATAGACAGACAACTTTTGTTTATATTACTTACTCGTTTGAGCTCATAGCCAGAGTTAAGAATGATAGGAGGTAGAAGCAGATTAAAAAAATAACCCTCATTGAACTGAACCATGCGCTGGATAATGGTACCCGGAGCCAATTTGATGATCAAGCCAACAATCATGCCTAGATCAGAGCGTTTGTATGAGGATTCTTTTGAATATATATTCTCGTTTCTTTCGGTTTTTTTATAGTCATTATTCTGCCTAAAATAAAAAATAAAATAAAAACTAAAAAAGTCTTGGCTTGATTTTACCTGCCATGATGGAGATAACTGTTTCATGGACTGCGCGTATCTTGCGTTGCTGAAGGTAATAACTAGTCCATAGTGCTCCGATAAGCAATGTCATTAGAATGAGCAATGCCCATGAGGTATACATTTCCTCTTCCAAAGGCTCATCTGGAATAGGATCTGTAGGTGATGTGTCATTAAGTGCCATTGTACGAATAGTACTTTCTTTTTTTTATAAAGCATGAAACAAAATTTATGAACACAGCTATCAAATGAATTTGGTCACATGACAAGTGAGGAGAAACAATAGGGTTTAATTTGAATTTGTTCGGTAATAGAGAAAGAGAGAAAGAGAGAGAGGGTTTGTGTGTGGTTTTAGGTGTGTGGTTGTGGTTGGGTCTGTTGGTGTAAGCGAGTATAGTTGATTATCTTTAGATATATGTTTTTCTTTCTTACTTTTTTTTTAAAGAAATAGAAAAAGTATCTTATTTGTCATGCTTTTTTTTTGTTTTTTTTTGGATGGCTATAATTTTAGGCTTCGACAATGTTACCGGGTGCCTTGGGATCCTTTCGAAGATCCAACATCAAGTCCTTCATTCTGCTAACGTCGCGTGTGGGTTGATTGGCCTTTCCGGATGAAGTATCTACTTCACGTGCAACTCTTTCCCATACATTGGCCGATGCAGCCTCTTCACGGTCTTTTTGATAGTTCTCCTCACGCTCTCTTTTTAGTTTTTAGTTTTTATAATGCCGATAAGCATAATCATCATTAGACAACAAAGATCTCATATCTTCAAGTATAATTCTAACTCACAATAAAAGCCAAAAAAAAAAAGCCAACAATCAAGTTGTTATCTTTTCTTTTCTTTTCTTCTTAATTTACCTGTTTTCTTCAATTGCCTTTTGTTTCTTGTCATTATATTCCTCGTAAAACTTGTCAATATCAGCACGGGCCTGTTGAATTGTCTCTTGCTTGATATTCTCGGCTTCCTCATCACGTGCAGCAATTACTTCCTTTTGCTTCTCGCGCCAATGTCTATTGTCATCAATTGCGTAAATAAAAGTTATATATAAAAGGAAAAAGAAGGAAAAGAACACCTCTCTAATATATCCGAATTTATCATTATTATCATCTTTTTTTGTTTTTTTTTACCTGACTGTCTCAGGCTCCTCATCCGGCAACATGGCCTTGTGGAAAGCCTTTACACATATATATTTGTTCAAAAAATAAAATACAAAGTCAACAGTTCATTAGCAATTCAACATCTTTTTATTGCATCATTCTGTTCTATACTTTGTAGTCTCCGCCACTCCATTTTTTTTTTGCTTTTCTTTACCTGAGAAGTCTCAAGCTCTTCTGCCTTGGGAAATTCGGTCTCGAATGCAGAATAATCAGTGGCACTTTGTGCAGAGGGTGACAAAAAGTCATTATTGCTCACGAATTCATGAGGGCTTGTGAAACTGTGTTGTCCTGGCGACATTAAAGCCGAGGGTGAAGGAAAGTCTGGCATAGGTGAAGAGCTGGGCATTTCGGACGTGCTGAACAAGTCCGCATCTTCTCCCAATGCAGCACGTTCGCGTGCAAGAAAGTCGGCTGTGGGGTCGTTGGATGAGTTAAAGTCACCGAAATCAGACATTTTGTAGTAGATGATAAAAAAAAACGAAAATGGAGAGTTTAGGAAGCAAAAAAAAAAGAAATAGAAGAGGAAAGATGGACGTTATTCGTCTCTTTTTTTTGGAGTGACGCAGGAGCGGACATTTATTTCTTTTTATCAAGGCATGGTTAAAATCCAGCAGGCAAAAGTGAACAAAAAAAAAGAAAAGAAAAGGAAAGAAAGGGTCATAGAATAGAACGAACAAAATACCCTTGAAAACAATTCTTTTGAATTGTATTAGAGTCATGTATACAAACTAATCAAAAATAACATCTCTACATTCATTTAATAGTATTATATTATATTAAACTATCAAATTAAATTATAGACCCAAGTAATACTAAAATTGATGCCATGTAACCCTGTATTTTGATCAAGTTTCCATTTTGTATTGAATTTATTTACTCAAAAAATGGAAGACAAAATACTATGCTTTACGTGTGTAGATATAAGGTATAGCAAATTGGATTCATAATATATATATATATATTTATTAAAGCTTTGGAATAGGAAGAAATAATAATGATAATAAAATGAAATCTGGAGATAATTAATAGCTGAAAAGTGTTTATTACACATACCCTTTTTTTTGTATACATATAGATACTTGTGATATGCAAATTATCTAGTATATATATATATATATATTGATTACACTGTGCCTTTTTTTTAATAAAGAGGAATTGAATAAGAATTTAAGTAGCAGTCTTGTCCGATCCAACCGAGCCTTCCTCATCCTCTGAATCTTGTGAAATTATATCCACTTCAACGGACTCGAATCCTGTATGAGCACTGGGATCAGTCTGACCGCCTGTCTGACCGCCACCGAGCTGCTGTCTTTGGAAGTACCGGTAAAGAAGGTGATCTCTTGATGTCGAACGCTCCAAACGATGAATCGAAGGCGCCTCGAGTTCTTCCATGACCCATTGAGCCACCCGAGCATCAGTCTCTGCCTCGTCCTCGTCGTCGTCTTGCGCCACCACTTCAACAAAGTCCATTGATCCTGTCGCCGAGTGCCAGTCAATGCTGTCTACACCACTACTGACGCTCATCATATCGGTTGGCTCATATTCATTAGCAGATAGGTACACCACACTGCCTTCAAAGTACGACGAGTGCTCACTGCCATCGCCATCTCGGGTACTGTTACTTGGCTGCCGCATGCGAGGAAGTCCGAGTGATTGGCGCGACGATGAAGGCGTTATGGTCTGGAGCCGCTCACTTTCATAGTCTTCGCTAGTACTGACACGAGAATGCAATCTCGATGAACGATCCACAGCAGCTTGCATAGCTCTATCATCATCACCTTGATCTTCCACAACAACCTCGGGCTGGCTTGAAGTTGCGGTACGAGGAACATTGATAATTCGAGTAGAAGAGTAATCAGACCCACTGTCCTGGCCGATGTACTGAGTTTCTAGCATAGCTGTTACAACACTATTCATCGAATCATACGACATGACCGACTCGCGCGAAAGAGTAGATTCCATTGGAGGCAACAGGTCCATCACCGCTCCTGTCGATCTTATGCTTGTACGGCGGCGACCCACGTCTTGCTCTTCTTCCTCTCCTCCATCGTTGATCTCTGGCCCAAACATGCGGCTAGAAAATAGAGATTCTTCCGAGAGTTCCTCCGTATCTTCTCGCTCAGTCTGGTATGGCTCCACTACCCATGCTTTGGTGTACAATGATCGAGATTTGGATACCGAGTGGTCATTTTTATCCGAACGAGATGATTGTGCTGGTTGGGGTGCCTTGGCCTCCGCATGAGTTACATGTACACTCCCGCCAAAAATGTCTTCGTCCGAGTTGTCTGTATCTTTGAGTTCCTCCTTATTCTTCTCCTTTGACTCGGCCAGAGGATTGGCTGTGAGCAACTGGGTGGATTCCAAGGAGGATTCACCAACGAGAGTGCCAGAAAAGTTATCTGACAATTCAACCTCTTCAGAAACCTCATTTGTTTTTGATATAGAAGAATCCCTGGTGATATGGCGTGTGGAGAGTTTTGGCTCTTCTTGGCTGTAAGTGAATGTTTGAGCTATTGTATGCGTTTCACTTTCAAGATTGATTGGAATAGACTCTTCTGAAACAATAACTTGGATATTCTCTGTATCTTGTTTTTCAGATACAGGCTCCACTATTACACGGCTAGTAGAAGACGTATGTGATGAAGGACTTCTTGTGATTGTGGTGTATACAGTACGGGTAGTTGTTTCAGTCGGAAGGGTGAGCTCTTTCTCCAACCCGGCATTGTTCTCCGAGACAAGAATAGTGCGTGTGACAGTAACGGACCTCTTCAGTCCTGGAAGAGACACCTCCTCCGAAGAACTCTCGCCTGTTACAGCTGATACCGTTTTTAAGGAATTGAGCTCCTCTGAAACATTCAAGTCATCTTGGGTGTCCACCTTGGATTCAATATCATCGGAATTTTCTAATAAAGCCAAACAAAAAAATGAGAAACAGAGCTGTAGTATTGACTACAAGATTTATACATACTTTCTTCATAGAATGATATATCTTTGGATTCTTTAAGATGCTCTTTCTCTGATGCAACATCATGGATAGTAGTCACTAGACCACCCGAGACGGACCTCTCGGTAGTAGTGTACGTCGTGCGAATAGCCTTTGGTCCAGAAGTGGAGCCTGATGAGTCTTGTTCCGAGATAGAAGTAGCTGAGATGTTTTGTGTGATTGTATCGGCTTGTAGTACACTGGATGGATGTGCTTCTTCTTCGATTGTTTTCTCAGTAAGTTCTTCCCATACGCCTTCCACGATATCAATAGGCACTTCATCCAAGATGACAAGTTCAGAGACGTCCTGTTCGATTTCTTCCAAGAACTCTTCGTCATCGTAGCTAATATTGTCTGTCGGAATCTCGACAGAGTACTCACTCAGTTCTTCTTGAGATCCGTCGCTATCATAGTCCTCTGAAATATCAACATATACGCCTCTCACAAAGGTACTAGAGTCACCACCGGCACCACCATCGGTATGATATTCCGAGTCTTCGGTAGATACATTGAATGACTCTTCTTCGTCTAGAAGAATCTCTGTGATTTCGTTGTGCCTCTCATGCACTTCTTCCTCTTCATCTAGTATATCAACCTCGACCTTTTCAAGTTCGACCTCTTCTTCATCCGAGTCCTCAATGGTTACTTGCTGCCATACAACCTCGATGGACTTTGTTGGCATGGGCTCCAATACAGAATCGATGTCTAGGTTCTTCAGAGCGCCTTCATCAAGTTCTTGAATCTCTACCGTGGACCTGATTTCATCGCCATCCCTGGTGGATGTTTTAGTACTGGTCTTGATAAAGCTCGAGTCTTTGATCAAGACTTCCTCCTCCAAGTCCTCATGTGTAATCGCACTTTCTTTGATATCTCTATCTTTGTCTTCAGATATAACACTTTCATAGACTATTGTTGATGCAGTCACAATAGTTTCCACCGTCGACTCTTCAGTATTAGCAGAAGTATCCAAACCTTCTACAAAAGAGTCTTTTGAGATTTTCTCAGGAGCATCATCCTTGGAGACTGTGCGCGAAACCTTGCTAGTAGTGGTCTTGATAGAGTTTTTGGAACCATCGCCAGAGATATCCTTAGTAGAAAAAACACTAGACTTGTTTGCATGTAAGTCAAAGGAGTAAGATTCAGCTGGTACTTCTTGTTGTATTTCTCCGACCATAGCATCACGAAGTTCGTTAGTAGCCCCAGATCTTGATAAAGAATCAATGACAGTTTTTTTCTCTTCTGATAGAGTTGAGGATCGACCAGGCATGTCTTCAATTACCCAGCTGTGGTCACTTTTCCATTGGACGCCTTCAACCTCCAGAGGTTTATTAGCAGGTTTACCAAATGATGTGAATGCTGTGCTTGTGGTGGTTTCTTGCAAAGGCTGTTTGAGAGCTGCCATACGTTCTTCAAAGAGAGCACTCTGTTTGCTTGCAGTAGAGCTGTTCCAAACCTCGCTGTATGGAAGTTCCCACGCCTTTGTGGTAGTGGTGGTAGATGTTGTAGTTGTTGTTGCAGTAATAGGAGTGATTTCCTCTGAAACTAACACCGTGGTAGGTTGTTCTTGTTCGGGCTCCGTAAGAGCTGATATAGATCCCCACACCTGGTTCTTGTCGGCTGTTTGATTGTGGAATTGCTCTGTAGATTGATTAAAGAATACCGAAGAACCAATAACCTCTTCATCTTCTTTCTTGTAAGTGGTAAAGCTTGATTGTTTATCTGCAGTTGATTTCAAATCCATGAATTTCATCTGAGCTTCTCGGATAGTATCTTCATCAAAGTAGGCCGCGAATGTATCTTCAGCATGATGTTCAACAATATCTTCTTCTCCGTCATGACTTTTGGCGTGCCAGACGGGCGAGATTGACGGTTGGTCAAGATCAAGATCAAATTCGGGCTTAGAGCGACGCTTGAAAAGTCGGCTCTTGGATAGGTCTAGTTCGGCTTCAAGAAGTGTAGCAGCTGCCATGGTTGGTTTTACGAGTGAAAGAGATGCGCGTTGTTCGGCCTTGTAGCGTTCCTTGGCCATATTAATTTCATGGGTCAGATTGTGAGCCATATTACGTGCCACAGGTGTACGCGGTGAAGCATGACCAGAAAACAAGTCTGGCGGTACACTGCGCTGGGATAAATAGAGTGCATCAGGCAATACATCGTTGATCGGCGAAACGGGACCAGACACAAGAGTGTCAATATCACTCAATGTGTCATCCCAGGTACCTCCTGCTCGGCGGTCCCGCATTTCAAGGGTATTCATACTATGAGCGTGGGCATCGGCCACCTGCGCAAACAGCATACTTGTACTCTGGTTACGAAGTCTTTCTAAGGCACCGGCCGTATCCCAGTCGAACTCATCTTCGTCGTCTTGGTCTTCACCCTCGTCTTTGCTAGAGACCTTTTCTTTCTCACGCGATTCACCAGTTTCACGATTCATTTCCATTATCAACGAAAAGTCAAGGGTATATTCATTTCGGGGCATAAAGTCACCATGATGCTGATTTCGATCCGCAATATCCTCATCATCGTCTTCAATAAAGAATGACTTTTCGGCTACTGGAGTTGCAGCAGCGGAAGTATAAGGCGTCTTTTTGCCATAAAATGTCTGACCAGAAGCAAATAACCTTGAAGACTGCTGTTGCTGTTGTTGGATATCGGGATACCCTCCCGTCGAATATATATTTGAAACCTTGGAAAGTTTTGGACTTTTTTGGACCTTTGGACTTTTGGGAATAATAAGATTCTTTTGGGAAGAGGTAGAAAGCCGGCGCTTGAGTGAGTTTCTTCGAGAGCTAATGACATCCTCGGTACCATTCGCAGGTGAAGAGAGTCCGTCTCCAAACAGACGACTGGAAGTCTTGAGTGGGATCGGAATCAGATCACGATCGCTCCAGTCATCATCGCCAGTTTCCAGTGATATAAAGCTTGCAAAGGGTGATTTGTGCACAGATGGCGAGGATGGTACAGTGTCCATGGCATACAACGTTCCTTGCCATTCAGAAGTCTTTTCTTCTTCCTGGTGGTGGTGGTGGTGGGATTCTTCATTCTGATGGTACTCTTCTTGGTGATGGTCGTGGTGATATTCATCGACTGTTGTTTTCTCTGGATTTGTACTATCCACGTGGTCTCTCCAGTTCGCTTCTGGTGAAAGGCCCTCAAACTCTTCTACCACCCTCTCCTGATGATGTTCAAAAGCACTAGCCCATAAAAATAAGTAAGAAAAAAAGAAAAGAATTGCTTGTGCGCTTTCTATTTTTCAGAAATTGACAGTTTGCCTTACCTGTCAAGGGGTTCTTGATGGTGTTCATGTACTGAATCATTTTGCTGTTGGATATCCAATTCATTAGGTTGGGCAGCCTCTAGATCATCCACAATTTTCTCCATCTGGGCTTGCATATAATCTTCCATCTGCTTAGAAGAATCTGCTTCCCCGAGCTGCACCTCGGATCGATCCACTCTAGTTGTCTCTTCAACCCAGCTACGTGAAGTAGAAGCAGAATTTTGAGTTTCCCAAGGGAACACATGTTCTTCATTAGAATACCCATTGTGGTGATGTTGGGTTTGATGGGACTGGTCCTGGTGAGATTGGTGTTGGTGGTAGTGGTGGTCTCCTTCTTGAGTATTTTGTCTTTCCTGGTCTTGATATTGGTGCTGGGTATTATTATTATGATAATGGTTATTATGGTCTTGGTTGAAGCCTACACCATGACCTCCGTCCTTGTCCTCATTGTCATCAGGCTCATCAAATTTGTACTGAGAATAGTCATAACCAAGCAAGGTTTCTACTTGTGGTTTCGGTGGCCTGGGAGCTACCCAAACCGAGCGTTCATGTGTGGGCTGATCCCATTCATTCTTAAATGCATGCAGGTCGGGAAGACTGTCTTCATTGGCATGATAAACATCAGGTAAACCATAGGTCGGTGTCTGTTCAGGTGGCACGGACTAATGCAAAGTATAATAATGACATTTAAAAATAAATAAAAAATAATAATAATTTAAACGAATGTTTATTATAGTTTAATATAACTATATTTTACCATTGGCTCGGGAACCACCTGCACAGGCTCGGGAAGCCACGATGGAGTGCTGAGGGTAATATGAAGGGGTGGGAGAGGAGCTGTGTGACGCCGCTCATCGTATACTTGCATATCATCCTTAATACGTTTAGTATCCCATGCGTTCGTAAGAGTAGTTCCAAATAGCTCTATAGGCTTGCTTTGGAGTTCGCTGCTTAATATACAGCTCGATGGATCCAAAAAGCTAGAACACAGCTGGTGCGGCATGGTCTAAAAAAAAACACCCACTTTTGTTTCAGAACACTAATGCTAGTAGACTCACCGACCTATACAGAAATTGTTTTCTACTCTTTCGTACCTCTCCATAATGTTTCTTCCATGTATCCCACCAACATTGGACCAACTCACATAAACCTGGCCAGGCATTGCCCCGTGGAAAGACTTTGCCATCTGAAAACATCTGCCATTTCCATGGCTTGTCTTGTCCAATAAAGTGAGAGATAGCAATTGAATTTCGATATTGGACATGCGCAGGAGCGTAACTAACAAACAAAAAAACCAAACCCCCCTTGGTGTGTTAGATGCGATCTCCGGCGTCGTGTGAATTTCTTTGTCCGACTCGCTCATTACCTGTACTGTGCTGTAGGCGTGGTGTTGTAAATGAATGGCAATCGATGTTCAGGGGAAGTTGACCATTCACTAAAATAAGTATTAAGCAATCCCTGATCTCCACCTACAGAAAAAAAAGGTTTATTTCGTGTTAAACTAGTGATTTATCATTATCCTAAAAAATATATATGTATATAAAATTCTTCTTCTACTATCCTCTTTTTCTTTTTTATTCTTATCCGACTTACCATCGAATGAACCTCGCTGAGAAGCAAGTTCAACAAGCTCACTATAAACAGATTCGGATGGTTCTGCAACAAATACGCCAGAATTGAAGCAATCAGGCCATCCAGCATCTGGGGCAGCCGAAAAGGCCGGCCAGTCAAACAAATCATCGACGTTGCGGAGGGGAAGAGTGTCAGCGTCCAAAAAGACGATTTTGGTGTACTGAGTCAGACGCCAGGCATGAAGTTTTGTAAAGGTGATGTCTAGTTCAGGGCGGCCCAAGAGTTGCAAGTTTGCATCGTCGTTTGATCGCAAGGTGTTGACATGGACAACATTACAGACCTTGGCCAACTGAAGACACGCATTTTTAGATACCTCAGGTGTGACAAGACAGACGATAGGTCTAGTGGTGTTTAGATCACGAAGACGGTGGGCTAGCACAAGTGCACCAGGACAATATGAATCGGTTGCTACAAGGGTAACAAAGGCCTCCATATGGTTCGTTTATTTTTTTTTTGCTTATTTTTGAAAGAGCAAATGAAAGAAGAGGAAGAGAAAAGGGTAAAATAGGCCGTAAGGTTGTTGTGTATACCCAAATGTGTGTTGTGTATGTGTGTTGTGTGTTGTGTTTGCTTTTGTTACACTTGGATTTCTATTTTGTATTTAAAGTTCCATCGCCCCAAGATTTCATGTAGGATAAGGGAAGTCCCAACTAATAATTTTAATTGTGTTTTATTTTATTTTATTCTTCATTTTATTCTGTCGCTTGGACCAGCTAGTTTACTCTATTTAGACATCACACAGGAGTACAGCCTATGTTAAGATGTTATCTTAAAGAAGCTTCAAGCGGCCAGTAACTTCATTGATAAGTTCGATAGGTCCTTATTATCCCAAAATAACAATTATAATAATTAGTAACATTTTTTTTTGGGATATTGTTACTAGTACAACTTACCTGGTCCAATACCAAGCACAGTCTTGGATCCAGCAGCAATCTGAGTACGGCCAGCATCTCGAATACTCTGGGCAGTCAAATTGAGACTGAGGGCAATTGCCTGGAGTTCGTCACTAGAAAGAGAGAAAGAGATTGTTGGTGATTTGTAATCTTCGCTGCATGTGATACATGTTCACTTACAGCATCTCCTCACTGTCTGCCTTCAGAGCCACCTTGGCTTGTCCCGAATATTCCCAGGCACGGAGGATCTACATCAGGAGTTAACAATGGCAATCCGTTTTTATCTAAATTGTTTTTTTTTCTGTGTTTTTTTTTCTGGGTACGTTATGTTACCTCAAGATTTCCTTGCTTGATAGACTTGTAACAGGCCAAGGTAGCATGACCGCACTATATTCAACAAGTATATATAAGATACCATTCTTTTAATTCCCCAACTCTACACCCAAGCTACATGTTCAAAGCATATCCTTTACCTGAGCAGCAATTTTGCCCTTTGTCATGCCCAAATCAGAACGGACAACAAGCACCTAAGAAAATTTTTTTTGAAAAAAATAACAAAGATAAATATATAAATATATATAAAATCACCATCTGATAAGCATAATACCATTTTGTAGTCCTTGTATTTAGACGCGTCCAGCTTTCCAGCAGGCTGTTCATCCAATTCCTCTTCTTCTTCAGACTCTTCTTGAGAAATTTCTGCAGCTACTATCTTTTCAGCGCTCACTTTCCCAATTTCTTTGTCATTGTCCTATCCAAAAAAATACACACGCAACTGATTCATTTACCATTTTTTTACATGTTTTTTTTTTTAAAAAAAAACGTTTTTCTAAATATTTCTATTTTTTGTTGTTGTTGTTGTTGCTATTTATTTACCTTCTTGGTGCCTAATGCCTTGCCTATCAGAACACCAGTAATAAGAGCTACAGTAGCAGTAACTGCAAGCTCAATGAAAGGGTAATTGCTCGATGGTTTGGATGACAGACTGCACGACATTTCGCTTAATCACACTTGGACATCGTTCCTCTTTCAAGACTACTTTGATCAGCCCAGGGAAGTCGTGACTGTGTTTAGCAATCTAATCCAAAATCTCCTCCCCTTTTTGGCGTTCTATAGAAGGTGCGGAGTTAGAAAACCTAAGTAAAAGGCCAAATCTGTAACCATTTTCAAGCATAGGGAGTATTGTAACAATTTAAGCAGTGAAAGTTTGTGAAGATTTTACTAGTAAAAATGTAAGCAACTCGGGCACGTGACTTACTCAGAGTATCCTTCTTAGCACTCGAAGCAGAAAATATAAACCAGTGATCTTGAATATTGAACGCCTGTACAGAACAGACCCAGACCTTAAGTTTACGACTGATGTTTTCTTTTTGATTTACGTAAAATCTCAAGTTAATTTAGTGACTACTGGTTGTAATCTCACTACATCACTGAAGGCTGGGTCTAATGCAGTATTAGTTTCTTTAAAGAATGCCAATATTGTAAAGAGATTTACTAAAATAAAGACAATTGTCATTGTTATTACCAGCACTAGCCACTAAATTAAAAAAGGAATTCTACTAAATCAAAAAGAAAAGGCACTATTTCGCGCTTAAGATCCTGTATCATTTATGAGGAAATATAAACACCCCGGCTTTTGCTATACTAGCTTTATACGGCACCCTTTAAAAACCCTTTAATTTATCTTTACAGTGGTTCATCTTTCTTTATGCTTATGCACTGAGCCATGAACATGGATCTATTTGAGGAACATCGAGACAAATTGAAAGACTATGGTATTAAATGTTCATCTTGGATAAGTTCAACAGGTATTGACAGTGTTTGGGTAGCTTTTTGGACACCAGTTGAAGAATAATTGTTCGACGTAACTAAATACGATGAAATATTGTACAAGAGAACTGTGATAAATAAGCAGACATGTTATGACCACTTGTCATCAGAAATAGACTATGTACTTCAGCACTCGAGAAAATGCTACTTTTGTTCCTCACACCAAATCGCTACGACGAAAGCTACAAAAACTGAAAAGAGATGAGACTAACAAAATGATTTGGTTCGATCTTGTTTTCAGAATAATGAAATTCAACTATTAACAGCCAGTTGCAGAAGGAAAGTTGATGGTTACAGACTTTAAAAAAAACAGCAAAAATGATTGGTTCCACCACTAGCAAACGTCAAATTGAGTGGGCCATAGAGACAAGGAGCGAAAAGCAGCAAAAAGTAAAGGCGTCTCAAGTCATGGAACAGGTTGAATACGATATCCTTTATGCGGAAGGAAATAATATTTCAGTCGGTACAACTATCAAAAAGCCTCTCAACTTTTCCATGAAAGTAAGATCCGAAAGCTCAGTGCTCGCGAGAGAAAAATTATGACGCAAGTATGGTTATGTAAGATCTAGACAGGACAGGACAAGGAAGAAAGGCTGGCAAGGGTTCTAGGTGCTTTCACAAGACAAGACAAGGGGACAAAACAAGAAGACTGAAGTCAAAGCGGACAGAAAGAGTTGGGTAGAAACAAAGATAGTTGAATATCGTTTATTACTTGAATTGTTAAAGACGTTTATATTGTTAGAAAAGAATATAAAGCTATATAATAAACTGTATAAAATGATACTGGTATGTATCTGTGGAATTTGTTAGATAGTGTCAGAACTGGTAATAAAAAGTTATTTTTGGAAGAAAGGTATATTTCTAGCAATCTGCTTAAATCCGATATATTAGGAGTTGGCTATCTTCAGTCTTAGACTTGGTTGACCCTTCAAGCTCTTGTAAAAAACTATGGTTCTCTGATGAAGCTTGGACTCAAATTATATCTCTGTCTTGAATTATTGTCAATGTTGCCTGATTTAACCAATCGATGGTTAATTATTTCCAAAGTAAGTTCTACGCTATTTCGATATGTTTTGACTGCCTTTTTTCAACTAGACTGTTGCAGCATCAAACAGCATTACATTGGGGCTGAATTATGTTTATAAAGTTTATTCAAAACAGAACAATCAAAACAAAGATTATATTAAAATCTTTGAAAATAAGTAATTCCTGATATATAATATGTCTTTCTTTGAATATATATTTAAGATGGATCATAATATAGTCTGACCTTGGCGAACACATACCCACATTTGTTGAAAAAGAATGAAGTGCACAACAATGATTATTCATAGAGCGATCTTTCGAGAATTGTATGGCGTCCTATATTTGAACTACTATTGCCACCAAACCAACAAAACCAACAAAACCTTATAATCGAAATTGAAGACACAGTCGGTCTTATGTCCCAAGAGCATAAATAAGACCTATATAGTGATATTCTGAACATTATGGCCTTCAAAATTGGTGTTATAGTGACTTTTAAGAACGACAGAAAAGAAATCGACGCTGTGTGCGGAGAACTAGCAAGAAATGATGTAGATAGTAAAACAGCAATCTAACGGAAACGACGGTTCCGGGTGGGTCTCAAACTTTCTATCTAACCAGACTAATAAATTTTGACTACATGTCCAGGGTCCAGTATCTTTCTCTAATCCTTCAGGGCAAAATGGGGTGTCTTAAAAAAACTCAGTATATTCATTGTATGCATTAGCTTTACTACTTTGTGTTAACTTATCTCTCCTCAGACACCTAACTCTCATTGTTTTAAGAGCCACAATCTGCATTTAGGCAACTTGATAATAAAATCGTGGTTCATACAAAAAACAAATCGTATGTGTTCAATCAATAGCCCTGAATTTAGACTTGACAATAAAGAAAAAATAATTAGTCACATATCCACTACATCAATGGCCAGTTATGCAAAGAACTATAGGGAATCGTTGTCATCAGATTGTGATACAATCCTGTTAGATATATTACTAGTTATTGACCTGCTTACGCGTATCATATTTTTATCTTTCTTTCATCAACATATTCCCAGAGTTTAATAGAACCGACTGGTAAGTAGCACCCATTCACTTTTTTCTGCAAAGCACAAAATAGAATCTTTAAGAATATTCTGTATTCTGACTAGCATTAATTATTCCAACAAGAATCAATCTTTAGGGACCATGTGGAGTTATTCCTTGCCCAAAAAAGGGCATGATTTGTGGTTTGGTAGGGTCAAAATGTCGTCTACCTAGAATTAGCGTAACTAATAGCTTGTATTTTTTGGTTTATATCTTTCTTCGTGCAAATAATTAAGCCTTTTGATATCTCATATTAATATATTAGTATATATAGTGAATTCTAATATCTTACTTCGATCTAATTCCAAAAGGCTTTATTTTATTAATGAAAAAGGCTGGTACTATTATATTCAATAATTATATATTTCTTTGCAATTATTTAAATAGTAACTCGACTGAAATATGTCTATAGCTTGTATCATTTATTTCCCATTCAATTTTTCAAATATACTCTTATTTAAAACTATTCAAACAGCAACTTAAACAAATAAATATCTTTGGCTTGTACCATATACTTCTCAAGCAGTTTATTAAATAGTTCTGTGCAAGAATATATATATTTCGGCTGCAAAAGATTTTGATTAAAATTAAATCCGATCCGAGCTATAAGCAACATGATGTGGTTTAATACACTCTTATAACAGCTTGATCCACTGGATATTTATGGATCAATTAACACTCTACTTCCTTTAATTCGCTTTATCTCTTATTTTCTTTTTATTTATAAGTCTAATCCAAGTTGATATATATCTATATATTATCAAGTTATTTTAAAATGAATTGTGTTCATATACTAAAAGTTACTCTAGGACTATATATATATAATCTGTTAATATATTTCAGATGAGCTCTTACACCTACCTTTTTTCCCTCTTTAATACACACGCACACACTCGGGGATCTGTCTACCAGTCAATTGGCTGCACTGGTACAATATATACGATATTGTCTATTTCCTTTTATATCTTTTTACAAACTAAGGGTTCTAATGGACAATTTGGACAGCACGCACTTTTTTGTAAGCTGGTATTACCAATCGGTGGTGCAGACAGCCTTTGTGTATCCACAAGTGAAAGAATCAAAGCAGGGTCCATTGACAGGGATACTGTTACCCATACGAAGGTTTAAAAACCGTATGGTACTCACTTACAATCGTTGAGAGAGGACTGTGTATTCAAAACCCTTCACTGTGCTGTAACCAAAACAAAAAAATCTTATTAATGATGGCTTGAATCTTCTTTCGACATTCCGCCATCCCAGTCAAGAATCTTCATTCCTGTTGGGGATCGTCATTCATATTGTATTGCAACTCAAAGTGGATTGAAAGCGATGCAATACTAAAAGGAAGCGCACTCTTTTGAAAAATAAAAATAAAAAAAGAAATACTCTTTATTTTGTCTTTTTGACGACTGTTCACTGTATATGTGGCTCTAACAAAAAATATGCCCTTGGTCAAACCTTCGTGTCCCTATAAACTTCGCCCTGCTCTCAAAGTCGACAGTCATCGCCAATCTATTGTTTTCTTTTTTGAAACCTGGGCCAACACTAGCTTCGCCGCACTATCAAAATTGACACCAACAACCATACTATTTCTTTACTTTATTACAACAGTAAAAATAAAAATTGAAATAATAGCCATATAACAAAATCTCGACACTCAAAAGCAATACACTATTTTCTTCTACACTTAGAGTGTCATACACTACCATTCTCAGAATTAGTTTTCAACTTTTGCACATATATACTATTCATATCATTATACTTCTGAAACCTTCTTATTCCATTCCATCGCATATAACTTTCAAAGCTTTCGACTTTTAGTATACCTTTGTGTGACTGATTCTAAATCAGGCGGACACTACCGAGCATAACAGCCCACTATAGAAATCGTTTTTTTTTATCAGTGTATACCATGGATGTCAAAACTCTGTCCCACGCATCACATACACGGGCAACCTACAAATACTGCCTACAAATAACATCTTTCTTTAACCCACTACTTACTTTTCACTATATAAAAAGAATATACTACTATTAAAGCTTTATACTTTTAAATAAAAGTAAAATAAAATAAAATCACAGTCTTGTTCTCATATAGTATATTTAGATTATATTATTTTACTCCATATACTTTTGATAATAAATTGAATTTTAATTTTACGTCAATATTTTTTAGAAAGAATATATCTATAATTCTTTTTCTTTTTGTTTTATTTTTCTATTTGTGCCTGTGCTTATATTTGTTTAGATTGTTTTCCGATAGGTATATCTTCCTTGTATAAGCTTTGTAAAATATACTATACTAAAACTTATATTAAATAGAATGAATAGATTATAAAATAATATAAAAAAGTAATAAATAATGTACACAGTAAAATTTAATGCTCAAGATATATATTATTTATTAGTCAACCAATAAAGGGTGAGTATGCACAATAAGCAAAACACATATAGTTTAACCAATAAGTAATGAGTATGCACAATGAGTAAAATACATATAGTTTAACCAATAAGTAATAAGTATGCGCAATGAGTAAAGTACATATAGTTTAACCAATAAGTAATAAGTATGCGCAATGAGTAAAGTACATATAGTTTAACCAATAAATAATGAGTATATATGATTATTAACTACATTAAACCCTTAGTTATAAGCTAAAGTAAACTTGTATGATTACTAAGATATGTATTTTTAGTCAACCAATAAATAATACTTATGCATCATTATTAAGAACTATATATCTTTGCAAACCAGTAAAGTATGTAGCTTCACTATGAGTAAGAAATATTTTATTGGTTAAAAGACTAGTAGATATGCAAGATTAAACAGAGTTATATTCTCAGTTAACCAATAGAGAGTAAATATTCATATTCATAAGACATATATTTTTAGTCAACCAATAAATAGTAAATGTATATCATTATTAAGAATGGTATTTTTTGCTAACCAATAAAGAATGCAGCCTCAAGATTTGTAAAGTTGTTTTGCAGCTAAATCAAGAAAGGTGCATATGCAGGATGAATGAGAATTACAATTTCAGTTAACCAATAAAAAAAAGAATATATAATATCAGCAGTATGATTCTGTCCAGATCGGCCGCCTATTACGTTCGATCTGGACTGAATGGATATTTCCGACAATCTCGGACCACTGGAATCCAAAAGAAAATAATATCGTAAAAACATATACAATAGTAATAATAACTTTACTTTCTTATAAACATAAAGCTTGTATCATATATCTCTTAAATAATTTCAAAATAATCCATATATCTTGTCTCCTTAAGATTCTAATTAAAATTATATTGGTTTTAAGCTATAGATAATGATACAATATACATTTTAATATATTCTTATAACCGATTTGTTCTATGATATATATATATATAGTAATTGTTCACAATTACATGGTTCTTTTTTTTGTTAATACTTTAAATGTATGATAGACATTATATATATATATATATATATATATATATATATATATTCATACAGTTAAAGCTATGTTTTCTAGTGTGTTTAATATATGTAATACTATCTAGATGCGGACCCATTTTTTTTTATAATTACACTCGGTGGAATTTAATCAAAGAATAATAACCTACACAATAATATTATCGAGTTATTTTGAAACAGTCGGTATTTATAGTCAAAATTTTACCCTATAACTATATATATATAAACTGCTATTGTATCTTGAATACACTATTAGGTATATATATATATTCTTCTTCTTCTCTTCAACATACACTGATACAAACATACAACACAAATCACTATTGATCTATATATTTATATATAGCTTTTACTTTATTTTAGATATACTGTTCAGCCTATTTTCATTCTTCCCTTCAACATACGCCCACGCACATGCCCATGCACACGCACATGCGCCCACACACACTCAGGCATCTGTCTACCAGTCAATTGGCTGCACCAATATAAAATATACAATATCGTCTATATCGTTTTATGTCCTCTTACAAACTAAGGATGTGAATTGGTAATTTGGGCAGTGTGCACTTTTTTGTAAACTTGTATTACCAATCGGTGGTGCAGGCAGCCTTTGTGTACCCGATAGTAAAAGAACCATAGCAGGACCCATTGACAGGGACACTTTTATCCATATGGAGGTTGAAATACCACTTAGTATTCACTCAAAACTATTCAGAGAGAAGTGTGTATTAAAATAACCTTTTCTGTGCCGCAACCAAACCAAAAATAAAACTTTTTTAACGATGGCTTGAATCTTCTTTCAACATTCCCTACATTCCTACATCCCTGTCGAAGATCTTCATTCCTGTTGGGGATCGTCATTCATATTGTATTGCAACTCAAAGTGGACCGAAAGCGACGCAATACAAAAAGGAAGCGCACTCTTTTTAAAAAAAACCAAAATATTCTTTGTTTTATCTTTTAGACGGCTGTCCATAGTATATATGAGTCGAACAAGAAATAGGCCCTCAGTCATACTTTCGTGTCCTTATAAACTTTTCAACGCTTTAAAAACCGACACCAATAACTACAATATTCTTTTTTTTTATTACGCCTAACAACACCAGCTACACAACGCTATCAAAAGTGCTATATACCACTGTTCTCAGAACTACCTTTAAACTTTTGCACGCACATAACACTTGTATGCTTATACTTCCAAGACTGTCTTCAGTGATAATGATCTCATCCCATCATACATATTCTCCAAAGCTTCCGACTTTTACTATATCTTTAAATAACTGGTTCTAAACCAAACAGAAATCACCCATCACAAAGTCCTGCCATAGCAATCTCTCTTTATAGGCGCACACAATAATTCTCAAGTCTATAATAATAATAAAATTGTTACACACCCTAATTCTCAAACCTATCTTATATAAAAAAAATTATTTCTTACACACTGCCTCCGTCTATCTCACTATCCTACACTCTTTACACAGCACAAATACTCTACTATCAAAACCTTCTTGATATCTTTAAAACAAAATCGCTGTTACACTACACTCTCATTCTTCTTTAGCCTTTCACTTTAATCAATTCGACTCGGTCTCCACCTACCCACTTATCTTATTTATTTTACTATATTTAAATAGACAAAACAAATAGAAGCTATAATGATTTATATATGTACTTGCTTTAATTACAAGCATATTATTCATTTATCTAGGTTTAGAAAAATATTATAAGAGATGTATGTGTAGTTAAGATGTGTGTAGTTGAGATTTGTATATGTGTGTATGTAGTTGAGGTTTGTATATATATGTGTGTATAGTTGAAGTTTGTATATGTATGTGTGTAGTTGAGGTTTGTATATATGTGTGTGTAGCTGAGGTATGTGAAAAGGGTGGAGTGGTGTAGGGGGTGCAATAATGAGAGGCTTAGGAAGATCGAGAGTAAAGGTCAGAGTATTCTTGAGAAAACCGCAAAACTATAATGTTGCTCATTCTTCATAAACAATATTTGAAGCTAATGAGCTCTGTCTAAAAAACAATCTAAGCGCTCAGCTTTCATATCCGTAGTAAAGTTATGAATTCTATATACATAAACAGCAATGCTTTTGCGATGAACATGCATTGAGTAACAGCTTTATCATAAAAAAAAGGCGTAGCTATCTTCCTAAGTAAGTATGCTTCCCATCTAAAACAAGTATATAATCATATAAAAGTCAAAATTAATTGACCAAAAATTGAAGTCCAATTACTTTGACATTATACTCTATAGCTAACTAATATCTTATACTCTTTGGCTTATATCTTTGTGCGTGCAGATAATGAAGCCTTTCAATATCGCATATTAATATATTAGTGTATAAAGTAAATTCCAAAATGATTTATTTTATTACTGAAAAATGCTGCTACTACTATATTTGGTAATTATCGAAGTAGTAGTTTGACAAAAACATATAGCTTGTATCATTAACTTCTCATCCAATTTCTCAAATATACTCTCTTTTAGAATTATTTAAACAGTGAATTACAAAAGTATATATATATATAGCTTATACGGTATACTTCTCAATCAATTGGTTAAATAATTCTGAGCAAGGATCGATATATTTTGCTTAAAATGAAATCCGATCCGAGCTATAAGCAACAAGATGTGTTTTAATGTGCTTTTAAAATAATTCGATCCATTGGATATTTATGGATCAATTAACACCTTACTTTCCTTAATTACTTTTCTCTCTATTTTTCTCTTTTTCTTTCTTTTTCTCTCTTGCTCTTTCTCCCTTGCTCTTTCTCCCTTGCTCTCTCTCACTCTCGCACTTTATGTTTATCTACCACAAATCTCTATCTCGTTGATCTCTCTTCTTCTTGGACAATTACATCCTTAAGATAACACGCCGTGTGATAAATCCATATACCGAAAGTCACTGTAGGATTATATATATAATCTGGTAGTGTATTTCAGATAAGCTCTTACACCTATCTCTTTTCTCTTTCCAGTATACACGCACACACTCAGGCATCTGTCTACGAGTCAATTGGCTGCACCAATATAAAATATACTATATTATCTATCTTGTTTTATGTCTTCTTAGAAACTAAGGATGCTAATTGATAATTCGGACAGTGTACACTTTTTGTAAGCTGGTATTACCAATCGGTGGTGCAGACAGCCTTTGTGTACCCGATAGTAAAATAACCATAGCAGGGCCCATTTACAGGGATACTGTTATCCATACGGGGGTTTAAATACCACCCAGCGTTCACTTAGAGTCGTTGAAAGAGGATAGTATATTAATGTGACCTTCACTACGTCGTAATCAAAACAAAAAATTCTTTTTTAACGATGGGTTGAATCTTCTTTCAACATTCCCTACATTCCTCCATCCTTGTCAAGGATCTTCATTTTTGTTGGGGATCGTCATTCATAAAATATTACAACTTAAAGTAGACAGAAACTGTTGCAATATAAAAAGAGAGCACACTCTTTTGAAAAAAAAATCGAGATACTCCTTATTTTATCTTTTTCACAACTGTTCACTGTATACGCGACTCTAACAAAAACAAGCCCTTGGTCAAACCTTTGTGTCCCTATAAACTTCTCAATGCTTTAAAAATCGACGGTGATCCCCACAGTATTGTTTTCTTTTTTCAAACTTGCACTAGCAACCGCTTCACACCGCTTTCAAAGTCAACGAGCATCACCACAGCAACGTTTTCTTTTTTGAAACCTGTACCAGCACCAGCTTCACCGCACTATCAAAATTGAAACCAACAACCACAGCAACACTTTCTTTTTTGAAGCCTGTACCAACACTAGCTTCGCTGCACTATCAAAATTAAAACCAACAACCACAGTAATGTTTTCTTTTTTGAAACCTGGGCCAACACTAGCTTCGCCGCACTATCAAAATTAAAACCAACAACCACAGTAATGTTTTCTTTTTTGAAACCTGGGCCAACACTAGCTTCGCCGCACTATCAAAATTAAAACCAACAACCACAGCAACACTTTCTTTTTTGAAGCCTGTACCAACACTAGCTTCGCCGCACTATCAAAATTGAAACCAACAACCACAGTAACGTTTTCTTTTTTGAAACCTGTGCCAACACCAGCTTCGCCGCACTATCAAAATTGAAACCAACAACCACAGTAATGTTTTCTTTTTTGAAACCTGGGCCAACACTAGCTTCGCCGCACTATCAAAATTGACACCAACAACCATACTATTTCTTTACTTTATTACAACAGTAAAAATAAAAATTGAAATAATAGCCATATAACAAAATCTCGACACTCAAAAGCAATACACTATTTTCTTCTACACTTAGAGTGTCATACACTACCATTCTCAGAATTAGTTTTCAACTTTTGCACATATATACTATTCATATCATTATACTTCTGAAACCTTCTTATTCCATTCCATCGCATATAACTTTCAAAGCTTTCGACTTTTAGTATACCTTTGTGTGACTGATTCTAAATCAGGCGGACACTACCGAGCATAACAGCCCACTATAGAAATCGTTTTTTTTTATCAGTGTATACCATGGATGTCAAAACTCTGTCCCACGCATCACATACACGGGCAACCTACAAATACTGCCTACAAATAACATCTTTCTTTAACCCACTACTTACTTTTCACTATATAAAAAGAATATACTACTATTAAAGCTTTATACTTTTAAATAAAAGTAAAATAAAATAAAATCACAGTCTTGTTCTCATATAGTATATTTAGATTATATTATTTTACTCCATATACTTTTGATAATAAATTGAATTTTAATTTTACGTCAATATTTTTTAGAAAGAATATATCTATAATTCTTTTTCTTTTTGTTTTATTTTTCTATTTGTGCCTGTGCTTATATTTGTTTAGATTGTTTTCCGATAGGTATATCTTCCTTGTATAAGCTTTGTAAAATATACTATACTAAAACTTATATTAAATAGAATGAATAGATTATAAAATAATATAAAAAAGTAATAAATAATGTACACAGTAAAATTTAATGCTCAAGATATATATTATTTATTAGTCAACCAATAAAGGGTGAGTATGCACAATAAGCAAAACACATATAGTTTAACCAATAAGTAATGAGTATGCACAATGAGTAAAATACATATAGTTTAACCAATAAGTAATAAGTATGCGCAATGAGTAAAGTACATATAGTTTAACCAATAAGTAATAAGTATGCGCAATGAGTAAAGTACATATAGTTTAACCAATAAATAATGAGTATATATGATTATTAACTACATTAAACCCTTAGTTATAAGCTAAAGTAAACTTGTATGATTACTAAGATATGTATTTTTAGTCAACCAATAAATAATACTTATGCATCATTATTAAGAACTATATATCTTTGCAAACCAGTAAAGTATGTAGCTTCACTATGAGTAAGAAATATTTTATTGGTTAAAAGACTAGTAGATATGCAAGATTAAACAGAGTTATATTCTCAGTTAACCAATAGAGAGTAAATATTCATATTCATAAGACATATATTTTTAGTCAACCAATAAATAGTAAATGTATATCATTATTAAGAATGGTATTTTTTGCTAACCAATAAAGAATGCAGCCTCAAGATTTGTAAAGTTGTTTTGCAGCTAAATCAAGAAAGGTGCATATGCAGGATGAATGAGAATTACAATTTCAGTTAACCAATAAAAAAAAGAATATATAATATCAGCAGTATGATTCTGTCCAGATCGGCCGCCTATTACGTTCGATCTGGACTGAATGGATATTTCCGACAATCTCGGACCACTGGAATCCAAAAGAAAATAATATCGTAAAAACATATACAATAGTAATAATAACTTTACTTTCTTATAAACATAAAGCTTGTATCATATATCTCTTAAATAATTTCAAAATAATCCATATATCTTGTCTCCTTAAGATTCTAATTAAAATTATATTGGTTTTAAGCTATAGATAATGATACAATATACATTTTAATATATTCTTATAACCGATTTGTTCTATGATATATATATATATAGTAATTGTTCACAATTACATGGTTCTTTTTTTTGTTAATACTTTAAATGTATGATAGACATTATATATATATATATATATATATATATATATATATTCATACAGTTAAAGCTATGTTTTCTAGTGTGTTTAATATATGTAATACTATCTAGATGCGGACCCATTTTTTTTTATAATTACACTCGGTGGAATTTAATCAAAGAATAATAACCTACACAATAATATTATCGAGTTATTTTGAAACAGTCGGTATTTATAGTCAAAATTTTACCCTATAACTATATATATATAAACTGCTATTGTATCTTGAATACACTATTAGGTATATATATATATTCTTCTTCTTCTCTTCAACATACACTGATACAAACATACAACACAAATCACTATTGATCTATATATTTATATATAGCTTTTACTTTATTTTAGATATACTGTTCAGCCTATTTTCATTCTTCCCTTCAACATACGCCCACGCACATGCCCATGCACACGCACATGCGCCCACACACACTCAGGCATCTGTCTACCAGTCAATTGGCTGCACCAATATAAAATATACAATATCGTCTATATCGTTTTATGTCCTCTTACAAACTAAGGATGTGAATTGGTAATTTGGGCAGTGTGCACTTTTTTGTAAACTTGTATTACCAATCGGTGGTGCAGGCAGCCTTTGTGTACCCGATAGTAAAAGAACCATAGCAGGACCCATTGACAGGGACACTTTTATCCATATGGAGGTTGAAATACCACTTAGTATTCACTCAAAACTATTCAGAGAGAAGTGTGTATTAAAATAACCTTTTCTGTGCCGCAACCAAACCAAAAATAAAACTTTTTTAACGATGGCTTGAATCTTCTTTCAACATTCCCTACATTCCTACATCCCTGTCGAAGATCTTCATTCCTGTTGGGGATCGTCATTCATATTGTATTGCAACTCAAAGTGGACCGAAAGCGACGCAATACAAAAAGGAAGCGCACTCTTTTTAAAAAAAACCAAAATATTCTTTGTTTTATCTTTTAGACGGCTGTCCATAGTATATATGAGTCGAACAAGAAATAGGCCCTCAGTCATACTTTCGTGTCCTTATAAACTTTTCAACGCTTTAAAAACCGACACCAATAACTACAATATTCTTTTTTTTTATTACGCCTAACAACACCAGCTGCACAACGCTATCAAAAGTGCTATATACCACTGTTCTCAGAACTACCTTTAAACTTTTGCACGCACATAACACTTGTATGCTTATACTTCCAAGACTGTCTTCAGTGATAATGATCTCATCCCATCATACATATTCTCCAAAGCTTCCGACTTTTACTATATCTTTAAATAACTGGTTCTAAACCAAACAGAAATCACCCATCACAAAGTCCTGCCATAGCAATCTCTCTTTATAGGCGCACACAATAATTCTCAAGTCTATAATAATAATAACATTGTTACACACCCTAATTCTCAAACCTATCTTATATAAAAAAAATTATTTCTTACACACTGCCTCCGTCTATCTCACTATCCTACACTCTTTACACAGCACAAATACTCTACTATCAAAACCTTCTTGATATCTTTAAAACAAAATCGCTGTTATACTACACTCTCATTCTTCTTTAGCCTTTCACTTTAATCAATTCGACTCGGTCTCCACCTACCCACTTATCTTATTTATTTTACTATATTTAAATAGACAAAACAAATAGAAGCTATAATGATTTATATATGTACTTGCTTTAATTACAAGCATATTATTCATTATCTAGGTT